CTGTAATTTTTAATAATTTGTACATGCACTCAACAAAAAAATATTCTCTTATTAAGAAACATATTTTTGATAAGTAGAAAAATTTATAAAAATACACTCAACAAAAAAATGGACCTACAACTTAGAAATACTAGCGGCTTTTTAATAAATTTATAAATTATTATTAATATATTTTTTAATATTGTTAAATATAATTTTGAAATATACAAAATGGAGTCTTAAAATTAACAAGCTGAATTTTTCTACTATTAAAGTTAATTTAATTTAAAATTCAAAAAGAATTTATATTGCATTTTATTATTGTAAATATATATGTCTAATATAATTTGCAAGTATCCAAAAATGAGCCTTAATATTAGAAAGACTTTTTAGAAATATGTTCTTTTATTATAGTTCTTTTTATATTTGTTTATTTAAAATTAGAAAGAAGTTTTTTTGTCATTTTTTTAAGAATGCTTTCTACCAATAAATTTTGTTTTATTTTATTTAAAAACGCAGTAATACTACATTTTACTTAATTAATTCTTTTTATCATTCTGTGTCGACTCTAAATAAATAAAAATGAATATTTGTTTAAAAGAATATTCTAATAAAAAATAATAATAATAATAATAATAATGCAGTAAGAAATATTTGAACACATTCTAAAATTCAAATTTAATAATAAAGTTAAATTTGTATTTTAATTTAAGTATTACTTTACGTTTTCTCCATTATTTCTAAAAACTCGAAATTAAATAAAAACTTTCAAGATACAAAAATAATAATACAATTTAAACGATCGATAGAAATAAAATACTTCAGAAAGTGGACATATATTTTGTCCAAATTTGGGAAAAACTGCAATGAAATTAGGTGAAAGTCTGCTTTTTAGAGAAAAGATGGCTGCGACTTCTTTTATTTTTCTGAATGTATTTTTGCTCTACATTTATTTCATTAGAGTCTTACGTCCCTCTACTGCTGTGGCTGGCTGCTCTTGAAATAACAAATTTTGTGGTTGCTTCCTGTTGTGTGCGTGCGTCCTGGGATTAGCCAGTCCCAGTTACCAGTCCCAATCCTCTCGTGCTGCTTGTTATGTTTAAATACCGTTTAACAATTTCCCGTCGGCGAGTTTTGTATTAGTTTTCTTTTTATACCACTGCAAAATGTATAAAAAGGGGTACAATTTTATTTTATCAAGTATGTAACAGTCAGAAAGTGAGTGAAAGCGAGATAAAGAGTCTAGTGTTTTATTTACTTAAGCCAATTTACTTTCCTTAGTTTTTTATGCCTATTTTCTTTGATAAATTTAACAAATCTTAGTTTTTTTATTATGATTATTTATTTTTCTTATGTCAATAATTTATTTTTTTTATTTAGTTCCACGACCTTAATTTATTAATGCAAATTTATTTTCAGCTTTTTAATTCAAGAAACCTTTTTTTTATTATGCACATTTAGCTTTTTAGGATTTTATTTATTTATTTAAAGTCAACTGAAGCTAGGCTAACTTCAACCAAATTTATTTTTAATTTTATAATTTTTTTGTTATTCCAGTTTATTATTATTTATTTCATTGTTATACCAATTAATTTTTATAAAATGAAAACATTTATTTTTAAATTGAATTGAATTTATTTTGTATTTTTTATATTAAAATAAATGTGTAAAAATCTACAAAATAGCCGAGTATTTTTAAATATGGATCGTATTATTACTAGACCTTAGGGTATCTGCTAGTCCAGCTCTTCTTCGACTGTAGTATTCTTATTTGTATTCTTTCCTGTTTTTTCGGTCAAACCAAATGAGCAAGCGGGAATGAAAGAAAGAAAGCTACACTAGCAAAGCTACCCTTATGAGCCCACACACCACACACACACACACACCCACACACACTCACCCACCCACACACACACACCACACACAGACAAAACTTAAGCTCGTTATGAAAATCAATTCCTTGGGGATAGGCGATTTTCAAACAATTTGCACGCATTATATTTATATATATATATTGAACTGGCAGGGCAAATATTTTGTGACTTTGGTGGTTGCCACCCCATGCAAATGTTTAAAAATAACTGTTGTAATTAATTGAATATTCCATCTTTGATCAAACAACAAGTGTTGAGTTTATTTAGAGTGTGATAAAATTGTAGCGGCAAATTGGAGTAGTTTTTCTCTCCTCCCTCTCTCTGCCTCTGCCTCTCTCTCTCTCTCTCTCTCTCTCTCTCTCTCTCTCTCTCTCTCTCTCTCTCTCTCGCTGTCTCTTGTTGAGAACTACCCCTGTTTCTGGGGTAGCGAATATAACCAGCTCAATCAGATAATTCTCAGGTATCTGGTTACAGCTTCTGGTTTTACAACATCTGTCGATTTGAAGTGCGCATAACTCAATTATGGAATTCAATTTGTCAACACAATAAAAACGTTTTCACAGTGTCAATGATATGATTCATTAACCGAGCCTAAGGAAATCCTAAATATAAATGCAATGCCCAATAATTAGTGGAGCTGGGCTAAATATCTCTAATGCGTTACATAGTAAGAAAAAATGTATATATTTAATGTCAACAAACTAACTGAAAGTAGATTAAATTAAATTAAAAATAAAAATATTACATTTAATTTAAAAATAATAAAAAATGTATCAAAGATAATGAATAAAGGCTCATTTTATGCATAATTCTCAGTCTTAAATTAGGTAGAAAGAGGAAAACAAAATACACAATATTAATAATATATTATGAATAGTTTTCAAAATAATATTAAAAATAAAATTACAAATTAAATGACATAAAATTAAAAAGGCTTAATTATACTACAGTTTAAATTAAAAAATATATATATATCAAATTATTTAATATGAGGCCTATTTAATTAATTTTAAAAATAATGTATTGAAAACTAAAGTTAAAGCATCTAAATATAGATACACATTTTAACATTGATAATTAAATGGAAAACTTACTTTACAAAATTAAATAAATAAATATTAATATGAATAAAGAAGAAAATATTAAAAAAAAATACATATTATCAATTTAGAGTTACAAATTAAATGATCAAATGGAAAATTCAAATTAAATGAAAAATTAAAACAATTCCTTAAAATTATAATGAACAAATAATATTAAAAATAAAATATATTTTATAATACATAAATATTGAAATAAAGATTAGAAATCTAATTATTTAGATTTTAAAATTCATAAATAAATTAAACAATAATATTAAAATAAATTTTAAAATAAGAATTACAATTTAAATGACATAGAATTTAAAATTCATACTTAAATTACAATTGAAAATTAAAATCAGAGCGACAATAAATATTAAAATAAACATTAAAAATTAACTGATATAAAATGAAACGCGCAGAATTAAATTCAAATTAATATTGAAATAAAGTATGTAAAAACCAAGAAACGTTAAAAAGGCAAAAAGAGCGATAGAGGGAGAGAGAAAATAAGAAGAGTAAGAACGAACTGTGGTGTAATCTAAATAATATTAAAAAAAAAATAAACATTCACAAATTAAAAATATAAAATAACTATTACAAACAATATATTTAAGGAAAATTAAAAATAAAATATTCTTCATAACTGGGTAATTTCTTTTTAACATACAACTAATGCATGTACATACTTTAGCTACTGTATATGCGTCTGAATCACACTTACACATGTATGCACATGTATGTGTGCATAAGCAGAGCTATGAATCTATGCACACACACACGCATTCATATGCATATGCATGTATACAGATTCTCTCTCTCTCTCTCTCTCTCTCTCTCTCTCTCTCTCTCTCTCTCTCTCTCTCTCTCTCTCTCTCTCTCTCTCTCTCTCTCTCTCTCTCTCTCTCTCTCTCTCTCTCTCTCTCTCTCTCTCTCCCTCTCTCGTTTCTCTGTTCTTCGTTTTAAAGTGAATGCTGCTGCTGCTATGTGTCTTGTATTTGTTGTATGATTTGACAGTTGAGTGGAAAAGGACAAAAGTCGTTAATTTGTTTATTGGATTGCGCAATGTATACAGTTCGCAAATGCACTCGAAAACGACCAAATAATAATAACAGTAACAGTAACACAACAAAAGGCGCGAACGTGTCACCATCACCAACACAAAAGCAATGCGAACCATTGTACATTTTACCCCCACCCCACTCCTTACTCCAGCGGCTTTTCGGAACAGCCGCAGGCCAGTGCCCAATGTAAAGTTGACGAAATCATTGAGTCGAAAATATTCAACTCGCTCTTCAATCGCAATTGTGTTAGCGTGAAATGTGTATATATATACATATATATATATGTCTGCATATACTTTTTTTGTATATAAAAAACAAATGATTAGCAATGGAACTCTAAAATTTTAGCAGCAAATTTCCAACTGGGCTGCTTGCATCCGGCATCACTTTCGCACACACAGTGCCATGCTGCTCACTCTTCACTGCATGTATGTGGGTGTGAACAGCGCAAGCGCAAATGTGATGTAAAAAGGAAAGAGAGAGCGGGGTGAGGGGCGAGCCGCCTTCACTTCGGGGTGTGGCTGCAAAATGCGGACGAAGCTTGCCTTGCCCAGCTCAGCTCACAACTACTGACGCAACCAATGTGCCGTTAAGCAGGGCGCCGACGGCAAAAGCGACGCTAAATTTACAGCTAACTGGAATATGAATTATGTGCTTAGGTTTAACTGTTATCCGTTATCTGTTATGTGTTGTGTTTGTGCAACTCTTCCACTATCTTTATCATCTTTGCTTTTAACGAAAGAAATTAATATGAAATGATTTTCATATTAACTTATTATATCCTTTGTTATCTTTCTTTATTTTTTTCAAACCAAATTTTAATTTAATTAATAGTTTTTACATTTATTTATTAAATGCTTTATTTTATTTATTTCATATGCATTCGCTTAGAATAAATTCATTCCGTTAAATGCGAAATCTACTCGCCTTGTGATACTTATCGATAAACGATTTATGCGCTGCCCTCTCCCAGATATCGAAATTAGACATAAATATATATATAGGTTTATATGAATTCTGTTGTTTTTATTTATAACAGATTTATAGGCACATCCAATTGTGACCTTTCTGTGTTTCTTTCAAATCAAATTCAAATTCAATTTTTAAACTATAACTAGCAACTTTCCGCCGGAAAATGGCCCGTGGGAGGTGTTGTTACGGTCCATCGACATAATCGCGACCACCGACATTAATGCGACCCTCAGCAGCAGTCACCGAGAAACCCAAAATACGCGCATCCATTTTGGTCATCTTATTTTTCTTGATTTTCTTTTGCTTGTTCTGCGAATGGGAAAAATGGTATCTAATTAAGATATTAAGGGGAATACGAGTCGAAATTACCTTATTTTCGGCATTGTCATTGCTGGAGGGTGTTATGGCCGGTGCCGGTTTGCACATATCGTCATTGTGTGCATTTTGGGCGCGTTGCAAACTTTTGTATTTGCTGCGCCGCTCCAAGAATTGCTTGGCAAAGTCTGTCGACTCTTTGCCCTCCCCTGCAACAGTTGATCATTTATAGATAGTTATAGATACATATATTTGTGATTTTACATACCCAGGTAGATGCGCACGTAATCCTTCACTTCGTAGGGTGCTTCCAGGTCTTGCAAGAAGGCCACAAATGTTGGAACTGCAAATTAAGGGTGGTAAAATTAATAATTTATATTCATAGTTGATTATTAGTATGACATATATATAGAATAAATAAATATCTAACTAATAAATAATAGTATATATAGCATAAGGGCTGTTAGTGTCATTATTACAAATATACAAAATAAATAATAAATACATAAATATAAATCAAAAAAAATAAATACATCATATATAAATATAATAAGTGCATAAAATATATTTGGGATATTAAATATTATTATTATTACAAATATACTTATTAAATATATATGCGTTATTATGCTATTACAAACAGTAAATACATAGATAATAATATAAATAATTGAAATACAGGGATTGCAAGGTTATATATAAAATAGATATTTCTGGGATATTATTCCGAGTCTTTCACATGTACAAAATATATTTACTATATATATACTAATATAAATAATAATATTTACAGAACTTGCAGGACAACAAATTTACAGGTATATGAATGGGTATTATTATTATTATTAAAGATGTACAGATGAAATTAATATTAATATGGGTTATTTTACTACTACAAATACTAGATCATAAAAACTAAAGTATTTTTATATAGTAAAAAGTGCTTTGGGTGACGTCTCTTTATATTTGGAAAATGTATTAATATATTAGTCAAATATTTATTATATTTATTTAATAATAATACTAATAATATTGAAATATATATTTAGCCATTATTGAAATGAAATAAAATTAATGATTATTATTACAAAAATATATAAATTAAATATTTTAAGAATTATACTTACTACTACTATATGGTATACAAAAATAATGAACATTTACAAAGTTTAAATTTGTAACTGGTTGTCTCCAGTTGAAACTGACTTAAAAACGACTAAATACACATTTCAATTATTAAGATTATATAAAATAAATATTTGAATAATATATATAAACTTAAATAAATTTAGATTGCAGTTAAACTCACCATCCACCTTGGCAGCCATGTTGTCCAAGCTCTTCATGCACCAAGTTGTAAACTCATTTTCATATTCGCTGACCTTGCTGCTTGATGAGGCAGCAGCAGAGTCGCTGATGTTGTTGCCAGTTTGTTGCTGTTGCTGCTTGCCACCAGTCAGTTTGCCTGCTTTCTCCTCAGCAGTAGCTGTGGTAAGTTTGCCAGCTATTTTAGTTGTGGTTACTTTAAGTTGCTGCTTCGAAGTGGAACTCTTGGCAACAGTTGCAATTGCACCTGCTATAGTAGCAGCTGTTGAGCTTTGCATTGCTGGCAACGTTTGACTTTTCCGTAGATTGCGTGACGAGGGCAACACAGATTTGCCAGCAGCAGCAGCTTGCAACTTGTTGCTGCTGGGCAAACCAGTAGCCAAAACAGCAGCAGCTGTTGTTGCTGGTTTAACAGTTGCTGCTGCTGCAACTGTTGTTCCTGGTTCATCCCAGAGGCAGGCAGCTGTTGCTGCAGAGCTCCAAGCAGCCTTGTTGGTGCTGTTTCCCCAAATATTGTTGCTGGCCACACTCAAACTGGCAGCAAGTGTTGCTTGTTGCAAGTGTTGTTGCTGTTGCTGCAACTGTTGCTGCTGCTGCAACTGTTGCTGTTCGAGCAGTTCGTTTGCCAGTCGCTTGGCCTCTTCCGCTTGAATTTCTGCGAGACTCATCACCAAAGTTGGACCTGGTGTTGCTTGCCACTTGAGCAGCGCATCGCTTGCCTCTGCTGCCGCTGCGGCTGTTGCACGCATCTGCTTCTCCAGCTGCTCCTGCTGACGCTGCTGATCAGCACGGCGTTCGCGCCGCTCGGCCTTTTGTATCTCCGCCAGGCCGGGGGCAATGTTGCCCACGTTAGGTGTCTGCAGCGACCAAGGGGCTATCGATGACGACGAGGAGCGCAGACTACCACCTTGCAACATTTGCGGCTCACTCTTTGTGGCAGCACTGCTCGAAAGGGTTGCAGCTTGCTTGCTTGCCACACTTCCAGTTGCAGCTGCAGCACCTGTTGAGCATAAAATCATACAGCTGTTAATCGCAATTAATTATAAATTATTTTTAAATAATAATTATAAGATAATTTTAATAATCTTAAATATATTGTTCTTTCCTTATATTAATGTAAGTATTTAATTGTATTTCTAATTGAGTTTCATCTATTTGCTAGATTTTGTATTTTTTTTTTTGCTGATCATAAAAAATTATATACATATATATATATATATATATATATATATATAATTTATATATATATATATATAATTTATATATATATATATATAATTTATATATATATATAATATTATAAAGCTTTTAAATAATTCTTATTTTCTATTTAAAATTCAGATAAAATTGTATTTTTAATTGAATTTAATATATTTTCTAGTTTCTGGGTTTTTTGGTCTTTTAAATAAATACATATATTACGAAATAAAATAAATTATGAAAAAGAATAACATATAAAATAAATAAACCGTTAATCTTATAAATATTTATTTTTTTATTTAAATTTAATATTTTAATTTCATTTTAAATTTAATTTAAACTATGTTTTACTTCTCTTTTTTTGTGTGGTGACTAAATAAATTTATAAATAAATAAACAAAATTTAAACAAATATTAATCACATTAAATGAGCAGCTAATTAAATGCATAAGTAAATTATATTAAATTATATACATAATATTAAATTAATTAAATTAAATATATAATAATAAATTAAATAAAAAATAATAATTTAAATAAATACACCTTGCAAATACTTGGACTTTTTTGTAATTAAATTTAAATATTTGAATTTTATTTTAAATTATATAAAAATAATGCCGTTGATTCTGCTCACTCTCTCTACTAATTATTAATAATCTTGATTATCTTGAGATTTGTGCTTTTTGACAGGGCTATGCCAATCAGTCAAACAACTTGATAGTTTTCTGGCTTTTTTTTTTGTTGCTTTAAGCTGGATACTGGTTACTGTTTCTGTTTTGCTGCATCAAGCGAACAATTAATCAATTAATAAATTTGATCTGCGCAATAAATCAATCCAAGATGTGTTTTTTTTTTTTTGGCTTTAGTCTGCTTTGTTCAATCAATCAATTATCATATTATGAGTTCCGTTTCTGTTTTGCTGCATCAATCAACCATATGAGTATACTACTTTTGTTCTGTTCTGCTCAAAGATTCAATCAATCAATTTGAACCGCTCAATTAAACAATCCACGTGCTTTTTTGGTTTTAGTCTGTTTTGTTCAATCGATCATCTCATGATTAGTTCTATTTTTTGATTCTGTTTTATTCAGCAGTGTTCTGCTCAATCAATCAATCAGCTAATTCTCTACTCACCTGCTTGAATCTGTTTTGTTATTTTTCTGTTCTGCTCAATCAGCCATTTTTTTTTACTCACCTGTTGCTGTTGCTGCTTGTGTCACATTACCAGCTCCACTTCCTCCTCCTCCCACTACTCCACCACCGAGGAGCGCCTTGCGTCGCTGTGCTTGAATTTGTTGTTGTCGCTCCTTTTCCTCCTGCTGCTGCAGTTGACGCTCCTCCTCTGCGAGGATCGCCCTGCGTTTCTCCTCCTCCTGTTGCTGACGCTTGCGTTCCTCTTTGAGGCGACGTTTCTCCTCGGCCAGCTCACGCCGACGCTCTTCGTCGCTGACCTTCAGATCCGCCTGCAATTTACCAGCTGCTTTCATCAGCTGTTGGTGTTGCTGCTTGCTGTTTGCCTTAGCAACTGCTGTTGCTGGTTGCGAATGCTGCTGTTGTTGCTGCTCCATGTTGTTGTCGGCAACAATCGTTGCTGGCTTGTCCACAAAATCTAGTTGTCGCTGTTGTTGCAGCAACAATTGTTGGCTTTGTTCTTCTTCTAGCGTTTCCACATCCCATAAAGTAACTTTGGCATTGGGCAAATTAGGCCAGCTAGCGGGCAACTGTTGCTGCTGCTGCGGTGGCAATTGTTGCTGCTGCTGCTGCGGTGGCAATTGTTGCTGCTGCTGCTGCGGTGGCAATTGTTGCTGTTGTTGCTGCTGCCACATGGGCAACATTAATACCTGTGTTTCAGTCATAAAGTCAACAACTGAATTGGGCTTGACTAAACCAGCAGCAACTGTTGCTACTGCTGCTGCCTGACGCTGTTGCTGCTGTGGCAATTGTTGCTGTGTATTGCTGGCGCCACGCAGCATCATACGCAAATTGTATTCACTTAATAAATCCAGATCGCTGGCTGTGTTCAAATCTGTTTCTGGCTCTGATTGTTGCTGTTCTGGTTGCTGTTGTTGCTGTGGCAATTGTTGTTGTTGCTGCTGCAATAATTGTGCATTTAATATAAAATCATTCGCATCTAAAAATTGAGCAGCCAAACGCTGATCAAATTGCTGCTGCTGTGGCAACTGTTGCTGCTGCTGTTGTTCCTTTTTAGCCTGCTGTGCAATGGCGCTATTTAGCTGATTCCCAGCAATGGGATTCAAAGCAGCCAACGTGTTGCTCAGCCCGCTAAAACTGCTCAGATATTCGGGCAGCACCAACAGTTGCACCTTGCTGCGAACGTAGGCTTCTCTTTGTGCCACATCCATACGTTGAAAGCATTCGTTTTTTGATAGCTCGGTGAGTATTTGATATTCCTGGTGTTGCATGTACTGGTCTTGCAACATTTGGAAGCGCATCGTCAGCATGTGCGAGGTGTCCAGGCGTGGCGTGTTGTGCCCCAAATGATTTTTGACAGCAGCACTCAAAGAATCCGCTGCTGCTGTCACATTTGCCTTGAGCTGTTGCTGCTGCTGTAGCAGCAACTGTTGCTGCTGTTGTGGCAACTGTTGCTGTTGTTGTGGCAACTGTTGCTGTTGTTGTGGCAATTTTAGCTGTTGCAAAGTGTCCAGTTCGCTGGGCGTAGGCAGCAGATGGCTGTGCGTAAACGGCATATTGCCGTGGCACAATTTAATCAATTCGCCCAGCGGCCGAAAACAGCTGTCAGAAATGCGCCGCACGAAGAGCGCCTCATTAAAATAGCCAGCCCGATACCATTCAGTCATCTCTAGCGCACTGAACGGCCCCTGCACATTCGACTGTGGATCCCGATAGAACCACAAATCATTCAATTTCGCTGAGAGCACGTGGGGCGGTGGTGTCAACACGGATAGATGGGTTGGCGGCAACTGTTGCTGCTGCTGCACGTGCAGCTGTTGTTGTTGGGGTAATTGTTGTGACAACTGTTGAGGCAATTGTTGCTGTTGCTGCTGTTGTGGTAATTGTTGAGGCAACTGTTGTTGGGGCAATTGTTGCTGCTGCTGTTGGCTTAATTGTTGCTGTGACAATTGCTGATGCTGTTGTTGCGGTAATTGCTGCTGCTGTCTCATATTTAATTCCTCCAGTGTTGTTAAACAGCTTAAGCCATATCGTCTAATTGTGGCCTCAACTTCAGCTCCGCCTCCAGCTCCTGCCCCAATTCCTCCTTTAACTCCAGCTACAGCTCCAACTCCTCCCTTAGCTCCGATTCCTCCTACTCCAATTGCAGCTCCACTTGCAGCTCCCATTTGCTGCTGCTCCGTTTCATCATCCATAATTAATTTCTCCACCTCATTGGCCACTTCCTTAAAGCGATCCGATATGTCGCCACCAAGTGCTGACAGCTTATCCGTAGCTGTTTCTGTTGCCTTCGCTGGCACCGGCGTATTATTATTGTTGCCATTACTATTATTATTATTATTAGCCGACTTGGCTGCTGTTTTTGATTGCTCCACCTCGTTGATTTTAACATCTTCGTCTTTTGAGGCAATCTCTGCTCGTTCCCTTTCAATTTCCCGTTCCACTTGCTCCTTCTTCAGCTGCTCGGCTGCTTCCAAAGTGTCGCCATGAAAAGCGCCACTGGCATCAAAAGTGCCGCCCATTTCGGAGGGATTCTCCATTGCCCATTCGGGCAAATGTTCCTCGGCAGCTGCATCAATTCCTGGCCATTTGGAACGTCCGCCGCTCGATTTGGAATTGTTGCGTTCACGCTCCGTGTTTACAGTGCCAATCACTGAAATGGAACGTTGCATGCCACCAACTGTTGCTACTGCGTCCAAGTTGCCCACAGTTGGTAGTTGTTCCTCATCTCGCCAGCTGGTGGAACGACCTGGAAAATGGCAAATCGATTAGGGATTGAAGATTTAAAGCTCCTTTGGTTTACCCCAACGTTGATTGCCGCCACTGCGCCAACCTGCCACCTCGGGGCCAACAATCCCACCTCCGCCTCCTCCAGTTCCACCTGCCGTCCCATCGGCAGCACCGTCTTCGTGTCGATTGCGTCGCCAATTCTCGAGATTGCGATTGTGACTGGAGAAATCTTTGCGTGGGCTGGAGCTGGGCGTGCCGCCATTCCAATCGACGCCAGCAGCAACAACATTTACAGCGGTCGGCTCAGCCGAACCATTGCGCTCGCTCCAATTGCGATCGGGCTAAACGAAAAGTAATAAAGAGTTTAGTCAAGAAGGAAAGTGCAAGAGAGTAGAGGTGTTAAAATTGAGCATCAATCAATCAATAGAGACGAAGAGTGCGGGTTAAATTCAAGCATAATTTAATAGCTCAAAAGGGAGATTAAATTGAATCAAGCAACGATCTAACATCAATCAATCAAGAAAGAGATCACTACATTTAAGCATCAATCAATATAAGGGAGATCAAAAGAGGGAAGTTAAAATCTAGCAACAATAAATCTTCAATCATCAATCAACAAGGCGAGAGGATTAAGTCCGAGCATCAATCAATAAAAGAGAGATAAAGGTATAGATTAAATTCACACATCAGTCAATGATCAATCAGTAACAAATAGAGTTATAGAGAGGTGAATTAAATTCAAGAATCAATCAATAATTCAATTTAATTCAAGCTCAAGAGAAGGAAATATTAAGTTCCAGCATTAATCACGTAGAAATCAACCGTTTATATCAGCTGAATCAATCAATCGACAAATATCTTAAGAGAGGGAATAAATTCAAGCTACAATTAATCGTCAATCAACATAGAAATTGTCCACACTCACCTTCAGTGCAATGTTGGACAGACTATCGTCGTATATATTGCTCGCTCTTTGATAGATCGGATGATAAATGGACTTGCCACGCATGCGACCACGTTCCACATTGCCACCGCCCCCACCACCGCCACCCCGTCCGGCGGAAGAGCCACGTGCGGACAAACCAAAGGTGCCCGGCGAACGCTGCAGCCAAGCGGGACGAGACTAAAAAAAAAAAGAGAGAGATGAGCAGTTAGCCATATTTTGCTTCGTTTTTTTTTTTTAGCATTAACTTACGCTGCTGCCCAGCTGACTTTGGCTATTATTTAGATCATCCTCGGTGCTGGGCGTCAGTGCCAAAGGAAATTGCACCTTTTCCACAAATAATTTCTTAAACGATGGCAATATTTGTGGCAACAAACAATTTCGATCGAATAGCGATAGCATTTCCTCCCGCCCGTAACGATATTCCGGAAACATATTACGGCAACTGGCTGCAACAATGCCCCCAACTCCCCCGCCCCCACCACCACTTCCACCCCCGCTGCTGCTATGTAGGGGGGGATTTGTGGCAGAGCTATTGGCCAAATTATTGGCGGGCTCGGCGGACATATTGCGCAACCATTCGGGTCCAAATTTCATAGAATCTGTCATTTTTTATTTTCTGCTTTTGCTTAAATTTCTTTGTTGGCTGCAAAAATATATACAACAAATTTTAAATTAAAAAAAGCTTGTTGAAAATATATATATGAAAAAAATATACACATATATACATAAACTACATACACACATAGATAAATAAATACATATATCTATCTAAAAGCAAGCAGAAAAAATAAATTTATAACAATAACAAAAAAATCATCAAAAATAGCAAAGCAGCAGCAGCTTAGCAAACATAACCTCAAAAACCAATCCAAATGCAAAGCTGCATGCAAATTGCACGCACACCAACACACACATTCAAAAAATTTTTAATTAATTTTAAATAGTATCCAACAAAAATATTCTCAGATAAAATATATATTATAGATATTAAAAAAGAACTGACTGCTGTTGCTGCTGCAGTTTTAACGCTTTATGTGTTTTAGTGCTTTATTGCACGTTTTTGTGACGTTTTTTAGTTCATTTTAGTTAGTTTGCGTGAAGTTGGCATCCCCCATTCCGCTACGACACCGCTGCACACACGAACACACACATGCATGCACACACCCTGCTCCAAAAAAAAAAAAAATTGCACTTAGCCTTGTAATTGTGCTTAAGTTTCAATATTTTTCTCGTATATTTTTGTCATTTACTTTACCAAGGTCAAATGTACGTGGAAAAAGCTCAAAATTGGTGTTCGATTGGTGGTAATTGTTCGCAATTCCTTTTTTCTTGTAAGACTATTCGTAGTGTTGGCACTCACGTATAGTGTACGAATGCAAGAGGTAGTGTGTGTTATTTAGCGGTGAGCATTACTCGTGTAACACTTACTTTTCACGTGTATCGCAGCGGAAAACTAACCTAACACGATATCGATATAAGCACACTTGCAATAGTATTGTGTAGAAAGGCGTTGCCAATTGCAAGAAATATTCATATTTGTGTATAAAATAATAAAAGATGTGTGTATAAATAAATAATAATAAATGTATAAATCATATAAATAAATATTAGTACTGAAATGTATACCTTTTTATACGTTATACTTTTGTACGTAGATATATATAAATAAATATTTATAAAACAAATACATATTATTTTAATTAAATACAGAAAATAACGAAATAATTGAAATTATTCCATTTATTTTGTAAAATTTAATTTTAAAAGTAATTTAAATTTTGTTTAACTAATTTGAGTCACTAAAATATGTTTTGAACAAAATAAAAAATCTGGCCGCATTTTTTCATTATAGAAAATAGTTTATTTAACTGTAGAGCGCTGCCAGCTGCTATTGAGGCAACTTTTAGCGTTGCTATACACTTCTAGTCGATATAGCGAAATGGGTTGATGTCGATGTTTTAGTGCAGCGCGATGAGTCGATATGCATTTGCACATCTCCATATCAGAAAATGGCGAATTGTGTTGAAAATTATTAAAAAAAAAAAGAGTAGCTTAAACGACACGGCCTGTGCAAATACAAATAAAACGCAACAAGTGCGTTTGTCAACAGCAGCAGGACTTTAATGTTATAATTGAAAGAAAATAATAATAAAAATAAAGGTAATCAGAAACGGGGCATGATTTGTGCGTGAACGCGTGTGAACGAAGCCAGCAGCAGCAGTTAAAAAGAAGTGTGTGTGTGTTCAGTAAATTGTTGTAAATTTCGTTTATGAAAAGCAATTACAAATTAGCTAAATATTTCAAATCGAGTGTAATAAAAAATACCACAATAGCTGCTTAAATAATGTATATATGTGTACAAATATATATATACATATATATATATATGTGTGTGTGTATATAAATGGGCAGCATGTAAATTTATAGTGTTGAACATGTACGCAAAGGACGCAAGCAAAGCTGATATATATATATATATATATATATATACGCATGTGTCTGTGTGTGAAGTTATTTTTTTTTTTTATATTTTGCAGCTCCATGCAAAGCGACAACAAAAACAATTGAGTAGAACGGCAACGGCAAAAAAGAGCAAAAGAGAAAAATAGCCTTGGGGGGGGTTTTTTTGTTTTATATAAATGAACCAAAACCAAATCCAGCAATTGACCTCACACCTATCGCAGGCACTCGATCCAAACTATGATGTAAGTTTACACGAAACTAGTTCACTCTATTTGTGGAGTCACTGTTAACTCAAATGTTAATTAACATTTACAGGTCATTAATATGGAGGCGGTACTCGCTGTTATTTGTACACTGGAGGGCACAACGATCACGAAGGAGCAATTGGAGGCCACCCGATTGGCGAAATATATTAACCAATTGCGTCGTCGCACGAAAAATGATCAATTGGCACGCCGGGCGAAATCGCTGCTGAAAAAATGGCGTGAAATGGTTGGGATTAATCAAACGTCAAGTGATTCTCAGCCAGCGATAACAACAACAGCGACGATTAACAAGCCGATAAATGAATCAATTATTATCGTAGATAATGTGGTTCATCCACAGCTTTCAGTCTCAGCCTCTGCCTCAACCTCTTCATCCTCCTTTATGCCCGAGGCCTCAAATTTCTCCCTAAATCATCTCGATAACAGCGTAGATTTCTCCTCGTTCAAGCCTAAATCTGATATCGATAAATCAAATGAACCACCGATTGTTATCGATATTGTTTCTGATTCGGATGAGAATGAGAATGAGGCACGCATTCAATCCAATATAAATCGATCTTCATTTGCATCTGCCTCATCGCAACAACAACCACAACAACAACAAGCATTTCCCGCCTTCTATCCCAGGCCCAAGAAATTGAAGAAGGAAAAAAAATCGCGAAAGGAGCGCGAAAAATTAGCAACAACAACAGCAACAAATTTATTAACTTATCTCAAGGATGATTTGCCACTACAAATGCCCAGGTCTATAATTCGCAACAATTTGGCACAACAACAACCACAACAGCTGGGCAGAAAAATATATCCCACAGATTCGGGTAAATAATTTAAAAAAAAAAAGAAAATATTAATTATTATTTATTAATTTATTTATGTTTTCTATTTATTTATGTTTATGTTTAAAAGTCATAAATATACTTATATATAATGTATATGTATTTATCTACATAATTTTTTCTATACTAATTATCTATCCTTTCTCATTTTCCATTTAGAAATCTTATCATTATCAAATAGTTCGATGAGCTCCATATTATCGGGCGATAATACGCTGAATAATAATCGTTCTCGTTCCAATGCAGCGGATTTAACATTTGCCGGTCGATTCAAGTCGTTAACACAATTCGAGGACAATAATAATCCGCCGCCGGTAAGCGTAAATGGACAAAAGAAACCGGAGCCGGAACAACAACAACAGCAACTCTACGAGGATTACATGCTTCACAATGATTCGAGTAATTCTGTGAGCCGTCTCTCCCCCTTCGAGGAGCAATCGATTCCCATTAGTCATAATGAGGGTAGCAATAAACAGATGCCAGCTGTAAACAAGCCCCAAGATTACCAACGCAGCGAGAATATTCTCTCTCAAGTTCCTAAAAAACGTGGTCGCAAAAAGGGCTCGAAAGGCGTCGATTCTCTCATTGCCAAGGAATCCTCCAGTTTGTCGCAGCAAATATTTTTCAACTCCGGCGTGAAAAAGGTGAAAACTACCAAGGAACTCTTCAACGATATTCAAAGTCGTAAGTTGAGTATTTCTTATCGAGGTGATTCTGCTCTGCCTGCTTCTGCCTCAGTTTCAGCTGCTGCCAGCAAATTGAATAATCGTGATGCGAGACCAACTTCCTCATGTTCGGGTGGGTTCTTCTATATTCATATATTGTATTTATCATTATTATTTTTATTAATTAATTGTTTTTCGCTTTTTAGAAACGTCGTTGCATTCGCCACACAACTTGGAGACCTTTTCGACGAATGCTTCGCAATTGGGCAACGATAAATTTTCAACGATACTTGAAGGTGAGCTCTGCAGAACTAACGAAATGGATAACAAACAGTATATAAATGTAGAATGTGTCTTTAGAAAACATGTCGGAACAGATCTGCATGTAGTCCCTGAATATCTAGAATTTAGAAAACATCAGTAAATATCTAGAATATATTAGTTTCCTCCAATTGACTTCAGTAATCAGTTAAATACTGTACATTTAAAATATCTAGTATAAGTGTATAGTGATATACCGAATATGTGTTGAGATCTATGCGCACCCAAAATATCTATTCTGTATGAGTGTTCCCAATTTGCCTTGATATTAATTTAAATCCTGTTCATCCATATCCAAAATATGTGAGTTTAGTTGCTTTTCTTTGTGTATTAAATATAGCATTAGATATGTCTCTATCTCAAAATATCCATAATGTTCTAATGTCGCCCATTAGTAATCATTTGAGTTATGTTCCATTCAATATTTAATTGGGAATTATTCGAATTTTTATTTATTTTTTTGTTTTACTACAATTAATTTGTTGTATTTTTTATATAGAAACCATAGCAATAGCAAACCTACAAAATAGCATTTTACAATATTGATCTTATTTATATATATTTAATATCTGTGTTGTTTCTTATTTATTCTCTTAATTTTTATATCTTAATTTAAATTTGAATTTAATTTGAACTAAATTTATTTTGTAATTTTTTGATAGTGCTTATCGACTGATATTTATGATATAGTATATATCGACAGATATATATATATATATAGCAAAACGTAAAACTACAAAATAGCTTAGCATTTCAAGCACTTACTATTTTTTAATCAACTGTATAATATATATAATATTTGTACAGCCTCTGTTCATACGGATAGTGAGACGTTAACATCGGCGGAACCTTCTCGGAGGCATTCTTTGGAAGATAGCAATAGCAACAATTCGCAGCAAACGATATCGGCGACATCGAGACTGATAAATACCGAATGCGATCATGATGCAGAGTCGAGGACCCATTCACCTTTGAGCCGGATGAACTTGAACCACTCTGCGGGGGGTAATTATGATGTGAGCAATCAGTTAATGCAATTGATACGTAGCCTAAATGCACCACTGAGTGTGAGCGAGACAGAGCGTTTATATCGATCACAAATTGTACCCTGCACTTGCCTAATTTTTGAGGATGCACCCAAATTAAACCCAACTAACGATGAGAATAGCAACAATAATAATAATAATGAATTAAATTCCGAGACTGTTGAGGATCACCGAGAAAGAGGGCAACAACAGCAAACAGAGTCGATTAATCGAAATATTGATAATCAGCAAAAGAAATTAACTGCTGCGGCTGATGCTGATGTGACAAAGATAATGCCTACTTCGATTGCGCCCAGTAAACCAATTAAATCGATATTCGATTTGGATTTCGATGACGATGATGATCCAATGCAATCGATAATGCAAAAAATACCCGATAGGAATGCGCCCAATACAAATGAACCAAATGAACTGAAATCGACCACAACTAATGAAGTGAATAATTTGCATTCTGTTGTCGATTTGCAGATGGAATCAGATCCTGGTAATAATCAAACAGAACTAGTTCCTCTATCGATATACACCGTTCACGAAGATCCCGATTGTTTGGCCCGTCAGCGTTTCGAAATACAAACAAACAAAGTGACCACCTTTCACATAAATGCCTTGCACAATTATTATGTGCCCAACATCAATGGCAATTGGAACAACACTGGAAACTATGGGAATTGGAACAGCAGAATCAATGATCAAACTTATTCAGTTCGAGATGGTTCGGATGTGGTTCCAAAATATGGTTCACTCACCTACGAAATGATACGCAAGGATTTGAGTGAATTGAAATTCAAACAGAATCTGAATGTGAAGAGGGATGGAAAAAAAATGAAGAATTATTTGCCAACATTTTTGGGTGTCGCCAAATGTTTACCAACGTGTCGACGACGCGCGGCGAGGGAATGGAACGAAATGTCATTGAAACGGGCAGCGAGTAGGCAGCAAATTAAGAGCGGTCCAAGTCCGTTGCGTGTGCACATCGATAACGCGAACGATAACAATGTTATAGCTGATCAAGCGGATGGTTATAATTTGCTAAAGGTGGCACAGGAAGCTGATACAAAGCTCAGCTATGTAGCCTCCGAATTATCGATAACAAATCGAACAAGTAATCGCTGCAACAGCAGCAGTAACAATAGCGATTGCAGTAATTTTAGTTCACAGCAAACACAAAATTCAATTAATGCAAAGGTAAGAATTCGGCGTACAAGCGAACAAGTGGCAGAACGGCATGTTATCGAACGCAATCGCAAGAAGCGACGAAAAGCGAACAGATATGAGCAAGAACAGCAGCAGCAGTTATCAATAAATGAAAAGCCGCGCATCAAACGCATTAAAATTGCCATCAACGGACAATTGCCGCACATAAGCAATTATAGCAGCAGCAGCTGCAACAACAGCAGTGATGAACAGGATGAGCAGCGGGAGGAGGAGCAAGACCAAAATGAGCAACAGGAGGAGCAAAATGAGCAGCAACAGGAGGAGCAGGGTGAGCAGAAGCGTCAGTACCGAAATATGCAAGACCAAAATGAGCAACAGGAGCCGGAAGAAGACAATGGACACGAAACGAGAAACAAGCTAAGCAATGATTGTCAAAGAATGCTGCAGACTGTTGCTAGCGAAGACGAGGAGGATGACGACGATGAGCGTGCCTCGTTGCGCAGTCGGTCGACAACACTGGACGAGGATGCTGTCGTGCTGGAGCACGAATACGATAACGATAACAACGACAATGAATATGCTATTATTCGCCGTGGTGGAAATAATGGAAACAATCATTTGGTTTTAACTATTAAGAAGACGCCGAGTAAAATTAATTCGCCCGTCAACTCGATATCAGCAAATATATCACCCAATATAGTGGTGGCTGTTGTTAAAACTCAAAACGATGCCGATAACAGCGAAGGAGTGCAAAAAGAACAGCAGCAAATGACACAACAAGCAACGATGGCGGCAACGCCCAGCTGTTTGCATAATGTTGAGCGCTGTTATCGTTATCGACGCCGTCATCATCGTCATCGTTATCGTCGTCCGCCCATAGACATAACACTAAAGCATCTATTTAATAACAATAATAATAATAATAATAGTGTGAAACAATTACATCGCAAATTGTTTTTCACCAATGAGCTAAAATTCGAAAATGCCTCCGGACAAAAAGAGCGCCTTTTGAATTACAGTAGCAGTAGCAGCGATGATAGCAGCGAATTGGAAACGGAACTGGAAGCAGCTGCTGCACATAATTATAAATTAAAGAATGAGACTGACCAAAGTGTGCGCATTGCTGCCAATATACATACCGACTATGAGAACGATGAGCAGCTGTGCTTAAATACAGATGATGATGAGGAAGAAGAAGTAGACGACGAAAGCGAAGACGAAGCGGTAGCAGCAGGCGAAGAGGAAGACGAAGGCAAAGCGGGAGCAGATGCAGCAGATGAAGGCAGAGCAGCATCAGAAATCATCAAAGTATCCGCAGAAATCGACGCAGCCAACGACGTAACGACGCTTGCTGAGTTGCGCTTAGACAATAATAATGACATGCTGCCCACATTTAATTCTATTTACGCCAAACAAATACAACAACAGAGAAACAATGAAACATGTGAAGAGCATAATAATAATTTTAAATGTGGCGTCATGCAACAAACAACGTTAGCGACGACGGCGGCATCTAACATGTTGGAAGCGAGTTGCGAAAAACGGCTTCAACCTGCACTGGAAAATATAACGGGAATGCGCGCAGTGCTGCTCGACGTCGACGTCAACGTCCAAGAAGACGCTGAAGCAGAACAACTGAAAACAGATAAAAAGCGATTGCAGCAGCAGCAGTTTAAGGAGTGGCACCAGGTGCTGCAGCTGCAATCCTATAATGAAGAACCGTTAATTGTATTGCCATACGTTGTGCTTGAATGAACATGCATACATATGAACATTTTTGCTGCTGTTTGTGATAGGAATTAAAATAAATCAAGAAGAAGAAGACGGAAGAGGATGTAGAAGAAGCAGCAGCAACATCAGTGGAAGTCAAGTGGAATTGTAATTCAATTACGACTACCCTTCCAATGTCCTGGAATATGTTTTTATTCCAGTGCGAGTCAATCTTTAAAACTTCTCTTCTTTTTTGTATTTCTTTTTTCCTGATATTCAAATTAAGTTTCTTAATTTTTTTTGGCCTTTTCGTTTCGGTTAGCTGAAAGTTTTTGGCATTAATTTAAGTGAACCACTTCAAATATATATATATTAGTTTATATATCGTTGATCATTTTTCGCATCTTTATCTCTTATATATAAATATATATATTATGTATATCTTATACGTTTTTTTTTAAATGTAATAAAAACTGAAATGTACATGGAATGTAAATAAATTTAGTCATACGCCGATTATATTTTGTTGCACACTTTTTTATTTGACTTCAAAAATACATAACTTTTCTTACCATCCATGTTCAAGGAGGGAATGGGAAACAACCTCTTGTAGGAGGTGAGGGGTTGAGAGAGCGATTAGCAAAGTGAATACAGCTGCGGGACCGGGAAATATGTATGAAAGCGCGCGCAGAAATAACATGGCTGTTCCGAGATAGGCAGAGATCAGCTGTCGCCCAGCATGTGCCAAATTGAGCGTGAAAATCGATTGCGCTGCTCAAATAATAAAAACGCGCTATTTTGATTGCATTTCGTAATTAATTTATTTGAATTTCGTTATTAAATGTATATAGTTTAAATATCATATATTTTTTGGGTCAATAACCGCTAAGGTGCCACAAAAAAAAAACACATTTTAGGGCAGAAAACCAACGAAAAACGAATCAACTTTTCTGACTGATTGGTGTTTTGATGTTGTAGTTGAGGATGCCAGCGCAAGTCACAAAAGTGGTTCGTGTATTCGGTTTGATTAACTTCTTCGGTGTGTATCGTTTTGTGAGTTTATCGTCGTATTTAAAGAATGTAATACATAAAAGCTTTAACAAATGGAAAAATTAAAAAAAAGTGTACATTTCTCCAATGTGTAGTATTTTGGCAATATTATTTCGTTTAACTCTAAAGTACAAATAGGTATTTAATTTACACATACAAACACAAGAGTACCGCTAATCGTCTCTCCCTCTCATTTTTCTTATGCATGTCTGTCAGCTGTGCGTAGAATGAAATACTTATAAAATGATACACACATGAGCATATATACATATGTATAGATGTGTGTGTGTGTGTGTGTGTGTGCGTGCGTGTGTTTGTATGAGCAGTCTAATTACACAAATATTTATATGCCAAAAATGTAAAATCAAGTTTGTGGTAGTTGTTTTTAATTAGGCTTCAGCGCTGAGCACATTCACTGAGAATGCGCAGAGGCTTTCACCCTTTTTGGCAACGGCCTTTGCCTGATATTGGCCGACATCGTCCAGGGTGCATTTAGTGATGGCAAACGTGTAACGATTACCATCCTTTGTGAACGAGTAACGATTGCGTGATTCATCGATTGGTTTGCCATCCTTAAGCCAGGCCAAAGTGAGCAGTTCCCCATCCAGTTCACATTCAAATGTCGCATTCTCACCAGCGGCAACGGAAATAGAAAAGGGGAATTTAACAAATGACGGCTGTTTGGGTTCATCGCCAGGCACTGTCACATTAATTGTGCACGTGCTAAACGATTCACCGGCATCGTTGAATGCTTCACAGGTGTAGGTGCCGCCATCTTCAGGGAATATTTCGGCAATTTGCAGGCGATAAATGTTCGCTTCGTTCGTGTATTGGAAGTCTTTGCTGGGCTTGATTTCTTTGTTGTTGTGCAGCCAGACAACATCGAACTTTTGGGCGCCGATAATGCGACAGGCCAGTGTGACCGCATCGCCATCTTTCACAAATCTCGACTCCAAGTGGCTTACAATTTTTGGTGGCTGATCGTTGCCAGTGGCTTGGCGCTTGCTCGATTGTTTGTCCAAAGCTGTGAAATAAATAAAGAGAATTACAATTTGAATTGTGTATTTTTAGAATTGATTTGTATATGTATAATTATTTATATATTTTGAACGATACGCTCAGCTATAAGCTGACATGCTTTGTACACAATGCCGCAATGGTGGTAAGTCGATAACAATAAAGGCTAGATTGAAGCTTGCTCGCCGTTTTATTCGATGCCAAAATGAGGTGGCAAACCGGTAACTGCTAATTGTTCTCTTACGTTTAATGCTTAGCTTGCATTTAGTTTCCACCGCGCTTATTGAATTGGTCGCAGTGCAGGTGAAAATGCCTTCGTCTTCCGGGAAAACTTCGTGAATTGTGAGCGTCGCGATGCCATTCTTATATTTCAAATCCATAATCTCCGATGAGGAAATGGATTTGCCATTCTTGGACCAGGTGATTTGCGGCTCTGGATCACCCTTAACGTGACACGTCAAAACCAGCTGTTCGCCATCGCGAATTGTTAGATCGTGCAGCGGCTTCGTGAATTCCGGTTTGCACATTAAGGAATCGTCGGGTGGAACTGTAAATAAAAAATATTTATTGTATATTTTTAATATAATAAATATTATATTTAATGGACATACGTATTAGCTCTTTGGTGGCACTACGAGATCGTGTTGGGCTGCCTGGCGTCTGCAGCGAGGAGGTACTGGCCGCATATTTCTTCTTGCCTGAAATGCTATTCTGTGTCGTTGAGGAACTTGTGCTGCTTACGTTGGTGCTGGTAGTCTGCAAAATGCATGCCCTATATTAGTAACTGTCAACTGTTGTCGATTAACCGCTTACTCTGCCATCCGCCGCCGTTCTAGTGCTCGATGTCTGCTGCGATTGGCTGGACGATGCGAACTGTCTTGTGGTTATTATTGGCGGTGGAGCTGGCTTTATGGGCTGCTCGATATATTTGCGATCTGTTATCGGGAGTAGTAGAAATACAAAAATATGAATCGATATATGTATATGAATATTTAAATTTTCAAAATACACAATGATAGATTCAATACTTATACATGCTAAATGACTGGTTTTCATAATATTTAAAATGTATATTTTATTATTTATTATTTATTATTTTTTAATATTATGATAATCAACAATAAGGTGTTATAAAATATCTTTGTTAGCTGGGCTTGCTTCGTCGGTTTTATTTTTTTTGAGGTTAGAGTTTTAAATGGTCTCCCAAGGAAACAAAAGGAAAAACAGCTTTATTAATAATTTATTAATATTAAGTGTAATAAGTGGGACGAACATTTCAAATCAACTGCAATACTAAAGTGCAAAGTAGCTTGGAATAGTTTTAATTTATGTATCTAAAGACAAAAAGGTTTTAAATTAAATAAAACTTTAAATAGAATTTTTAATACAAATTTGAAAAAAAAAACATAATATAAGGGATTTAATAAAACTGGGTAATCAAACTTTAAAACAGATTACACCGCACTCTTTTTACTGAACTGTCTTGCTTTTTGCAGATACTTGAATTAGTCAATATATGATTTAGGGTGTTTTTTTTTAATTATTTATTTAATTTAAAAACAAGAGCATTTGCCCTAAATGATCATTCATAACTTGTATTTTTTTTTTTTTTATATATATAGGGGATATATGCATGCTTGGAGAAAAGTAACGATAGTTTTAAATTCGATAATTGTGAATTACCTCCTGAGTAAAGGAAATTGTGTGCTAGTTCTGCCTGCTCAGGCGTTACCCATTCACCTGAAGAAAGTTAGCAATTTATAGTTGAGACAGATAGTCAGGATATATATTTAAGAATTTGTATTAATTATTGGTCGATAAATTCTAGTTAAGTTCTGTAGTTTTATAATTGCCTGGATGCTGTTTTTGACAACCAACCATTAAAATTAGAAATCAAGTCGAGTTTGACCGACTAAAATAATATCTGAGCAGTCCTAATCGTCAAAAACAAATATATAAAAAAAAATGTCTATATAAAAAACATTATAAGAAACGATAATTATATTATAGTAGATACAAATATATGAATATCTATCTATCTCTCTATATATTTCTATGATCAGTCCGTGTGTATTTGAATAAGTGTAACTTGTTCAGTTTTAAATCACATATATTTTCTTGTGAATAGGCAAATAAATAACAAATAATCAATTATTATCGGACCACAATTTTGTAGAACTGCCGAAAGATACGATTTCAGCTTTAGCTAGTTTATATAATAATATAATATAATAATAGTTCCTTAATAACCTACACAAATAGGGAATAAAAATAAATCTATATAAAAGTTAATATCTGTTTTTTTTCTTTCTTTTTTAAAAAATATTATTTTTTGATAAATAAAAATAAATAATAATGAAAATATAATACAAAAATAATAAAAATTATTTGTTTTAAATTTATATATATATATATATATATATACATATATAAATTTATATATATATATATATATTCACAATATCTAATGAATAGCTCCAAATATGTATATTTAATTACCATTGGTATATATTATCTATATATATTTAGTAGTCGATTCATAAAGGATAGTTGTAAATATATATATGTATTATTTATAATAATTATATTCTATGTATAATATTTAGTGGGTAGCTTTAATTATATATTATATATATAATAGCTTCGATTATATATTAATTATATAATTAAGTGAATGTGGTACAGATTATTTATATATATATTTAGGATAGTATATATATATATATATAAATATTTTATTGGAATATTTTTATGTATATAAATAGTAGAGTATTCATTGGGGATAGTTCCATATTCTTTATATAAATTATGTTATGTCTGTATAGTCGAGTTTAATATATGATAGATTACCTTCGACAATGACGACACACTCTGTCTCATCGGTGCCGTGGCAATTGGTGGCCTTGCAGGTGTATTTGCCGGAATCGGATGGCTTGCAATCGATGATCTCCATGGTGACGACACCGTCCGAGTGGGTCATCGCATACTCGTATTTGCTGAGTTCCCGGCCATCCTTGAACCACTTCACGCTTGGTACGGGCTTGCCGCTGAGGCAGCAGAGGAGCTTGCAGGTATCGCGGGCCTGCATGACACGTGGACGCAATAGGAATGTAAAGCTGGGCGCCGATTCCGACTCTTCCTGCCAGAAGGTGTAGGGCAATGGTTCCCTTCGACGCACCGGTGTCGATTCGGTGCGATATCTCGGCTGTTCCTTGGGCAGTGGATGCACATTGAGGAAAACGACCTCCTCCCGTGAGCCATAATGATTCTCAGCTCTGATTATATACTCGCCGCGATCATCCATTTTCACGCGATTTATAATGAAATAATAATCATCTCCAGCATATCGTTTCATAAACTTAACACTCTGTCTCAACTCGATGTTGTTGTGCGACCAGGTCAAAGTTGGCGTCGCAATTGCTATGCAACGGCAATAGAATTTGACACTTTGACCCTCGTAGCAGAACTGGGACGATGGTCGTATAACGAATCGAGGAGCTGCCTGCCTTCGATCGAAGACCGCATCGTATATCTTGTATTTCTCCATGAGCAGTTTGCGCAGCGCCGAATATTCCGAAAGTCTTCCAATGGGCAGTAAATATTTCTCGAAATCGGCGTATTTCTTGCGCAACTTTTCGCGATACGCCAGGTAACGATCACGAGCAATTTTCTGTGTCAGATCGCTATGATCTCCAGTCAGCCACGGGTGCAGCAAGCACTCGTGTGCCGTCATCCGTTTCTCCTTGTTGGCAAGCAGCAGTTTGCGTATAAAGTCCTTGCCCTCCTCGGATATATGCCTAAAAGCATCCACATCAAAGTCCCAGTCACAGGCCTTTACGTTCTTCAGAGTTTGCACATCATTATCCCCAGCAAATGGCGATAGTCCACTCAATCTACAAAAGAAAAACCAAATTTCAATTTATTCATTTAATATTTTTCCTTAACTGTCTCAAAAAATATAATAAAATTATTTATTAATTCATTTTCAACTCAGCGAAATTATTAAATTATTATTAAATAATTATAAATTAAATAATTATAAATTTTTGATCAGTGAAATCTTTGGCCACAATATAAAAAATAATAAATAAAATAGGTTAATCATTATTAATTAATTATTCATTATTTCTTATTCCGTTACTAAGTGAAATCTTTGATCAAAATAAATTAAAATGAATACTAAATAAGTGGTAAATAAATACGTTAACTAATTCTCATTTTTCAACCTAGTGAAATCTTTGGCAAATAAATATTTAAATAGGTTAGGTTAGGTTATGTCGGCTGTCAGCCCGATGGGCTGACACACTTAGGCCATATTTGGTCCGAATAATAAAATAAATATAATAAAAATATATAATAATATATAACTTAATATTTATTTTATTCAATGAACCTACAAAAGATAAATATTAATTAAATAATTCAAATTTTCACAATACTTTGACTTCAGCTCCTGCCGCATATTTTTTAAATTTAAAATAAGAAACTATCCATATAAAATGAACATAATAAAGTAATAAAAGCAATAATTATAAAAACTTATTAAATTTGTAGTTCAAAAAAATATAAAATAAAAAATATGAATATAAATAAAATTAAATAAATAAAAGATCATCATTATTAAAAGTAGTTAAATATTTAAAGTATTGAAAAAAATATGAACAAATATATAAAATAAGATATTGGTCGAGTATTTACGAGCTTTTTGTATTTATAGTTTTTAAAAAAATTGTAGAGGCTCAAGGTTATTTATTTTGGTTAAAAAAATGATCAATTTAATTTGAATTGAATTTTGGATTGTGAAAATACTTACAGGACATAGGCGAGCACACCCGTTGCCCACATATCCGTGTAGAATCCGACTGGTTCCCGATTCACAATTTCGGGTGCAGCAAATTCCGCCGTACCCGTTGTAATTTTCACCACCTCATTGGGATCCAAACGGGTGGCGAGGCCAAAGTCGATCAGTTTGACATTTGTGCTGGTCCGTGTCTGGCACATGATGTTCTCGGGCTTGATGTCCAAGTGAATGATGTTCTTCTCGTGCATATGGCGTATTCCCTCACAGATCTGGCGCATATAGTTAATCACTTCTGCCTCGGTCATCACATAACCCTCAGCCGTTATGCGCTCAAAAAGTTCGCCACCGGACAAGCTGCGCAGAGAGAGTAAAAATAAATAAAAATAAATAAAAAAATAATACAAAATACATATAAATAAATAAGTAAATTAGAGTCAGAGTTGGAATTTATGGCTTGCAGGTACCTTATAAATCAAGCTAACAATACGTAGTCTAATACCGTAAATAATTTTGTAAAAATACTGGTAAATTTAGCGCAATATTTATAGAGTTGGAATGGAAATTGGTGCCATCAATTTACATATACATACCGGAAGATATTATATATATGGTGCCAAATAAAAGAGTATATATATACTTTATACTTCGTTTAAAAGTATGGAAAAATGATGGAACCCTAATCGACATTTTTTATACAACTTTATTTTTACTAATACTAATATTTTTATGTTATTTTATTCGAATACCATAAAAGAAAGCTTTTTTTAGAATAGTCGACATAGTTACTGTAGTTTTATTATAATTTTATTATTTCTTAACACTTATTGTTATTATCGCGTATAGTACAATAATATGTTAAATCAACAATGATTACATAGTTCTGTATGCACAATGTACATAGAGTCACCACAACATTCTGTATGCGAGTCTCTTAACAGATTACTGTAAAGACGCGCATAACATCGATTAGCGTAATTGAGTCGTTCCATTACATTAAGCAAAGAAGGTTGCGCAGCGCTTGACGAAATGATATTGAAACGTATATATGTAAACATAACCTCTAAAGAAAACTCCTCGTGTTATTAATGGTCATGGGCCCGGTGTTTCAATCAGTAAGCCTGCACCCATAACCCCAAATCTCCAACAACACTCCATCTAATTTTACTTAATACTGAATATCTTAGAAAAGTTTGAAAGAATTCTCGGCATTTTTATAGGCTGTGAACCTAAATTCAATTCGTTGTCATTATTTAATCCCAATTCCAGTGAATATTAATAACGTAAAAGAGTTTGAGAAAGTTAGAGTTATTTTATTAATGGAATTCGAAATGGAAAATTGAAATAAATTGAATAAATCTGATTTTAAAGAACAATTCGATTGAATACCGAATAGGTTAAATAATAATACCTGGAATATATTAAAATTAATTTTTTTAAGAATCGAAATGGAAATTGAGTAATGTTGATTTTGATAATCAATTCGAATGAGTTAAAATACCCTTTTCGAATACCTGGTATATATTTAGAGCCATTTGTCTTAGAATTATTTAATTTTCACTTGTACTCACAATTCGAGAATCAGGACCATTTCGTCGTCGTCCTCGAAGGCGTCGTGCAGATTGATTAGTTTCTGGTGATGCAGCTGATTCATGATATCGATTTCGCGCCGGATCAGATCCTTCTCAACCGTATGCGAGACGGGTATAAATTTGGCGGCAAATGTGTTGCCAGTACTGCGTTCGCGACAACGATGAACAACTCCAAAGGCGCCTGTGCCGATTTCCTCGAGAATATCGTATCTATCGTAGACGCTCTGTTGCGATATCTCAACGGCTTGCGGCACGAATTTCGAATAGATGTCAAAGACATACGAATCGTAGTCCTTGATGGGTCCATCAGCCTTGCCCCTGACACGCTTGCCATTCTCATCCAGCTCCCATTTGCGTTCGGCGGGTTTCTTCTTGATCGACTCCTTCGTTTTGATCAGCGTGCTAATCTCGGAGGAATCGGAACGACCGTATACATTATCCGCAAATATACGGAAATCGTATTCCTTGCCCGGCGTCAAGCCGCTGACAGCCATTGAGGTGAAGCGCGTGTTGCCAACACGTATCCACGAGGACAGGGGATGTTCTCTTCGCTCGACGAGGTAGTTGGTGATATTACTACCTCCATCCCAGATGGGCGCCTTCCAGCTCAGCGAGAGCGAGTCGGTGCCGATGCTCTCAATTAACGGGAATCTCGGCGGATCTGGTCGATCGCTGATCTGCACTTGAATTATGGCCGTGTCAGAGCCGAGCTCGTTCTCTGCCGTAATGCGATACGGGCCGGAATCGAGGCGTGAACCATCACGTATGGTGAGTACAGCGTGTCTCTCCTTCACTTCCACGTTATAATGTCCGCCCGATTCGATATTCTCGCCCTCGCGCACCCAGTGTATGCGTGGCTTGGGGAAGCCTGTAAACGGTATTTTAACAATCACATTCTCGCCTTTGTCAAAGTACGCCGTGTCCCGGAAACGAGGCGGTACATTTAACTTCGGTGCGGTCATTATGGCGAGAGCAGCCCGTGTCGATTTGGCGCCCGCTTTGTTTACGGCACGGCAAACATACTCGTCGGCATCCTCGCCAAACACATCGTTAATGTGCAGGAAGTGATTGTCGCCCTCGGAGTAGATGTGATAGCGTGCCCCATTCGTTATCTCACGGGCGCCCTTGTACCAACTGATTACGGGTCGAGGTACGCCCGTAATTGTGCACGTAAACTGCGCATTGTGATTCTGTATGCAGTTCTCATCGCGCAGAGGCTTCACTATTTGTGGCGGCGTCGCCGCCTTCGGATCGATGATCTTGACGGCCTGCGAAGCGGAGGATTCTTTTGAGAGTCCGGCTATATTTTGAGCAAACACACGGAATTCGTATTGCCTGCCCTCGATGAGATTGTGGCAATTGATTTGATTGGTTGCCTGAATAATATTATTGATTCGCTGCCACGTATCGCTGCCAAGTTCCCGTTTGTCCACCCAGTAGCCCTGGACATGAGCACCGCCATCAGACTCGGGCTTGGCCCATTCAAGATGGGCAAATTCTCCGCCAATCTCTGTGATTTGCGGCACGCCGGGAGGAGATGGTGGATCAATGGGCGCCTTGGCACGTATCGGATTCAAACCCTCCAGTGGAGGACCCATGCCATTCTCGTTCACGGCCATCACACGGAATATGTACTCCTGATTCTCAATTAGGCCTTGAACATTGAAATTGGTGTCCTTGCAGGTGCTGGATACGGTTATCCAATGAGGCGATGATATATCCTTGCGCTCCACAACATAATGGGAGATGCGCAGGCCGCCATCGTAGCTGGGCGGACGCCAGGTTAAGGTGCACGAATGCTTATTGATGTGGGAGATGCCCATGGGACCCACTGGCGTCGACGGCAGACCCGTTATGCGCACATCAATCGGAGCCGTAGCCGAGCCTGATTCATTGCTCAGCTCAACGTGATAATTGCCCGCATCTGATTTCACAATATCCCTGATAAAGATGGCAACATAATCATCGAAGACGGTGTACTTCAGATGCGACTCGTTTGCCGCATCCGAGACGAGCTCATTGTTACGGGTGATGCGCACGGCGAGCGGCTGATCACCAGAATAGTAGACCTTAATCTTGGTATTGTCGCCCTCCGGCAAATAGAGTTCGCTCGGACAGCGATTGATGATGGGCGGTGCCCCGATCTTCAGATAACCCGAGGTGTGCACAAATCCGAGCGAATTGATGGCTTCACACGTATAGTCGCCATCGTCGCTGGACAGCACGTTGGTGATGTGCAGCCGGAAGATGCCGTCGTGACTGTCGCACGTGAACCGGCCACCGGCGGGCATCTGAATTTCCTTGCCATTCTTGAGCCAGCGGGAGGTGGGCGTTGGCTTGCCGGATGCGGCACACTGGAGCGTGTAATCCTTGCCGCAGGGCGCCACCCGATCTTGGAGTCGGCTGATCCATTCCGGCTTGACGCCGCCTAGCACCTCGCACACCTTAATCGGCATCGTGCACAGACTCGGCTCCGAACGTCCAGCGGCATTCACCGCGAATATACGGAACTCATAGTCACCCATTTCGATCAGATTGATAACGGTGAATTCCGTATCGAGAACATTATAATCATTGCACTTTACCCATACAGCGCCGCCAATATCGCGTCGCTCAATGATGTAGCCGGTGATGCGAGAGCCGCCATCACTGGTGGGCTTTTCCCACTTGAGATCGACGTAGTTCTTTCCCACCTTGGTGACCTGGGGCGTGCCTGGCGGCGAGGGTACATTGAATTTGCCCTTCAGCTTGAATCGCATCGAGGGCGGCGACGGTTTACTGAATCCGGCAGCATTTTTAGCTTTAATCCGGAACTCGTACTCACTGCCATTGGTCAGATTATAGAGCTGATATTTGGTGTCCTTGATGAGATACTCGTAAGTGTTCCAGGCTGAATCGTTGACCACGTCCCGGTACTCGATCTGGTAGCCTTGGATGCGGGAGCCGCCATCGTTGACGGGTCGTGTCCAGATCAGGGTGACATTACCCGAATCCCAATCGATGACCTTGGGCTGGCCGGGCTCGTCGGGCACCGTAAATTGATGCTTGGCCGTAATCGGCTCTGGCATTTCCAGGGGATCCGATAAGCCGTATTGATTCTCCGCCCGTATACGGAAATGATATTTGTGATTCGGTTCCAGACCCATCACATCATAGTGGGTGTTCCGCACAAAGCTGCTGACTTTCACCCAGGTGCCGCTGGCATCCAGTTTCTCCACAACATAGTTGGTGATCGGGGAACCGCCGTCATCCAGCGGTGTTTTCCACGCCAACGTGCAGGTGTCCGGCGTAATGTCGTATGCATTGAGGGGTCCCTGGGGCGGACCGGGTCTGTCCACAACGGTCACATGGCACGACGCCGTATCCGAACCCTTCGCATTCGTCAGCGTAATCGTGTAGGAGCCGGTCTCCGTCCGCTTGGCACAGTTGTTGTGGTACACGGAACTATAATCGTCTGTCTCGAAGCGTATCCGCTCATCCGGACTGACATCGACTCCGTTGATATTCCAGTTTGGTGTGGGCCTAGGATTGGCTTGGTAGGGCACGGTGATGTGGAACTCCTCGCCAGCAATCACCACCATGTCCCGTATGGACAAGTCCGACGTAATCTTGGGCGCATGCGGTGGACGACGGCAGGGGATTAAATCACTCGACGCACTAAACGGAGATTGACCCGCTGCATTCACAGCGGCTACACGGAATTCGTACTCGGCATTCTCGATAAGATTGGGTATCTTGCAGCTGAGATCCGGACAGAGGGCGTGCACCGCTTTCGTCCACTTGTCCTCGCTGAGCAGTCGCTTTTCGATGATGTAGCCGGTGATCGGTGAGCCGCCATCGTGTTTGGGCTTCGTCCAGGCAATGGTAATGCTATCCTCGGTGGAGTCGATGCCTCGCGGAATGCCCGGTGCATTGGGCACATCGAAGGGATGGCGGGCACGGATCGGTTCGCTTGTCTCAGCCGGCTCCGATTGCCCGTATTTGTTCTCGGCAATCACACGGAAATCGTAGTCCTTCCCGATGGTCAGATTGCGAACCCGCACAAAAGGCACAGTGCAATAACTGCTGACCTTGCTCCAAGTGGAGGATCTCGCCTCCTTTTTCTCCACTATGTAGTTCTGTACGGGCGAGCCGCCATCGTCGCATGGCGGATTCCAGTAGAGGGTCAATGAATCGCCGGCAAATTCATCGGCACGCAAATTGGTGGGCGGACCCGGTCGATCTAGCACCTTAACATTTATGGTAGCCGTGTCGAAGCCATGGGGATTCTTCAGCTGCAATCTGTATTGACCGGAATCGGTCCTCTTGGAGTTCTTCACCACAAACGAAGCAGCCTCGTCCGTCAAATGCTGATGCATACGTGGATCCAGATCATCGAGGACTCTATCATTGGAGTACCAAGAAGCCGTAGGTTTGGGGAAGGCAACGTAGGGCACGTGTATGCTGAAATCGTCGCCGGCACGGCACACAATGTCACGGACACCGCCCAGATCCATGCAGGGTTTGTTCGGCTGCTCCTCAATCGTAATCGGTGGCGATGGCTTCGAGGGATCGGAGCGACCCACATCGTTCTCTGCTATGACGCGGAACGAGTACTCTTCGCCCTCCTTCAGATTGGGCACGGTGTAAACGGTACCGTTGATGGGTAGTTCATTCACGGGTTTCCAATCCTTGGCATTCTTTGGTCGCATCTCCAGATGGTAGCCCTTGATCTTGGACTTGCCATCGTTTCGCGGCGGTCGCCACGAGAGTGTAACACTATCCTTGGTGATGCGATCCGGTTTAGGTGGCTCCGGTGCGTCGGGTCGATAGCGTTGCAGCTCTGCTGTCATCGGCTCCGAGGGCTTTGAGGGACTGCCCGGACCCGCCTCATTTACGGCAATTACGCGGAACTCATAACGAGCACCCTCGCGCAGATCGGGTACGGTATAACTCGTATTTGGCGTTGGGTAATTGTTACACTTGATCCATTCGCCGCCCCTTTCGCGTCGCTCCACAATATAGCCGGAGATGGGTTTGCCACCGCAATAGTCCGGCGGATGCCATTCGAGCGAGGCTGAGTTGGGTGTGTAGGCGACCACCTGGGGCTGACTGGGCGCACCTGGTGGATCGAAGGGTGACTTGGCGATGACGGGCTTGCCATCTAGTGGCTCAGATACGCCGTAAATATTCTCCGCTCGCACGCGGAACACGTATTTCTTGCCCTCCGTCAGACCCTTGACCGTATAATTGGTTTTCGGGCAATAGCCAGGCACCGGCTTCCAATCGTCCACGCCGAACTCACTGAATTCAATTATGTAACCCGTAATTTCGCTCCCGCCATCGTCTTTAGGTGGCAGCCACTGCAGCGAGATGTGTTCGGGTGCGGTTTCGGTGTAAGTCAGAGGACCTTCCGGCGGCGTCGGTTTATCCACCACTATGATCTCAACGTCCGCGGAGTCCTTGCCAAATTCATTGCTTGCCGTTACCTTATATACGCCTGAATCTTGTCGCGTCGAATCATCAATGCGGAATATCGTACGCTCTGAATTCGTGTCGTATGAGACCTTCTTGGACTCCGGTAATTTGAGGTCACCACGTTTCCATTCGACGGTCGGCGTTGGTGCACCCGATATGGGTATATTCACATTAACCGGTTCGCCAGCACGCACCTTAATCCTTCTGCCTAGCAGGCCGTCCAAGTGCAACTTTGGCTTCTCGCGCATTGGGCGAGCGCTGAGTGTTGTGGAGGGTTCGGAAGGCTTACTGTTGCCCGCCGCATTTACGGCGGACACGCGATACTCGTACTGATGATTGGGCGTGACGCGATCATCACGGTATTCCGTTGTGGGCACGGGTTCAGCGTTCAACTTGAGCCAGCGACCCGTATTCACATCCCTCCGCTCAATATCGTAGCCGAGAATGGGCGAGCCACCATTACTAATCGGCTGCTTCCACTTGATCGTAATGTGATCCTTGTCGCTGTCGGACAACTCCGGCTTCCCGGGTGCACCCGGCACCGTGTACTGATTCTTGGCCACAACGGGCTGCTCGGAAGTCAGCGGATCGGAGCGACCCTGTAGATTCTCAGCCATGACGCGGAACTCGTATTTGGTACCCTCTAACAGACGCGGTACTACCGCATGATTATACTTGGCATTCACATAATTAACGGCCGGCACCCACCCACCGCCATGCGTCAAGTCCCGCTTTTCAATGACGTATGCAGAGATTTCGGAGCCACCGTTGTCCTTGGGCGGTTTCCATGAAACTGTCACCGAATTGGCGGTGATTTCCTCGTATTGCAGAGGTCCCTCTGGCGCACCAGGACGATCCAGCACGATCAGCTCAAAGCTGCCCTCATCAATGCCGGAATCGTTGCGCAATAGTAGATGATAAATCCCGGAATCGCCACGCTGGCAGTTGACGGTGTGCACCACCGTATGGTGGCCAATTGTGGTGATGGTAGAGCGCTCATTGGAGGTTAGTGGATTATTCTTATGTGTCCAGATAGCCTCCGGCGCCGGTTCGCCAATAAAATCAATGTCGATGTGGAAGATTAGGCCCGCCTTGATTCGCACCTCGTGCAGGGGCGTGATTATCTTGGGCGCCAGATAGCGTGGCTTGGCCATAATCATGTCGGAGGGTTCCGAGGGTTCCGATTGACCCGCCTGATTCACGGCAATAATGCGGAACTCGTATTCCTGACCCTCAACGAGTTCCGGTACGGTTGCCGTGGTCTTATTGGGTGGGGCATGCACCACATTGATCCAGTAGGGACTGCCCTTCTCCTTCTTCTGGATGATGTACTCGGTGAGCGGTGCGCCGCCATCCGACTTGGGTGCCGCCCACTGCAGATCGACGTGGTCGCGATCCCAGTCGGTTACGTTGGGTTTGCCAGGCGCATCGGGTTCATCGAACTCGTTTTTGGCCACAATGCTCTTGGCGGCTTCGAGTGGCTCCGATTCCCCGATGGCATTCACTGCCTTCACCCGGAAGAGGTACTCCTTGCGGTGCACCAGCCGGGTCACGTCATGCACGGGATGCGTGCTCATGCCCGCATCCGACCAGGTGCCACGCGACAAATCCATTTTTTCGATGATGTAGTGCAGAATGGGGGAGCCACCATCGTCCTCGGGTACCTGCCATGCCAGGTGGCAGCCATCTCTAGTTATCTTGCTGATGTCTAGCGGACCCTTCGGCACCGACGGACGATCCAAGACGGTGGCATGTGCGGACGCGTCAAAGGAGCCGTGTTCGTTCTTCAGAATCAGCGTGTAGCGACCCTCATCGCTGCGCTGCGCCGAGGGTATCTCAAAGCTGAGCTCGTTCTGGAACAGATTCGATTGGATGCGCGTCTGCTCCGTCAACGGCATCTCCTGGCCATTGTATAGCCACTTGATGCTGGGACGCGGCGAGGCTTCGATGGGCAGAGTCCAGCCCAGTCGCTTTCCGGCGTGAACCGTGATATCGTTGAGCAACGACTTGTCAAAGTGGGGCGCCAGGAAACGGGGCTTGCAGATGACTGTAGCAGAGGGATCCGAGGGATCCGATTGACCCGCCTTGTTCACGGCAATCACACGGAACTCGTACTCCCCGCCATCGGTTAGATCCGGTATGTGCGCCTTGCGCTCCTCCCCGGGTATCGTTGCCGCTCGCTCCCATTGGCCGAACTTGGGCCGCTTCTCGACTATGTAGCCAGTAATGGGTGCACCACCGTCTCTCTTGGGCGCCGCCCACTCCAGATCCACAAAGTTCTTCCCCCAGTCGACAGCCTGCGGCTGACCGGGCTTGTCCGGATGTGCATAGGGATCCTTGGCAGTGATGGCCTGACTGGTGGTCAGTGGTTGCGACTGACCCTGCTTATTCACCGCACGCACTCTAAAGTTGTAGTCATGGTTCTCGATGAGGTTGTCCGCACGGATTTCGCAGCCGGCAGACTCGCCCACGGGCACCCACCGCATCGCCTCATTGTCCATTTTCTCCACAACATAGTGGGTGATCTCGGAGCCGCCATCGTCGCGCGGTGGTCGCCAGCGCAGCGTCAATGAGTTCTTGGTGATGTCATCGCCGCGAAGCGGTGCCTCCGGCGGACTAGGCACATCCAGCACGGTCACCTTAACCGTATGCCTGTCCACGCCATTTATATTGCGTGCCACTAGCGTATATTGGCCAGTGTCCGCTCGCTTGGCGTCGAGTATGCGTAGTTTGGTGCGTTCATCGTTGTTGTTGATCTTCACGCGATCCGTGTTGATGACCATGTTGTCCTCGTGCGTCCACTCCTTGCTGGGTATCGGTTCACCCGACACCGGCACATCGAATTCGAAAACATTTCCCGCCCGTATTTTGATGTCCAACATGAAATTCCGATCGATTTTGGGCGCCAGATTCTTGGGTCTGGCCACATGGGGTTCCGTGGGGTCACTGGGTACGCCCGGACCCGCTTTATTTACGGCCCGTACACGGAACTCGTATTTGACGCCCTCAATCAAGTCAGGCACGTGTCCACTGGTCACATTGCCCTCAATCTCGGCGCACTTCTCCCAATCGGGCGCGTATTTATCGCGTTTCTCGATGATGTAACCACTGATCGGCGATCCGCCGTCGCTCTCCGGTTTTGTCCACTCCAGATCGACGAAATTCTTGTCGAAGTCCTTGATGGTAGGTGTGCCCGGTTTACTGGGCTCGTCGTAGGGATTCTTGGCCTCAGAGGCGTGTGGCGTTGTCAGCGGATCGGACAACCCCTGGCGATTCTTTGCGCGCACACGGAACTTGTATTTGTGGCCCGGCGTGAGTCCCTTCACGTGCAGACTGGTCGTTGGTCCGTCGGTCTCGCCGGCGGGCACCCAACGACCCGACACTTCATCCAATTTCTCGACCACATAGCTGTCAATGGGCTGACCACCATCATCATCGGGTGGACTCCACTTCAGAGTGCAGCCCTCCGCATGCACATCCTCCACCTTGAGCGGACCATTTGGCGGCGACGGTTTATCGATGACTGTAACCTTAACATCCGCACTATCCTCCCCGTTAGCGTTCTCCGCGTGCACCGTATACAGACCCGTATCGGATCGTGTTGCATTGCTCACCTTCAGCTTGGTGTTGTAGTCCACATGGTTAACCTTAACGTTATCTTTAGTGTAGAGTTCCTTTTTCTTGAGCAGCCATTTTGTTTTGGGCGCCGGTTCGCCGGACACCTTGCAATCGAAGCTGAATGCCTGTCCGGCCTTGATGCGTACCTCAATCAAATTGGAACGATCGATAACGGGTGGCTTGTTCCGCGCCTTGGCCACAATTGGGGCCGTCGCATCGGAAGGTTCGCCGGGACCCGCTGCATTGATGGCACTCACCCGGAATTCGTAGGCCTGGCCCTCGGTCAGGTCTGGCACGGTTGCCTTGCACTGATCCGCTGGCACTTCTAGCGCCTTCTCCCAGTGCCCGTATTTGTCCTTCTTCTCTACCAGATAACCGGTGATGGGTGAACCACCGTCGTTGAGTGGCGGTGTCCATGCCAAATCGATGTGATCCTTATCCCAGTCGGTTGGCCGTAGATTCTCCGGCTTGCCCGGCTCATCAAACGGATTCTTGGCTATAATCGATTCCTCCCCAACCAGTGGGGCAGATTCACCCTCAGCATTTACGGCGGATACACGGAACTTGTATTCATTGCCGGGCGTTAGACCCGTAACATCAGCTTGTGGTTCCGTCGAACGGGCGCAGGGCAGCCAACAGCCCGTCTCCGGGTCGAGTTTATCGATCTGAAAGTACTCAATGGGCGTGCCACCATCGTCCGTGGGTCGCTTCCACTTCAGGTGGCAGCCCTCCTTGTGGACATCGGCGATCTGCAGCGGACCATTTGGCGGCGTTGGCTTATCGGTTATATTCACATTGATCAGCACGCTATCTTTGCCGGAACTGTTTACGGCCGTAATCAAATATTCGCCGGAATCGCCACGCTGTGTGGGACGTATGACAAGCTTCGCATAGTAATCGGGTGTTTCTATCGTAACATTCTTGCCCGTTTGCAGGGGATAATTGGAGAATTTCCAGTCCACTTTCGGTGCGGGCTCACCCGTAATTACGGCATCCAATTTGAGAGCCGTACCCGCCGAAATTGTCACATCCCGCAAATTGCGACGATCGATCTTGGGCGCCAAATAGCGAGGCTTGGCTATGAAGGTCTTGCTGGCCTCCGAAGGTTCCGATTGACCGCCCTTGTTCAAGGCAATCACTCGGAACTGATACTCATTGCCCTCGATCAGACCATTTACGGTGGCCAGCGGACTTGGCGTATCCGTTTCAAGTGCCTTCTCCCACAGCGGACTATATTTGTCCTTAATCTCGATAATGTAACCCGTGATCGGTGAACCACCATCCGAGGCGGGCTCCGGCCAAGCCAGTTCCACTTTGTTCGCTGTCCAATCGGTGGGTTCAGGTGCGCCAGGCTTCGACGGTGCAGCTAAAAATAATGTAACATTAATTACTCTATTTTATTTTAATTAGATTCTTTTATCTATTTACTGAATGGATCTTTGGCAATAATCGAGCCCAGTGTTTCCAGCGGCTCGGATTCGCCTTCCTTGTTCACTGCCTTCACACGGAATTTGTACTCGTGTCCGGGTATTAAGCCATCCACATTCATCTCGGGCACATCACTCTTACCCACGGGCAACCAAATGCCCGTATCCGGATCGAATTTTTCCACCAAATAGCTATCGATGGGCTCGCCGCCATCGTCCTTGGGCTTCTTCCATTTCAATTTGCAGCCATCCTTGTGCACATCGGACACCTCCAAAGGACCCTCCGGTTTGCCAGGCTTGGCTGTAAATTTGTTAATTATAATTAATATATATTATTTATTTATTCATTATTAATTTACACTTACTGATTATATTTATTTGAAATTCGACGTGATCCTGGCCGTACAAATTGTGTGCAACAATCTTGTAGAGACCCGTATCCTTGCGTTCCGGATTATTGTTAATATATTTGGTGTTGTACGGCACATTCTCGATGCAACTGCCCGATGTAGAATACACGGACTTGCCATTTTGGGTCCAGCTAATTTCCGGAGCGGGTTCACCGCTCACATTAATGTCCAGGAATATCGGCTCGCCAGCCTTGACATTATAGGTGCGTATATTCTTCCGATCGATTTTGGGGGAAACTGTTTTGAAATGATGATGCATAAAGATAGGTAGAAATTAGCTTATCTTATTTTAATTGATTTGAATTATTTATATATTTATTAATTCATTTAGTTTATTTACTTATTTAATGCAAAAAATAAATTAATTTAAATTAAACTCAAATTTAATATTTAAATTTTAACCTAGAATATTTAGAAATATAAATATTTATTTATTAATTTATTTTATTTGTTCATTTTATTATTTATTTATATATATTATTTATTTTATTTAAATTATTTGATTTATTTTATATGTTTTATTTATTTATTCATTTTAAATAATTATTCCATGTAATAAAGTAAATGAAATTCAATTAAATATTTAAATTTAAATTCCATAAAAAAATAAAAGGTAATATTTATAAGACCATAAATTAAAAATAGTTTGTAATACATTGCATTACAAATATGTAATATTTAAATTTGAATTAAAAAAATATATAAATTATAAGATTACTTAAATTTTTGAATTATTTGTTGAACTTACGTTTTCTGGGCTTGGTAATGACGGATCTGCTGGCGTCTGAAGGTTCGCCGGGTCCGGCAGCATTGATCGCCTTGACACGGAACTCGTACTCGCAGTTCTCGTCCAGATTGGGCACTGTCGCCTTGCACTCCTCATCCAGAGTTGGTGCTGAGATCTCGGCGCCCTTAATCCACTTGTCGGTGCCCTTCTCACGTTTCTCTACCACATACGCCGTAATCGGAGAGCCGCCATCGTTGTGCGGCGGTCGCCAAACCAAATCCACACGATCCTTGTCCCAATCGACTGGCTCTGGCGTGCCCGGTTTGCCCGGCTCATCGAACGGATTCTTGGCCACTATCGTTTGGTCGCCAAGCAGCGGTTCCGATTCACCCTCCGTATTTACGGCCAGCACACGGAACTTGTACTCGTGGCCCGGTTCGAGGTTGTTCAGCTCAGCGAAGGGTTCCTTGAAGCGACCAGAAGGCAGCCAACGACCCGATTCTACATCCATTTTTTCCAACACATAATGCTCGATGGGCAAACCACCATCGTCCAACGGTGGATTCCACTTCAGCTTGCAGCCCTCCTTGTGCACATCGGTGACCCGCAAAGGACCCTCGGGTGGTGCGGGCTTGTCGAGCACTGTTACCTCAAAAGAGGCCTCATCATGTCCGGAATCATTTTCCGCCTTAATTGTGTACTTTCCGGTATGCATTCGCTTGGCAAAGGGTACGGCTAACTTGGTGCGATAGGGTTCCATGTCGACGTTGAAATCATCTTGGCCAATGCGTGCCTTGTTGTGGAACCAGGTCTTTGACGCTGGTGGTTCACCGGACACCTTGATGTCATAGCGTATATGTTGTCCGGCCTTAACTGTAATATCTTTAATATTGGTTCTATCGATTTTGGGTGGTGCAAACCGATCCTTAGCCGTCATCTGATCAGATGCCTCGGAAGGTTTACTTTGTCCAGCTTTGTTGACGGCCTTGACGCGGAATTGGTATTTGGTGCCCTCAATTAGATCATTGACCCGTGCCTTGCAATCCGGCGTATTTGTCTCGAGCACCTTTTGCCATTTGCCCGTATTGTTGTCCTTCTTCTCAACGATATACCCGGTAATGGGAGCACCACCATCATCTTCTGGTGCACGCCACTTGAGATCCGCATGATGCGCAGACCAATCCGTAACCTGGGGTTTGCCTGGCGTGTCCGCTGCATCGTACGGATTCTTGGCCGTAACAGGTATGTCCGTTACTAGTGGCTCCGATTCACCTTCACTGTTTACGGCTTTCACGCGGAATAGATACTCCTTGCCCTCGGTCAGACCCGTAACATCCGCTTCTGGCGTTTTCGTGGTCAACACCGGTACCCAACGACCCGTTTCCGTATCCATGCGCTCCACAACATAATGCTCGATTGGTTCGCCGCCATCATCGTCGGGCTTATCCCACTTCAGATGGACATTCTCCGCTTTGACATCGCTGACTGCCAGCGGACCCTTTGGCTTGCTGGGCTTGCAGAGCACCTCTAGCTCAATCTCAACGGTATCTACGCCGGAATCGTTCTTGGCCGTAACAATATAGGTGCCCTTGTCGGCCCGCTTCACTTTCGGCATTATAAATGTCGTTTTATATTCCTCATTCTCGATCTTGACGTGTTCACCAGACTTGATCTCGGCTCCGTTGTAGGTCCACGTTATCTTTGCAGGAGGCTCGGCTTTCACAGCCGCATCCATGTGGAGCATTTGGCCGCTGCGCATTATCTTCTTCTGCAGATTCTTGCGATCGATGTGCGGCGCCAGGAAACGTGGCTTGGCCACCACCGACTTTGACACATCGCTCGGTTCGCTGGGACCGGCCTTGTTCACGGCCACAACACGGAATTCGTATTCATGTCCCTCTTCCACGCCCGTCACAGTACCTTTGGTCTTGTCACCCGGTACAGTCGCGGCATCTACCCAACCCCTGCCGGACTTGTCGCGCATTTGAATGATGTACTTTTGGATGGGAGCACCACCATCGCTTTTGGGGGGATTCCAAGCCAGATCGATGAAATCCTTATCCCAATTGGTGGGTTCGGGACGACCCGGTTTATCCGGCTCATCGAACGGATTCTTGGCAATGATCGGTTTCTCCGTTTCAAGTGGTTCCGATTCGCCCTCCTTGTTGACGGCGCGCACGCGGAACTTGTACGGCTTGCCTTCGTGCAAACCAATAACCTTGGCCTCCGGTTCGGAGCTCTTGCCGCATGGCAACCATTGGCCCGTATGTGGATCGAGTTTCTCGATCTCATAGTAATCGATGGGTGCGCCGCCATCATCCTCGGGCTTCTCCCACTTCAGCTTGCAACTGTGCTTGGTGATGTCGTTTACTTGGAGCGGACCCTTTGGCTTGCCCGGTTTACCCAGCACAGACACCTCTAACTCGGCCACATCTTCACCCACCTCATTGCTGGCTCGGATGGTGTATTTACCACTTTGTGGACGCTTGGCACGCATCACAAAGAACTTGGTATTGTAATCGACGCTATCGATCTTAACACCTTCCTCGTCACTCACGACGGGCAGACCATTGAAGGTCCACTCGATTTTTGGTGCAGGCTCACCCCTCACATTGATGTCCAGACTGATCGAGAGGCCGGCCTTGACTATAACGGGTTTCAGGTTAGTGCGATCAATGTGCGGTTTCACTGTGGAAAGAAGAGAGAGAGTATAGAGAGAGGTAAGAGAGAGAGAGAGAGAGCGATCATTTCAGATCAAAGAGAGTTCAGCTCAAAGTGGTCAGATCAGAAATGAGGATAAATCAGAAAGAGAAAGAGAGATCAAATCATATTAGAGAGATATCAGATTAGATCAGGGGGAAATCAGAACGGAAGGAGTGAGATCAGTACACCGAGATCCGATTAGATAAAAGAAAGATTAGATTAAAGAAAGAGAGAAAAAACAGTGATCAGAAAGATATATCATCTCAGAGAGAGAAAGTGATCAAATCAGATTAAGGAGAGAGAGAGAGTGATCAAATCAGATTAGGGAGAGAGAGAGAGAGTTACATCAGATCAGATTAAAACAGACAGAGATCAGTTCAGATCATATAAAGAAAGATTAGAAAGATATCAACTCGTAGATAGATCAATTGAAAGAAAGAGAGAGAGATGGAGAGTTCAATCTAAGGTCTCATCCAACACTTACAGAAACGTGGTTTGGCCGTATGCCAATGGGTCTGTTCGGATGGCTCAGAGGGACCCGCTTTGTTCACCGCACGCACACGAAACTTGTACTGTTGGCCCTCCTCTAGTTTCTTAACGACACCCTTGCAGATGGGTCCCTCCGTCTCGGCGGCCTTGACGAACTCACCGGAGTCCTTGTCCATTACCTCAATGATGTAGTTGGTAATGGGAGAGCCACCATCACGAATGGGTGGTTCCCATTTCAGTTTCACATGATGCTCATCCCAATCCTCAATCTCGGGTAGACCGGGCGGTGCCGAGGCATCGAATGGATTCTTGGCAGTGATTGCTGACTCGGTCTCGAGTGGTTCCGATTCACCCTCCTCGTTGATAGCCTTAACACGGAACTGATAGCGATGATTGGGATCGAGACCTTTCACATCCAGCTCCATCTTAGCGGGATCAACGGTGCCAGCTGGCACCCATTTACCCGTAGCCGTATCCATTTTCTCAACAGCATAGCCCGTAATGGGAACACCGCCATCATCCTTTGGTTTCTTCCACTGCAATTTACAGCCGGTTTTGTGTATGTCGGAGACCTCCAAAGGACCCTCCGGTTTGCCCGGCTTATCCAGGATAATCACTTCCACTTCGGCCTCATCGACGCCATTAATATTCTCCGCCTTCAGTTTGTAGATGCCACTGTCTTTTCGAGCTGTATCCAACAGCGTTAACTTTGTGTTGTAATCCTCATTGTCCAGGCGCACTTGTCCACTGGGCGTTAGGTCCTTTTCCTTGAAATACCAGGTCAAAGTTGGCGCGGGTTCACCCTTGACATCCACATCGAACTTAACAGTGTTACCAGCACGCACCTTGATCGGTTTCATTTTCTCGCGATTTATGCTTGGCTTGACTATGGATATAATTCACATTTTATTATATTAATATATAAATAATATCAAATATAAATATTTAATATATATTAAAATAATAATTAATCTAATAATAAGCTTTGGCTCAACATAAAATCAAGCATTTTTTGCGTATACATACCAAAATAATAATAGTCAAATAAAGAAGTGAAATTAGCAAAACTTTATAAATTGGCAATTAATTTTTATAGCTGCTGCAAACAAAAATTGTTTTATTATTTCTTACGATTTCTGGGCTTGGCCAAATGCGGCTCGGTTGCGTCGCTGGGTTCGCTGGTTCCGGCCTTGTTGAGAGCCCGTACACGGAACTGATACACATTGCCCTCGGTAAGGCCATCGACAGTTGCCTCGGGTGTAGGGCTCTAAATATGCAATATATATATGTTGAATCATATTTAGTTTTATATACTTTCTATATTAAAATTACTATTTTTTAAATTAAATTAATATTTAAATTGTTATTTAAATATTTAAAATGATTGTTTATTTATTTAAATATTATTTAAATTATTCTTTAATTAGTTCAGTTACTATTTAATTATTTCAATTTTTTAAAATTATTTAAAGCTAAATTTAGTTTTATTTTGTACTACTTAAACTATAATATATCTTGTAACATTTTATTTCAATATTTAAATAGTAGTTTAAATAATTAAATAATAATAATAAATATATATTATAAATTTAAATAGTAGTTAAATAATTAAATAATAATTTAAATATATATATTCAGCTACCAAGTAATTATTTAAATGACTCTTTATATATTGAATTAATAATTGAATTATTGAAATTACTATTAATTACTAAATAATTATTTAATTTATTATTATTATTGATTATTATAAAATTAATTGCTTTGATCCATAGCTCAAAACCCATTCAAACTGGATACTTACATTTGTGGTGAGCACTTCATCCCAAATGGGAGAGAATTTATCCTTCTTTTCGATAACATAACCGATAATCGGAGCACCGCCATCGTCTTTGGGCGGTTCCCATTTCAATTTAACCATATGCTCATTATAATCATCGATTTTGGGTGTGCCTGGCTTGGTGGCAGCATCATAGGGATTTTTCGCCACAATGCTGCCATCGGTCTCCAGAGGTTCGGATTCGCCCTCCTCGTTGATGGCCTTGACCCGAAACTGATACTCATGGCCTTCCTGCAGGCCCTTGACATCAAGTTCGGTATCATTGCCGGAGGTACGACCGACCGGCACCCAACGACCCTGTTTCTTATCGAATTTCTCGACCTGGTAACTGGTTATCGGTTTGCCGCCATCATCTTCCGGCTTCTGCCACTTCAATTTGCAGCCATCCTTCGTAATATCCTTGACGACTAGAGGACCCCTCGGCTTACCGGGTGGTCCCAGCACATTGACCTCGACGGTCGCCTCATCCTCACCGTGCTCGTTTACGGCTCGGATCTTATAGGTGCCCGTATGCTTGCGCACAGCATCGATAATCGCTATCTTCGTATTATGGGGTATATTCTGGATCTCGATGTTGCTTGGCAACTCCTCCGGCTTAAGCTCTTTATCGTTTTGATACCAAATGATCGTCGGCACGGGTTCGCCTCGTACGTTCACATCGTATTTAATAGGTTTGCCAGCACGTATTAGCAGTGGTTTCAGGTTTGTTCTGTCAATGCGCGGCTTCACTGTAGGTGTGGGGAAGTAGCGAGAAGAGAGAGAATATAAGGACTTTCTTATTTAAAAGGTCCTCAAATTATAGATTAGCAAGGCTATTTCAGAGCCATATCTGTTTAGTTTTTAATTTGGTATATATTATATATATATATATATATATAACTTGTATGTCACTTATCACTAGCACACAAGGAAATTTATATTTAATCTACGGCAATCCTTGAAGATAAGAGCTCTGGTTAGTTTTTATTGGGGTTCTAAGATCTTAAATGAACAAGGGTAATTCAGAATTCTATATGGTATATTTATATTATATAAGATCATAATTTTTATAAGATCATTATACATTATGTACATCATTAAAGAGCAAGGATATTTTATTTTAAGATCATAATATATATTATCATTACAAAGCAAGCCTATTTTATTTACAACAAATCCGAAAGGTAAAAACTCCATCTGGTGAGTTTTTTTAGTACTAAGATCATAATAAAATCGATAAATAATTTTTAATTGATATATAATTAAAAAGCAAGCAAACTCATCTTTCATTTATAGTTTCCGCGAAAGATAAGTATTCTATCTAAGTAGTTTTTAGTTGGGTACAAAAATCATAAGTGAGCATAGGGTATTCTAGGATTCTTTAAATTGGTTGCTAAGATCATAATAAAAATGTATTTTTATTATCGCGAATAGTATAATAATATGTTAAAGCAACAATGTTTACATAGTTCTGTGTGTACAATGTTTGTAGAGTTACCACAACATTCTGTATGCGAGTAACATGTACGCGCATAACATCGATTAGCGTAATTTAGTCGTTCCATTACATTAAGCAAAGAAGGTCGCGCAGCGCATGACGAAAAGATATTGAAACGTATATATGTAAACATAACCTCTAAAGAAAACTCCTTGTGTTATTAATGGTCATGGGCCCGGTGTTTCAATCAGTAAGCCTGCACCCATAACCCCAAAATGTCCCACAAAATGATATATAATATATAAATTATATTGAATTTAAAGTAAGTAGATTTCATATTTAATCTACGACAAGAACTCTATCTGAATAGTTATTAATTAATATATACTATTAAATAGATTATTAAAAGATCTCCATCTTTACTACCAGTTGTTTTTAAAGCTGAGGTTTCTAATTATTATTATTAGTTGTGTATCTTTCATGGATAAGGATCTTTAACCTTCAATCCTTACTATATATATCTTCTATATTCTACTTTATATCCATATCCAATACTTACACTTCTTGTACTTGACAATCTGAGGCACACTTGCATCGGATGGAGCCGATGGACCCGCTTTGTTCACGGCAATCACACGGAACTGGTATTCGCCGTACTCCTGCAGACCGGCGACAGTTGCCTCCAGCTGATCACCTGGTATCTCGAGGGCCTTCTCCCACTCTGGCTTGTTCTTGTCCTTCTTCTCGATGATGTATTTCTGGATGGGAGCACCGCCATCATTATTGGGCGCCGTCCACTTCAAGCTGACACTCTGATTGTCATAGTCCGTAACTTCGGGAGTGCCCGGTTTGTTGGGCTCATCGAACGGATCCTTGGCCACAATGCCCACTAGCGTAGTCAACGGTTCCGATTCACCCTCCTCGTTCACAGCGGTGACACGAAACATGTACTCCGAGCCGGGATTCAGACCGGCTACATCGAAGCTGGGCGGTTCCTTCTCGCCTGGCGAGCGACCCACGCGCACCCATTTACCTGTGGCGGTGTCCATTTTCTCGACAACGTACTCCTTGATGGGCACACCGCCATCATCCTCGGGCTTCTTCCACTGCAGCTTGCAACCGGTTGCGGTCACATCGCTGACAGCGAGAGGACCCTTCGGCGAACTGGGCTTGCCCAGCACTACCAGCTCAACTGTCTCGCGATCGACACCGTTGCGATTCTCCGCCTTCAGCGTGTAGAAACCGCTATCCTTACGCTTCAGATTTGTTATTACAAAATCGGTATGATAATCGATATTCTCGATACTGATCCTATCTCCTGTCGTTAACGGTACATCGTCGCGCCAACTCCAGTGCAATTCTGGTACGGGCTCACCAGTAACATCTACGGACCATTTGTGGGTGCGACCACTCTTGATCGTCATTCGCTTGAATGTTGATCGATCAATCTGTGGCTTAACTATATGTATATAAATATATATATATATAAATATATATATATATATAAATATATATATATATATACAGTTGGGGTACAAGAATTTGTGTCAGTCCAAATTAAGAAATTTTCAAATTTTGAGTAAGCATTTGCAAAGCGATGAAATTCAAGTTGCTGCGATGCGTTTGCGTTGCTCTAAAATGGAGTATTTCAAGACTTAAATTAAGTCTCAATGTTAGTTCATTTAAATGCACTGCTACAAAAAATCGATGTTCATGAAATAATTACTTTATGTTTGAAATAATTCACTGTTTTATTTATTTATTTTATTATTTATTTAATTATCTTTTAAGTTATTTATATTTTCATATTATTTTTTTTTATTTATTATTTTATGTTTAAAAGAATTCACTGTTTTATTTACTTATTTGATTATTTATTTTATTATCTTTTTTGGTTATTTATCGCTTTTAATTATTTTATCTTTTAATTTAACTTGAAATTGTAATTTAGATGAGGTATCTACAAGAATCTACAATTAGATGAGGCTTAGCTAGATTTTTTATTATGGTACTTACAAGAATTTTAGATGAGGCAAATATTGAATTCGGAATTTTGTATTAAGTTTTTATAATTTTATTAGCTTTTTTTTTAATGGTACTAACAAAAATTTGAGATGAAGCAAATGTTGAACTGAGAGAGATTGTACTGAAAGCAATTATTGTTTACTGCAAAAGCGTTGAAAATATGTTAAGCCAAAGCTTCAATCGAGGGTGCTCGATTGTAAGATATCCTGTACCCAAAAGGGCACAGCAAATATTTATAGGTTTTACAAAAATAGTACAAAAAAAGTAGCGCACATTAAATAAATAAAATACATTAAATAAATGAAGCAAATGAAATTGAAAAATAACAAATAGATGAATGATAAATGAATGATACATAAAATTAAAATTAAATAAATATAATAAATAAATTAATAATACAAAATATATATAGTTTCAAGCATCACAGCTGACTGAACGGACGCCTTCAATCTTCCCTGAGTAAATAAAAAACTAAACTTGGCAGTAAAAAATAAATTAAAAACAAAAATAAATAAATAAGTTAAATAAAAATAAAGTTAAATTAATGAATTAAATGAAGTAAATAACTAAAATACATCAAATAAATAATGTTTTTTTTTTTTTTAAATAAATACGTAATAATATAAATATATTAATTAAAATTCTTCAATAATATATATAAACATATCTCACACTATTTTAATGGGTACAGGATATTAAAAAAAGCATTGCTTCAACCAAGAATAAATATTAAAATACTAAAATTTAAAAAATGCGTGCACTTGGCTCAAGCAAAATATATATAAATAAAATCTATATAAACAGATGGATGGAACTTACGATTTTTGTGCTTGCAGAGATGATTGTCGGTGGGCTGTGAGGGTTCCGAGGCACCCGCTTTATTCACGGCGCGCACGCGGAACTGATAGACCATTTTCTCCTTGAGACCCTCAACCTTACACTCCGGTGTGGGATCCTCCGTTTTCGTCACCTCACTCCACGTGGGTGAGAATTTGTCCTTGAGCTCGACAACATAGTGGGTAATCGGACGACCACCATCGGAAGGAGGTCGCTTCCACTTGAGCATGACACTCTTGTTGTCATAGTCATCGATGACGGGTTGACTGGGCGGACTTGGTGGATCGTAGGGATTCTTGGCCACAATGGCATCGGTTGTTTCCAGCGGCTCCGATTCGCCCTCCTTGTTGATAGCCTTCACGCGGAACTTGTATTTTTTGTTCGGCGTCAGACCCTTGAAGTCGAAGGAGGTGGCATCGGGTCCCACCTCCCCGGCGGGTATCCAGCGACCTGTTTCCTCATCCATGCGCTCCAGGGCATAACCGGTTATCTCGCAGCCACCGTCGTCGATGGGGCGTTTCCACTTCATCTTTATATGGTTGGCGCGCACCTCCTCCGGCTCGAAGGGGCCGCCGGGCGCCAAAGGACGATCCAGGACGATAACCTGCGCCTCCGACTCAATGGTGCCGGAAGTGTTGGTCAACACCAGCTTATATTTGCCGGTATCCTTGCGTATGGCCTTTTTTATGGTCATTGCCGAGTTGCGCTCGAGTTGCTCCAAGCAAATGCGTTGATTATCAAATTTAAGTGGTTCATTCGCTTTGAACCAGCTCGCTGCCGGTTCCGGTTCACCGTCGTATTTAATGTCGTAGCGCACAGTTTGACCCTTCTTAACTGTGATGTTCTTGAGACCGTCTCCGACGAGGAACGGCTTGACGAAACGGCACTTGGCAATGATGGCCTTCGTCTTGTCACTGGGTTCACCGGGACCAGCTCGATTAACAGCACGGACTCGAAATTCGTACTGCTGTCCCTCCTTCAGCCCGTCCACCGTAGCCACCCGGGCATCTCCAGGCACCTCTTTGCCCGTAACCCAATCATTTGAGAATTTCTCTTTGTATTCGACAATATAGGCTGTGATGGGATCACCGCCATCGCTATCAGGTGCCTCCCATTTGAGGTCCGCGTGATCCTTGTCCCAGTCGGTTAGATCAACGTCTTTGGGTTTGCCGGGTTCGTCCCAGGGATCTTTGGCGAGTATCGAGTTCTTGAAGGTGGCTGGGTCTGAGGGACCGATCTTGTTCACAGCACGTATACGGAATCTGTATTGTTTCTTAGGCATCAGGTCCTCAATCTTCTTGAGGCATGGCTCCGTCGGCAGAACCTCAGCGACAGGCTCCCAGCCCTGTTTCTTGCTCAAATCTTGCCGTTCGATAACGTATTTGGTTATCGGTGTGCCTCCATCGTCTTCCGGCTTCTTAAACTTCACCACACACGATGTCTGATAAATGTCCGTGACATCCACGTCCTGCGGTGGCGTTGGCGCATCCTGGCATATTATATTCACATCCTTGGTATCTTCGCCTTGTGCATTCGATATCTTTATTTGATAGGGACCCGATAAGTCACGCGAAGGTTTCTTAATCTTAAACGTGACCTTGTCATCGGTGACGGCCACCTCAACATCCTTGACGGGCAACGGTTTGCCATCCTTGATCAACTTGGCCTCGACGGGTGATTGTTTGGTGCCGCTAACTATTAAAAAAAATATATTAAGTATCAAATTTAAAATTTAATCTTAAATACTTTTTGTTATTTTGTAGTATTTTGTTTTACCTTTGTATGGCACCTCGACGATAACTGGCGCACTTATCGGCCCCGCAAAGTCATCGGGACAATCGATATTCGGCCTGCTTTCGCCCTTGCGCACCGATAACTTACAACTGGAGTTCAGCTGGCCCGATTCACAGGTAATCTCACCCACATCCGTCAACTCCAGGTTGTTAAACACCAACTGATGCTTGCCACCGCCCAAGTTCTTGATTTCGATGCGCTCGTTCGGTACAATGGGTTCCCCATTGAATTTCCAGTCGCAGGGAGCCGTTTGATCCTGCAGCTCAATGTCGAACACCAGTTTCTCACGCTCCACGGCATCCGTGTCCTTGAGCTTCTTATTAAAGCGATTTTGATCTTGAATGGATTATGATTTCAACAACAGTTCATATAAATATTGTATTGCATGCTTTTTTATGTATTTTTTTAATTGTCCCTTGTTAAATTTCGTTCTTTTTGGCTATTTATAGTTTTATCATTAAGTTTTCGATTTACTTTTTTTTTATATTTAATATTTTAATTACTATTTTGTTTTATACTTATATACAGATTTATGCATTTAAACAAACAACTAAGATATAAAAATATTTATTTATTTATTTTAAAAAAATTTATCAATTTTATTTATTTTATTCATTGTTGTTTTTTTCGTAGTTCTATATTCATTTTTATCTCTTTATAATTTAATACCAAGTCAATATACATATTGATATAAATATTAATATATTATATTAATATATTATATTAATATACATTTTTTGCTTTTTTTAAATTATTTTTAGTTATTATTTATTAGCAAAAGGTAAACTTTCTATTTATTTTCTGTTTTGTTGGTTTTTTTTTAAATTGACTTTTTGGTTATATATATATTTAAATTTTTAAATTATTTTAATTATCAATTTTCTTATTTATATATGGGCAACTTTATTTTAAATATATTTCTTGCTGCAGATCAATTTTTTTTTTTTTTTTGTAATTTATATTTATTTATTTATACAAATATGTTTCGGTTTATTATTTCTTATTTAAATTTCTTGTTTATATGTATTTTTTATCAATTTCAATTATCAATTTTCTTATTTAATTATTAACAAATTTACATACATTTATATTGGTTTATTTGCAGATCAATTTTTTTCTTTTTATTTTATATTTATTAAATTATATATATTAATTATAATTTATACATTTTATGAATTATGAACAGTTGTACTTACAATTGATGATAATTTCGGCATCCGTCTTATCGGCATTCGTGGTGCACTTGAATTGTCCTGCGTCGGTGACCTTGCAGTCCTTGATGACCAGCTTGCGTTTGCGGCCATCCTTGATGACCTGCATGCGTTTGTCGGGTTTGATTTCCTCATCGTTGCGGAACCACTGCACATCGCCCTGGGCATCATCCAGCTCGCAGGCCAAGGTAATCGTATCCTTCTCGATGCACTGCTGCGATTTCAAAACCTTGACAAATTTATACGGATATTCGATTATTTTCAGGGCACATTCCGTCTTGTCCGGCTGCTTGTCCAATTGACATCTGTATTGGCCGGAATCCTCTAGCACGGACTCCTTGATAATCAGCTTAAGATTGCCATTGATGTCCTTGGAGATCAGGAAGCGAGCGTCATCCGATTCAATTTTCTTATTATCCTTGAACCAGTGCACATTCGCCATGCTGCTGCTAACCGAACACTCTAAAGTCGTCTCGTGCCTGGTGAATCCTTCCAGCTTCTTCTTGAGCGGCTTGGTGAAGTTGTACGAAGGATCTGCTTCTTCGACGTTGAGGAACGCAGTGCTGGAGACGCCACCGATCTCAATTGTATACTTGCCCGTATCGTCGACTTTGGGTGCGGTAATAATCAATTGATATGTATCATTCTCTTGCTTGAACTTGAATTTGCTGCCTGTGAAAACTTCCTATTAAGAGATATGCATAATTTAATATATTATAATGTTAATAATTGTATATATAGCTGTGGTCAAAATAACTACAAATACCTCAAATATAGTTGAAAAACTAGGAACATTTAATTTAAAAGATAAGTAAATATTAAAACTTGGCATTGCTATCAAAACAAATAAATGGAGTTCTTATATTGATTGTTGCTATATTCATTTTCTATTAATAGGATTATTGAAATTGATCATTATAATAGTAGTGGAATAATAGTAATGTTTTCTCAGCTAAATAATATTTCGAAAAACTAGATAAATTTGGAAAACAATTGTTTTTTAATGAATTTTTTCATTGATATTGTAAAGAAGATTTAAGTCATATTTTTATTAAATGCTATTATTTTGAAAGCAACTGTATATAACTGAAAAACAGCTCTTCAAAATACATATCCATTTTATTGGGATTTATTTGTTGTAATACTTACATCCTTGCGGAATAGCCATTTGGGTTTGCAATTGGGTTTGCTGAATCTCGCCTCAAATACAACCTTCTTATCCTTGCCCTCCTTAGCGAACTGATCGATTAGTGGACTAAGGAACGATTCTACCTTCTGCGTTGTCGTTGTTATCGATTATTATCGATGTTGTTATTTGTTTTTTTTTGTTTGTTTTTTTTTTTTCGTTGTCAAAAATGGGTAAAGACATCAAAACGACAATAAAAAATCGATATACAATTATTTAGCATTCAAATCTCAAAAGATAATAATATCTAGCACAGTTATCGATACAATCAATCGTTGTCAATTGTCCCAACCGTGTGCTATTCATTATTACAGTAGGTAATGAAAAGGTATGATTACATCTAATATAATTACACTATGCAAAATAATGCATTAGCAAAATTAAACAAAATATTCAAAAAACAATATTTCGCTTGATATTAGATGCTTGCAATTGTAGTTTAGCAAGTACCTGTGTACCCATATATGTTTATATATTTTCAAATTTGTCGATATAGCGTGCCACAAACATATACATCTATATATTTACTTTTTAAACAACTATTTTTGGAATATTTAAAACCATTTTAAACGTACTCTTTTAGATTTACTCATTTAATTTAGAGACTTAATTTTTTTTAATATGTAACTTTAATTTTGATTAAGCTAATTGTTTTCTTTAATGTTTAAAAGCCTTTTTAAAATTTAAAAACTGCTATTTGCTTTCTATTTTATATCATTCAATTTGTAGCTTTAATTTTAATTAAAATCATTATTATTTTATTTATTTAATTTCTAACTTTCATTTTAATAAAAACAATTTTAAAATTTGGACAGTTTTTAGTTCTTTTGTCTTTTAGTTTTATAATATTTATTTGGCAATTTTGGGTTTAAATTTGAAATTTAAATTTGTCTTACTTAAATAAATAAATAAATTGAAAAATGGTTAGTACACACTTTATATCGACAAATTCGAGCTATTTTAATTAGCACTTCCATTTTAAATGTACGCAAAATGGACTGCAAAATTTTTAATTTAATGGTTAACAGTTAAAAGATTTAATTAATCGTTCAAAAAATTGACGATCTGTATATTTATAACTGTTAAAACACTAAAATGCATCATAATGCAACCATGTGATTCATTTTCTTTGTATATCGAGTATCGTATATCGTATTCAAATATATATACATATATTATATATTCTGATAACCGATAGCAAATTGATCAAAAAGAACACATGAATGTTAACAAAAAAAATAAAATCAAAGTATTATGTAGAGCAATATGTATGTGTGTACGTGTGCCAAATGGGAATAAAAACAAAATGCAAATACGCCGTAAAGAATACGCGGATAGTCAAGAGAACAAGAAAATATATTCCATTATTAGAGTTAATTGGAAAATTGGAAAACTGAACCGAACGCCATCTGCTGTACTCTTATTTTCAGTTGAATGAAACCTATTTAAAAGTCTCATACTTAAAAAAGACAAAAATCGGCTGCACAACCAAAATAAATATATATATATAGTTATTAAATATATCTTTCTTTTTTATATATATATTTTTGATTTATATAAATTTTTTAGGTATCTCGGAATAAATAGAGCGCACCTCCTCACGGCGAAACGGATGCAACGTCGGCCAATCGGGGATCAGATCGGCTAGGGATGGTCTACGTGATGCTGGCGCCTGTATTGCATTATATACATATACACATATATAATAAAAATCATCTTGATTCAGCGATATGCGATGTGCGACTAAAATACTTGCAGATATCATAAATTGACAATTTCTGTTTTATCTTGACTGGAATTATTACTGGAATTATCTTAAATAACTTTCAATAACTTTTCACGAGTCAAATTTAAAATTTGTATATTGAGATCATCAAATAATCATCTTGATTGAGCTATTGATGTGCTAGTAAGAGTACTTGAAGACAGACTCACAAATTGAAAATTTGGAAATATTGATAATAATTTTTCGCCAATGTAGACTTTGTATTATTTTTTGTTTATTGCTGATATCATAAAATAAACATCTTGATGTATTGATGTACTCTATTTCTGCCTTGAAATTAATATTAAAATTAGGCAACCCAATAAAAAAGTAAATAAATAAATAAATTGATAACGAAATAAAAATATAAATAAATAAATATTTAAATTAAATAAATAAATAAATATATATATGTATATATAATCAAATAAACTAATTCATGAAAAGCCTGTTTTTAATTCATAAAGAAAATGATTCAATAACGAAAAAAAAAATTAAGTAAATAAATAATAAATTAAAAAAAAAAAACAAATTAATATAAATGTAATGAAAAAAAAATAAATTAATGAAAACTCTGCTGCCTGGTGTAATTGTTTTGGCTCTGAATGAAAATCAAATGTTATATTTTATATTAAAATATATTTCTTTACTTGAATTAAATTCCTAAAAATTTTTCACATCTAAATAAACCAAAACATATATCTAAGATATCGCTGCCTAACTGTTCGCATTGTGTTTTGTTTGTTGGGAATACACTGAAATTAATACATTTAGTTTTTAACACGTACATACATATATAAAGTTTAAGGGTGTCAAACTGAACCGAACTGATTCCGATGAAATGATAGAAGTTAAAAGGTTCTGATACATATAATAATGCATAATGAATTAATATTTTCATTACTTGAATAACTTCTGATGATAATTAATTACTGCTTAATATTCTTTAATGATTATCAAGTTGCGGTTAGTGGTTCCTTTGAACCGGTTCAACACCTTGACTGCAACTGGGCAAGTAATTAATTAATTAAGTGAGTAATTGAAGCAAATGTGAATTTTAGGCAGAAGCCAAGCGAATTATTAAAAACTGCTTCGGCTTCAATTTTAGCTGAATTTTTAGCTGCTTTTTCTTCATTTTTAGCTGCATTTTCTTCATTTTAGCTGCTTTTTTGTATTTCTTACCCTTTCGACTTTCTTTAAAGCCGGCAATGGTTTTTCAGTTTCTTTGAGATCACCCCAATTGGGATCCTGCTCATCTTTGTCCCATTTTTGATAACGACGTTTCTTGAGCATCGCACGGAAATCCATGCCACTCGAATCGGAAACATATAATTGCATCTCGGCCGAATCTTCGCCGTGTATATTCGATACGACAATCTTGTATTTGCTCTCATCGTTCGGTTTGCACTTCCTCATGCACAGCGTGATCGTGTTCGTCTGCCCATCCGTCAAGAACTTGTAGCGACCGCCCTCGAGGATCTCGCTAACGCCCTTGTAGAACTTGAAGGTCGGCGCTGGACTGCCCTCGACTCCGACCGTAAGATACGCAGTCGAGTCTACACAAAAAGGGAAAGGGCACAAAAGATACACACGGGATGGGTTTGGGTTAGTGACGGGTACATGTATATAAGGAGAGAGTACAAATAGAACAAGTGTTACTTTGCATGTGTATAGATTGTAACTGGGTAAAAGTGCTAAATAGAGCATAGGTAAGTGTGGCTGAGTAAGTGTGATTGAGTAAGCGCGACTGAATAGCTGTATATGAGTAAATGTGAATGAGTAAATGCAAATTTAAATGTAGAATATAGACTGTAAATTTGTAAATGTGACTGAGTAGGTGCGACTGTGTATCTGTGTAATAACCATATAAGTTTGGCTGTGTGTAACTGTCATTTATTAACTGTTACTGAGCAAACGTACAATGTGTATAGACAGCAATTTTGTAAATATATAATATAGAGTATAAGTAACTGTTTCTCTGCAATTGGGTCTTTGTAACTGTGACTGTATAGTTTTAAGTATTTAAATATTTAGCTGTGACTTGTATAATTGAAAATATTTAACTCGAACTGTGTAATTCACACTTACATTGAACGTGGGATCACAGTTGTGGTTACTGTATATATAATATACGAATTGTAAGTACTTAAAACATACCTTCGACCGCCGAATAGGATTCCTGCACATCGATAATTGTTGGGGGGCAGCCATCGCCGATATCTTTCAATGGCGTCGACGGCTTATTGATTAGATCCTCCAAATCCTGAACGCTCGGTCTGCGCACATCGATCGAAGGACGTCTCCGCTTTAGTTATATAATAAATACACACACACACACACACAATAAACACGCACAAAGCCAGACAAAACAGAAATGTAAAATTAGTTGAAAACAATTATGTGTGCTTTTTAAAATACATATATTAAAATTCGATTGAAATTTGATCAAAATACGGATTATATACAACAAAAAAAAAACAGAAAATAAAAAAACGGGTAAAGGATTCAAATAAATGCCAACTACTGAAAAAAAGAAAATAATAATAACTGAACAATCAACAACTACAACATTATATATTTGGTAACTAATAAATACTTGACGCTGTAACGGGTTGCAAAATGTAACTATGATTACAAGTCTTTTTTATTTTGGTTAATTGTAAATGATTAAAAGTTAATTACGAAATGTAACTTAAAATGTATAAATGTATAAATGTATATATATATATATTTTATTAGACAGACGCCTATAAATAATACCCTTAATATACCCTTTTATATACAACAAAAGAAACACATACGAGAATTATTTACATAAATATTTAAAGCTATCGAATGATATATAGGAATAGTATATATATATATATATTTATAGTACATATATATAGGAATATCGTATTTTGTATTTACAAAATATGAATCTCGAAATGTTATATACACCTTAATGTCTATATATATATATATATAAAGAGAGAAAGAGATAGATATATATAGATAATATCAGTGACCAACAGGAATGTAAGCAAGCGATAACAAGTTGAAAAAGTATTCAACCAGTGTTCAAGTCGATAACATAGAGTATATAAATTATAAATGTGATCGTTAATCGATCAACAATTTAAGACCTGTTTCGTATCCCCCATTTCGCCAGGTCGCTGTTGCTTTTGCTACACGATCCACGATCCAAGAAAATAGAGAAGTGTGTGTATATAAATATATATTTATACCTAAGATATATTTATTCATTCATTGATTCATGCATTTTAGAGTGAATGGCAATCGAATGTCGATTAATTACACATGAAAGACAAAAACCCACCTCTATAAATAATAATTTCTATTAAATTTCTTCTTCTTTCTATTACTTATAATTAAATTACTTTTCTTTAAATTCTTTCTAGACAATTTCCTGATATTTCGCTTAGTTTAATGCAAATTCATCGAAATCAAATCAAATATATCATATCGGTTGCTTTGATATTTTATATTCGAATTTAAAAGTGCTCCATTTTATTTTTTGTTGCACTTTTTAATTCAGTCGTTATTAATATGTAGTAGCAGGCAATTAATCGATTTTCGATTTTCATACACAGATTAGTAACCAGAATAAACATTAAAAAAAAACTGCAGCCTCAACTTTTATTTTTGGGCTGCATTTCTACCGATAAATTCGAATGATATCGAGTATCGCTAATCGATAGGCTGCAAACTACAAAATGAAATGGATATGGTATGCATATGTATATGTACGTGTGTGATTTCTTTAAGCAATACTTCTAATTTTGTGTTAGTTTTTTACCAAAATTATTATTTTTATTTTATTTATTATTATTCTACTACTAATTGGAGCTCACAAATGGTATGCAAGTAATGAGTGTGGAATGCTGCTTATGTGTGTGTATGTGTGAGGGTGTATGTATGTTGTGAATATGCGACCAAATTTGCTACCGCGTATATGTGAAATAGAAGTAGAAGAAGCAGAGCTAACTCTCACCTGTCCTTCACCAACCTCGCCTGGCCTCAACAACTGTAATATGCATTTATTTAAATACAATTAAAAATTTGTATTGTTTAATTCGTTTTTTGTAATGCGATCGATTGGTGAGAGAAATTGGGATATTTAATAACTAATTTATTGTGTATGCAATGTGTGTGTTGGTGTGTGTGTTTATGGTGAAATTCTCTAATTAACTCCCATCACTCCCATCTAGTAAATATTGCCACAGGCCTCTCTAAGTGCGTGGATTATTAGTGGGTAACGGTTACTCTCAGTTGTTCTTGCCACATATCGCGTAAGTGAAAACGATCAAGGCTGCGATAAAACCTTGCTTACCTGCTGCTGGTAGCAAGTATCGAGTAACGAGTGCTATTTTAGTGCTTACTCCTTGTTACATATCGCAAGGCTGCAAATAATCCTTTTTTCTGCTTTCTCTTATTATTATTGCTGTCTTCTTTAAGCGCGACGGCGAACAACTGAATTGCGATTCAGCGAACGCAATTATTAAACTTGAGCCCAATTAAGTGTAATTATGTAAATTTTAAATATGTGTTTATATGTGTGTGTATTTTTATTGCAGCCGTTCATTTCTATCTAAAAGGCTGAGGTCAATATAAATACACACATGCATATTACAGCTATGTGTGTATTTATGTATTGCGTTTCTTATTGCGGGCACAGCCTAAAATACATACATATATTTTTTTTATTTTTATGTTTTGCATAAATTGTACATCAGTTTGTGGAATATGAATTTGAAGGGCAACGAAAAAAAAAAACCAATACATAATTACACACATACATACATAAATACATTCAGACATAATCATCTATGCACATTTAAATATATATATATACGTGTGTGTGTGTGTGTGTGTATGCGTTTTTATGGCGAGCTTCTATTTATAGCTTTCGCTCTCTCCTCTCGTTTGTGTAAACAAGCAGAAGACTAAGCTATCTTGCAACTTTCATATGCACAAGAGAAGAAGCAGAGATGAGAGAGAGAGAGGGAGAGCAAAAACTGAAATTGCAGTTTTTTATTTGTATGTGTTGTGTGTAAAATTAATAGATAAATGGCTATCCAATTACATAACTTAAATACATATTGTATTTTTTGTATACCTATATAATCCATATTTACGCTTTTTTTTTGTATTTTTAATAATTCTTACCCTTGTGTCCATCACTTCGCCTGGGCGGAGTTTCTTCTGTGCTCATACATTCATATATATATATATATATGTGTGTGTGGGCGTGCGTGCGTTTATGTGTATGTGTGTGTGTGTATGTGTGCAAATATGCCAAGTAGTTGCGGTTGGTCGTTGGTTGTATGTATGGTAGAGGGTTCGTTTGTGGGTTGGGGGGGGGGGCCCATCGATCATTGCGTGATTGAGTTGAGTTCGATTGAGTTGAGTTGAGTTGAGTTGACACAGACAGGTGTAGGTGTGTTTTGTTAACAGTGTTGGTGTTCGATTCAATTCGATGTTCGATTCGATTGTATGTTTTTTTAGTTCATACATGGTAGGTACATAGAAGGGAACAGGAAGATATATATTGATATAGACATGTAACTGATTAGGTACAAAATACAATGTGAGGTACAATCTACCAGCTACTCAATAAAATAGTAATAAATAAATGCTACACAATTAATAAACGGTTACTCAGTTTTACATACAGGCAACAACAGTTATCGGTTATCGATTATCCAAAATTTTAAATATATTTTAAATACTGTTTGCTATTTAAAAATCGATAGCTATCTACTGCTATATGCAAGTCAATATATTTTATGGAACTACCCTTGAACTGGAACAGGACCTAGCATGTCGAACTAGTGCTATTTAAACAAATCAATTTACTTAACTCAAATTGTACACTTTAAATTTGATATATTTACAATAAGCAATATATCAATAAGTATATCTAACATAATTATATATAATCTATGTTTATTTATATAAATGTTTATGTGCAGATTACAAAACTGATTGAAATATATTTTTTTTTTTTTGAGTTCTTGGAGCGAACAAATTCGAGTTCATTCACAGGTTTGCGCAATGTCTAATTTGAGCCCCGTAAATTTAAATTTCAAAACGTTCGTTAAGATCTTAAAGCGAACAAGTGCGACTTCATTCACAATAGACGCGCGCTTAAGTCTAATTGTAAATAAGCCGCGCAAGTTTGAATTTGCAATCAAACAGCTACCATTTTTTGTTGCAATATAAAATATGTAAATTAAATATATATATAATACAAATAATGCAAACTAAGTAAAAGCGAGATCTACGCTTTGGTGGATAAAAAGGTAATAAAATGGCAATGAGTGAAAGAGAGAAAGAGAGACAATGAAATTACCTCGTCATTGATGATCAATGAAGGACGGCGACCGGTGTCGGCGGGCGGTACCAATGAGCCACGACGACTGGGAACTTCGGGTGCCAGGGATGGACGCTTCTCGCGGATGACCTCGATTTTGGGCGGTTCACCCGGCGCCGGCGGCTGCATTTTGGACATCTTCGGTTTGTCATCCTAAACAATAAATATTTAAAAATAAATACATATATGTAAAAAAAAATAAATACATATATATATATATATATAAACATAACTGTGTAATGTTTAGCAGTGTGTCTGTTTTGTAGTCGATTTGTAATTTTTTGTGACATGCCAAAATGAGTAAAAGATATTGTCCATAATACGAACCGGTACTACGGTAACCTTAATGCTGGTTCTGCTTGCCATTCCTATCGATTAACGCTTATCGATAATGTGCTAATTACTTTTGTCGTTTTGTTTGACCAATTTTTTTTTTTTTACACATTTACATTATGAAGTTATTTTTGAATATATATATTTATTTTTCACGTTTTTCCATTGACAAATTTTTCAGAACAATTTTCGAACCGTTTGTCATGAGCGACAGGCGGCGACAGACATCAAACATATTTCTTGGTTAGATATTTCTGAGGTGTGCTATATATATATATATATATATATATATACATAATATATATATGACAAAAGATTTTCAGCACATTAAAAATATAAAAATATAAATGTTATCTATATGCTATTTGCAAACGCATCAGAAAAAAAAATAAATATATATATATATATATATATATATATATATAAATATTTGAGAAAAATGAGAAATCAGCCTCCAATTCTGCTAAAAACTATACAATATATATATATATATATATATATATATATATATACATAATATATATATTGGTTTGTTTGCTCGCATTTATTTTTGTTGTGCAGCTAATATCACATAATATATATATATAAATATGAATATTAATAATAGATGTGCACACGGCATATATTTATAACACTATATATATATATATATATATATATAGAGAGATATTTATGAAAGAGCAAAGATATTATATTTTCAACAAATAAAATAAATGTTAAAATTAAATGGAAACTGATCTGTTAAGGCTCTTTTTCTGTTTTTTTTTTCTGTGTTTATTCACCAATAATAATCGCTTGCAATTAATAAATAACTGTCTGGAATTATCATTTCCTGCTTGTGGTTTTTAGTCAAAATTGGATTTATTATTAATTTATATGATTATTTGATTGTTTTTTTGTGTGTTTTGGTATATTTTTATATTTAAGTTTTAATGTTTATTATTATTTATCATTATTATACATCTATATTTTATTGTTGTTAATAATAATAATTATTATTAATTTTTATCTAGATAGATTTATTATTTATATTTATTATTTATTATTATTATTATTATTATTATTATTATTATTATTATTATTATTATTATTATTATTATTAATTCTAAGTCAGTTTATTCTTTGCTTTAGCGGTGTTTAATTTATAAATTTAGTTTAATTATTTATTACTGATATTCATATTTACTATTTATGTTTGTGATTAAATTTTTTATTAATTTGTAATTTTTACGATTATTTATTATTATTTATTACCATTATGTGGCAACTTTGCCATACTAATATTTCTAGCAAGTTGTCAGCACCGCTTTAAATTTACGTTTCGATCTTCATCGGATATTATTATTTATATTTATTATTATAACTTGTTCTTATTGATTTATTTATTTATTACCATTGCGTGGCAACTCTGTCCATTTACCATACTAATATGTATGGCAAAATGGTCGCTAAAAATTTACCTTTTGATTTTCATCGGATATTTTGAGTTCCGGGGTCTTTTGGGGTTCCGGGGGAATAATGATTGGTGTGGTTTTCTCTGGCTTCGATTTCTCGATATCGGTACGTTCATATTTCTCTAACTGCGGCCGCTTATAATCATCGACTAGGGTTGCCAGGCCCTCGGGTTTTTTCAAATCCGATATTTGCGCTTTGCTCGCCTTCGTCGGATTAAATTGCTCCGTGGCATTTGCCTTAACAAAGCCCAGGAAAATATATATTCGTAAATTGATCAAGTGGAAAATTATATGCGAGGCAGAAGAAGAAAGAGGGAGAGAGAGAAAGGGAGAGGGAGAGAAAGAGACAGATAGAGAAGTAGTGCTCAATTCATCACAAAAAGCACCTCCGAATATTGAAGAGAAATTTTTGAGAGAGAGAGAGAGAGAGAGAGAGTCTAAAATGTGTCTGACAGAGAGAGTGAGAGAGAGAGAGAGAGAGAGAGAGAGAAAATCATTAAGGGCTGCACAAAGCTGCTCAAAATAAATGAACCAGTTCCCAGCTGAAGTCTCTTACATAAATGCTATGATGCAATTGATGCATTTTTAAACATACAAATAGATCAAAAGAAATTTAAAAAATGCATACTAAAAATTAAACTAGAATTTGTTGTACAACATAAAAAAATTAAGGGCAAAATATATATTTATACTTTTTAATATAAATTTCTTCGCATTTTTTAGTGTAGTGTAGAAAAGAGAAAAAAGAATGCTAAAAATATCACAGTTAGGGCAAAAATAGAAATATGAAGACAAAAATATGTATATATTATTAATTATTATATATATATTTGAAGGCAATACAATTTACACCACAATTTAGTAGTGTAGTGTAGGAAAGAGAGAAGACCAAATAGAAAAATTAAGAAAACAACAATATTGAAGCTAGACAAAAGAAGAAGATAACTTAGAAGAAAAAGTGAGAAGGCAGAGAAAGAGTGAGTGAGAGGGAGATAGAGAATTTTAAGAGAGTGAAAAGAGAAATTGAAGAGAGAGCTGAAGGCGTTGTTTTTTCTTTGTTACCTTAAGTAATTGCTTGGCTTGTTGGGGTTCTGCTTGCTCTTTGGCATCTCTTATGACTGGCTTGAGGACGACGCCAAGGAAGGACTCGTTTCTTATTGGTTCCTTGGTCATCAGATTGCGGACAGAAGAGCGACGTCGCTGCCTGATTATATCCATCAGAGATGGCTTATCGGCCTGCGATATTTATTTTTATTTTTTTTTAATTTGAAATTTTTTATTTTTATTATCGAAGTTTTTCATATTTTTAATTTATTTCATTGAACTCTTTTTTTGTTTTTTTTTTTCATAATTCCCAGACTCATTTTCTCAGTTAAGCTTAAATTAATGTATATTTTATTTTAAATATGTTTGTTTTACATGTATATATTAAATACGAACGCCAAATAAATTTTTTAAATATAAATACTAAATATATTCGATAATTAATACTTTTTTTTTTGGCAGTCACTTTTAATATATTTTTCACTTACCTCGTTATCAGCGTCTGCATTTTGCTTGTCTTTCTGCATTTCGAGCGTGTTTGAGTTGTGTTCGAGTTGAGTGTTGTTGGTTGGATTTGGAGGTGGGGGCGTTAAATGGAAGGAAATTTGAATGTGCTTAATATAAATGGCGAAAGAAATTTATGGAATACGTATTATACGTATTATTATAACTAACATAGCTATATAACAGAGTGCTGCAACGAATATGTTCGAGCCAATCTTTAAACTAGTATCCGCTCAAGTTGGTTCGGCTTTCTTTCTCTGTTATACATATAACATATAATTACACATATATTTCAGTGGCGGCAATAATTATAGCACCACTATACGATATTTTTTTCACGTTTGAAAAAAAAAGCTTTAGCTTTGCTGTCTCTTCCAATGTTGATTTTTAATATATTGTTATTATTTATTATTATTATTTAGTTATTACTACTATGTGGTAATTCCGTGCATTTACTTAAATAATATTTATATACCAAAATGACTGCTTAATTTTGATTATTATTTTTCACATTCATTTTATTCATTATTCATTCAAATAAATAAATAATAATATACAATAATCTTCTAAATATTTCTTTATTTTGAATTTCAATATAATATTCAATATTAATTTGTAATTTAACTTCAACTATTTTTTTTAATTGTTTGTATTTTATTTCGAGATTAATTATACGAGAGAGTGTTGCTATTATTTTTGCCTCAACTGTAAGGAAACTCACCTCTGGTTCGACAATAACGGGTCTTAGGGTTGCACCATCCCTCGTGTCTTCGTCGTTAGGCAGTTTGCCTTTGCCAAGCTTGAGACCCTTCGGCTCCTCCATCGGCTGTTCGACAATCTCCGATTTCTTTCATACCAAACACGCAAACACGTAACATAAAATAAAAAGACAGACATACATATACACATATGTATAACACTTATGTGTGTGTATATAAGTTTACCATTGGCAGTCCATTTTTCTGTGGTGCTTTTTCCGCCTCCTTTTTAGGCGTTTCCACCAGCGGTTTCTCCATTTTATTTGGTATTTCCAAATCGCGTGCAAAATCGCTCGGCACAAAATCAGATTTCTCATATTTTTCTAGTTCGGGTCGCTCGTAATCGGGTATTTCGGGCAACTCTTCGTATTTCGGTTTGGCCTTCGGTTTTGCCTTCGCCTTCGGCTTGGCTGCATCGGCTTTGGACTCCTCCTTCGGCTGGGCGACGGAAGTTTTGCGCAGCTTTGGCAACTCTTCGGCGGGCTTTGCCTCTTCCATCGGCTAGGATTGTTTGTGTGACGAGTATCGAGTGAGGAGTAACGAGTGACGAGTATTGAGTAACGAGTACAAAATACACAGTAGTTTTAGTATTTTATTCCAATTTTTGTTGTTAGACAGGCAAAATAGATTTTTTTTTTGTATTATTCGCAAATGAATGTTTATAAGACACATTTTTTTGTTACACAGAGATAGACAGATAGACAGATAAATAGATATAGAAATAAATATGTGATAGATAGAGAGATAGATGTAGATATAGATATTTAGATAGTTATGTTAGTTAGATAAATAGATATAAGTAGATAGATAAAAGCATTGGCTATAGATAGATAAAAATACAAATATAGATATATATATATTTGATAGATAGGTATATTAATTAATATATATAGATAAATAAATAGAGAGTTAATTAGTTTATAAGTTAGATAGATTGATAGATATAGATTATAAAAATGAACAGCATCAGCCCTAAAAAATAAATATACCAAGTCATTAGCTTATTTTGATTTGCAATTCAAGGATTGCATAAAAAGTTCTGATTCCCATATGTTTACATTTCCCATTTAATGTGCAGCGAAAATAGAAGAAGCTTAATGCCTCCTACCCCTTCCAGCATTCAACTAATAATTGCACTGCTTAGATTTCATTAGCGCAGAACGTGCAAGTGGCGTTACCTACTTCTTGTGAGCGTAGGTGAAAGAGTCAGTTAGCAGCAGGAATGCAAGACTAAAGAAACGGATTTGATGGCATATGTTGCGCTGTGGAGTGCGAACAGCGAAGAGCGAAATTTCCTGCGTGTAATGAGCGACTCTGTGCACTTGCATTATAACTCCGTTACGTGCTTGCTGAGAGCTTCGTAACGAATGCAATGCGAAGTGCGTACGAGTGAAAAGAGCGATCGAAAAGCAATTCTCTTCGTTCAGCAATCAGATCACGCTCTGGATACAAGAACCTGAAAGACTAAAGGGAAATTTGCTTACATATTTATTTAGTGCTAATAGCGAAAGTTCGAACTGCGCTTCTTGTTTGCATGCAGCAAAGTTCGAAGTTCGATCAATCAAACAAAACCCCCCCAGATCGTCTTTGCTGTGCTGTAAGTGAAGTTCAAAATTCGTTTGTTAGTCAAAAACAATTTGCAGTGAAAAGTTTGAAAAGAGAGCGAAAGAGAGTAAAAGCTTTGAAGCTCAGTTGTTTTAAATCATTGAAGAAATAAGCTTTTGCTGAGCGTTGTTCCGTTTTTTCTGCTCTTCTGTTATATTCTTTTATCATCGCTCACCTTTGAAACGCGTCGTTTCTCGGCCGGTTTCAGTTTTGGTATTTCTTCCTTGAGAGCTTGCGGATTTTTGTTGGCATCGATTTGTTTGCTCTCCAATTGCTTGGGAATATTTTTATTTTTATTTATTTTTATATTATATAAAAATTGCACTTATAAAAAGAAACTATTAAGTTAAGTGTTACGTTAGGTTACTTAGCTACTATTACTAATAACTCTAACAAACGTATAAAATAAATAACGAATAAATGTTACGCTTACGTAATGCGTTACACGTAATATGCTTACGTTTTCAGATTTCAGACTCACCTCAAGCGCCTTTTTATCCACCACAGATGAGCGACGCGATTCCGAAACGGAATCTTCAATCTATTTTTTTGTTAGTTGTGAATAAACAAAGACAGGGTGTACGGTGGTAAACAGGGGGTTTCTTGTGATATTTTGTTTGTTGTTTGCTTTTTTGCTTACCGCCAGCGATGATTTTCTGGACACCATTTTTGTATCCTCTTCCGTTGTTTCCTGCTGCGTTTTAATTATCGACTTGCGACGCACCTCGGAAATGGATTCCTCTTGGAGTGACACAACACTGGCCTTATTAGACAGAGACAACAACAAACAATATGACATTTAGACAAAAATTTAGACATCAAAATTACAAAACCAAAAAATGTTTTTCTCGTCAAAAAAAAACTTTTCTTTAAGTATAATTTAATAATACTATTCGTTTCTGGAGTTCTTGTATTTAATGTTAAAATATTAAAATTAATAAAATTACAGGTTGACAAACATTAAACAAATATGTATAGAAAAAAGTTTTTTACTTAACCAAAAAAAAAAAATATAAAAAAAATAGTTCTTACAAAAAAATAAATTAAGTAAATAAAAATGAAGAATAAAATATTTTTGGCTGTACCACAAAAGGTTTTCAGTATTAAATTATTATTATTGTATTGTCAATTTGTTTATTATTATTATATTATATTTTATGTGTAGTGTAAATTTTTAATTTGTGTAAATATTTAAATTTATACGAATTAATTTTAATTATTTTTTTTCATTAACTTACTTTGCGTTCAACCTTTTTGAGAGCAATTTGTTCCGCAGTTCCTTGCTACAAACGATCATAAAAATATTATTAAGAAATTGGAATTGGCATTTTTAATGTATTTTTGTTAATTCATGCAACAAAAAGAATGAAAATTAGGGAAAAATAAATAAACAATAAACAAATAATTATTTTAGTTTTTGTGTTTTGTTTTCTGGGTGTTTCGATAAGCTATATATTTTCGATATATCTTCGATAAATTGCTAAGTAAGCCTTTTACATATTGCGCTCTCTATTTTTCGGTTTCTTACCTCTTCTTCTTCATCACCTTCTTGTTCTGGTTTTCTTTTCATTTCGGATTCATCTTTTTTGGATTTCGGTGTTTCTTTTTTTTCTTTGGGTTTCTTTTCCTCCGGTTTCTTTGCTTCTTCTTCTTGCTTTTTATTGAGCGTCTTCTTTGCATATTCTTCTTTTTGTTGCTTCTCGTGTTCCTTCTTTTTGTTATATTCTTCTTGCTTTTTCTTTTCTTCGGCTTCGTTTTCTTTCTTTTGTTTGTCGGCCAGTTGTGTTGCTTCTTCCTTCTTCTTCTCTTCTTCGATTTGTTTTTTCTCTTCGTCGTGTTTTTTTTTTTCTTCTTCTTGCTTAAGCTTTTCTTGTACCTTCTTATTTTCTTCTTGTTTCTTTTCTTCTTCCTTCTTCCTTGCTTCTTCCTTCTTCTTTTCTTCTTGTTTCTTTTCTTCTTCCTTCTTCTTTGCTTCTTCCTTCTTCTTTTCTTCTTGTTTCTTTTCTTCTTCATTCTTCTTTGCTTCATCCTTCTGGATCTTTACTTCTTCCATTTTCTTTTCTTCCTTTTTCTTGGCTTCTTCCTTCTTCTTATTTTCGTCTTGTTTTTTCTTTTCTTCTTCCTTCTTTTTTTCTTCTCGTATCGTTTCCTCTTCCTTTAACTTTTCTTCTTCTTGTTTCAGCTTTTCTTCTTCTTGTTTCAGCTTTTGTTCCTTTTTCAGATTTTCTTCCTCTTCTTCGACCTTTTTTCATTTATTTTGTAGTGTTGTGTAATGTATTTTGTATTGTTTGTGTTTGTGTAAACAGTGTTTGTTATTGACACAAAAAGAGTTAGTATTTGAAAATGTAAAAGAGATTAAAAATTAAATATATATTTACAGGATTTTTCTCAAAAAATATTTCGATTAAATTAATTACAAATGAAGACATTTAAAATTGATTAGTTACTATTATTTATATATAACAAAGTATACATAAAAATATATAGAATACATAGAATATACACAGTTATAGTCCAGAACAAGAAAAAGTCCGATAGATAAACCATAAAAGAGTAGAATTTATAAATCCAGAAATATTATTAAATTTAAGACTAAATATTTTCTATAGCAGGTGGATATAGAAGAGAAAGAGACAGACAGAGAGAGAGAGAGAGAGAGATAGTGGTGAATTTCAATCAAAAATTATAGTATTGGTTAACAGAACTCGTTGCGAACCTCATCAGTTGGAACATGTTTGACAGGCGTCAACTTCACACCAAAAATATTTTTCGATTTGCTCAACTCTGACAAATTGTTGTTCTGTTTTTGCTTAGCCGTCTTTAGTTTGGGTATCTGGTACAAAGATACTCCTAGCTAAATATTGGACATAAATAAAAAAAATATACAAACTTTAATCTTCAAACTAAGCGCTTCAAATACAACTGAACGTTTAATGAAAATCTGATTTTGAATAAAATGTTTGCAGCTGCATAACAAAAAGCTGCATGCTATGAAATCAATAGAGTGTGGAGTGTCTGCTGGTAATAGCTTTAGGTAATTCGACTAAGCAGACAATACTACTAGAAAGGATGAGTACATGTTCGCACCCATGCTCATAAAAGGCAGAGTTTTTCATTTACCCGCGATGTTGTCGCAGCGAAGTCAAGCGAAATAAGAATTGCGTTCGCTGCTCGACACGCTGAGCCCTGCAACATTTTCGACGCGTCGCCGTCTGTGCACAATTGCGCCCAGAGACTCCAGAGCCACCTGATCCATTTTTTTTTTTGTCGATTTGACGCCTCTATGTATTGTCTGCTTAGTGGTAATACGTATAACAGCTGCTTGTACTTTAACATAAGCAACTAACTCAGTTTGTATGATAGGTTTAACAGTGTGCTGCTGTAGAACATGTTCGTCAGCGATTTGATTGTTCGCACAGCCTTTTCTCTGATATTTATTTATCAATTTTAGGTCTGCAATGCATGCATTGGGAATATAGTTATCAGATCTGTTGCATAACAGTTGCATGGTGGCGTTTAAAATTAGAGGAGTATTTTGCAGTTTACTGATAACAGTTAACTAAAAATTTGCAGGGGTTTTTGTTTAAATAACTAACCGTTGCTTGTTTGACTTGCTCCACCTTTTGTTGACTTTGCGTACTAAACGCAACTTGTTGCTGTTTGAACTGGAGCTTTTGTTGCTGCTTAGCTTGTGCTGTTACTAAAAGGGTTGATTTCTGTTGCAGCTGCTGCTGCTGCTCACTTTGTGCTGTTACAAATAGAGTTGACTGCTGTTGTTGCTGTTGACTGACAACTTGTTGGCTATCGAACTGGACTTGAACTTGTTGTTTTACGATTTGTTGTTGCTGCTCAACTTGTGCTGTTACTAAAAGGGTTGATTTCTGTTGAAGCTGCTGCTTCTGCTCACTTTGTGCTGTTACAAATAGAGTTGACTGCTGTTGTTGCTGTTGACTGACAACTTGTTGGCTATCGAATTGGACTTGAACTTGTTGTTGTACGACTTGCTGTTGTACGATTTGTTGTTGTACGACTTCTTCTTTTTGTTGTACAAGTGGTTGTTGCTCTTTTTGTTTTTGTTCAATTACCTTGCTTTTCTTTTCGGCCTCCTCCTCCTTCTCCTCCTCCTTGTCATCCTTCTTCTTGCCCTTCTTTTCGACGGTCACCTTGCAGCTGGACTCATCCTTGCCCGCCTCGTTGCTAACGATAACCTTATAGTTTGAGGTATGCTCCGATTTGGCGCTGCTGAATGTCAGTCGGGCTGTGGTTCCATCAAACGTTGTTGTCACATCCTTTGTCTCCTTAATGACGGTGCTGCCCTTAAACCATTCGATTTTGCATTTGCGATCCGCCTGTTTTAAGCTGATTAACAGCTCGAACGTCTTCGATTCGATCACCTTCTGATCGACTAGTTTGCGAGCTATTTCTGGTTTGGTGGGTTTGCGCTCCTCCTCGGGTATATCCACCAAATTCACCACTTGCGACACGGCCTCGCCCTTCTCGTTGCTCGCTATCAGCTTATAGGCGCCCTTGTCGTTGTCCTCCACCTCATTGATCTCCAGCTTGACGGCGAACTCGCCCTCCTTCGTCTTCTCTACGACGTAAACGAGCCGTTTGCTCTCCTTTACCACATTCATCTCCTTGTACCAGGTGCACTTCGGCTCGAACTTGGAGGCAACTGTGCACTCGATAACAACCGTCCGCTTCTTGATGATCTTTATGATCTTCGGCTTGTCCTTGATCACGGGTACAACTGTGTGGCAGGGGTAAGTTAATTTGTAATTCATGTAAAATAATACTAATATAACAAAATATTTATAATATACTTCTTTTAATTATTAATGTATATATTATAATATCATAAATATGTATAAAGATAATTTTCTTAATTAATTATCATATTAAATAATTAGTTACATAAATAATAATTGAATTAATATATATAATATGAAATAAAATAATAATATTTATTATATATATATATATATATATATGTATATATATAAATTCATTCAATTATTATTTATGTGATTAGTTGTTGAGTATGATAATTAATTAAGAAAACTATCAGTATATATTACATTTTTGGTTTATTCTCTACTTACTCTCAATGTTTAGTGTGAGATTTGCGTTGAGTTCCCCCAGTGTATTCTTGATGTTGCACTTGTAGAGACCAGAGTCCTCCAGCTGTGGATCAATCAGTTCTAGCTTGATATAGTATTGATCTCCGCGCTGCTCCATCGACATCTTCAGCTTGCTGGTGTCCTTGATCACCTCCCCGTTGCGGTACCAGACCACGTCCGGCTTGGGATCGGCCTTCACCTTGCACTCCATGATGACTAGTTTGCCATTGTTTTCCGATATGATCCTTGGCTTCTCAATGAATGTGGGTCCTTCGCCTTCCGGTTCCGGTTCCGCCTCGATATTCAGATTGAGATTCGCATTCGATTCGCCGTATTCGTTCTTCACATTGCATCTGTAGGTGCCGCCATCCGTTGCGCCGGGATCCTATGAATCGAAATCATTAAATAAATCATTAATAAATGAAATAAATCAAACAAATAAAATAAATAAAATTCATGAAACAAATGAATTAAATTAATAAATGAAATGAGTAACTAAAATAAATATATGAATTAAGTGAAATGCCTCAAAAATAAATTATTTTAAATATATCTTTATACGGATTAATAAATGCAGATTCAACAACTTATTTAGTTAATTTAAATTTAATTTAAAATAGGGGTTTTAATTTAATTAACATTAAATAAATAACTTTAATATAAATAGCCGCATTTGTTAATTATTACATAGAATTACAAATAGAATTTAAATATTATAAAAATTTCTAATTTTTAAATATTTTTGTAGTATTAAATTTAATTTTAAATATAATTTAATTCAATCTGTTACTATTTGTCGACTAACTTTAGTTGACATTAAATAAATAAACAAATAAATAAATAACTTGAATATATATGTCAGTCTATGCAACATTCGTTAATTATTATTATTATTATATTAGCTATTTACATTTATTTATAATTATTTATATACCTTAATTTCCAGCGTCAGCTCGTAGGTGTCTTCGGCGATGACAATACTATTGATCTTGATTTTCTTGCTCTTCTCGACGAGATCTTGGCCCCGGTACCAGGTAACCGTCGGTTCCGGTTTCGCCTTGCACTTGCACTTCATCGTTATCAGAGTACCCGTCTCGTTCGGTATTATTCTCGGCTTCTCGATGAAAGAGGGCGCGAATCCATTTGCATCGTTGGCACCTGATTTTAATTAAACACACAATTCTAATTAATCGATAATCGATCATCGATAATATACAATCGATATTTATATCGATTTTAATTACAATCTGGCAAGCACTAATTGGACTTTGAGAATTTGCAATATAAGTAAGCATACATACACTGCTAAAATTTGTGTGCTGTAAACTGGAAATAATCAAAATTTATAGGAATTGCACTCAGGGAAAAGAGAACGCGCTTATTATTATATTTCTTTTCAAATTTACAACAATAAGTTAAAAAATATCTATAATTTCACTGTTATTTTTTACAATAGAATTTTTTTAAGTTCACATATTTATTTAATTAATTATTTCTTTGGTCATTGGAATTATACAAATTCATAGAAGTAGTTTTAATATTAATTATAAATTTCTCAATAATAGTACATATTTCTGTACAAATATTTTTATATTTAACAAAATAACTAATATTTAATTTATTCTTTATTTACATTTGAGAAAGTACTAAAATGAGAATTTTTATGTATTTTATTTATTGCTAAAAACCCGAAAGACTGGAAAGATTCTAGGGGTCTTTCATTCTCTAATCGAGTGCAGATCCCATGCGATTTTATTTTCTATATTAAGTAAGTACCTGAACAGAGGAATCATTAAGTAAAAATTTCACATGCATGCTAGAAAAATGGTGCAAAAGAACTGATTGATTGTGATTCAATGCGTGCGTGAGTGTGCGTGAAGTGTCGTAAGTGTTAAATTAAGTTTACATGCTACAGGTATACATATATTTGCTGTATATATATAAATTTTTTTATTCATAGTTTTGTTTTAAATTAAAGTAGAGAAAGAGAGAGCCAGAGTCAGAGTCAGAGTTAAGGGCATTCCATTCGATGGGACATTGTGGGTATTACTAGTTGCAGTATTTGTTTTTGGTTTTTGTAAATAGGAAATACCACTACCTTGGAAATTGAGCGCGATATTCGCATTGCTTTCCCCAAACATATTGATGGCATTGCACCGATAATTGCCGCCATCTTCCTTTGTGGGATTCAGTATCTCGAGAGTCAGAATGTAGCTATCTTTTGTGATCGCCTTGCGGGTCATTTTCGTGCGTTGGCTATCATCGATCTGCTTATCTGAGCAATACCAGGTTATGTCCGGCACCGGATGTGCTTCCAGTATGCATTCCATTATCAATATATCCTCCTCCTGGCGGATCGTCGGTTTCTTGGGGAAACGCGGAGACTTACCATCCGGTATTCTGCATAAATTTTATTAATTATAAGATGTATATTTGTCTTTCATGTGTGTGTGTGTGTGTGTTATGTACAGTTGCCGCAAAAATAATAGCTTCACTCTGATATTTTTTCTTACAAGGTACTAGTTTTATTTTTTTAATGTTGATAGTTAATAATATAATAATTAATTTCTTTTTTTTTTAATTCTTTTTCGTAAATATATATATTTTTAATTATTTGAGTAATGAACTTCTTCAGCTATTTATTTATTTCTAATTTCAAAAAATGCGCCTATTGTTTTATTAATATTTATTTTAATTAAATTGAAATTAGTCGAAAAATTGAGAATAAAATGAGGATTTATATATTTTAGCACTTTTTTCCGATAATATAATGTATTAATTTTCATTTTAATTAAATTTAAATATGTTGAAATTTTGCTGAATAAAATGGTGTTAATTTTATGTATCTCAATTTCATAACTATTAAGTTTCGTCAAATTGCTGCGCTTATAGAATTTAATTTTTTTATTTTAAGTAAATAAATAAATTAAATCATGTTTTTTTTCTCTTTTTAGGGGTACTCTGTCACTTCAAAATATGTATGCATAACTTGTTTATTTATTTATTTATGTATTTTTCGCAACTATGTCTGTGTGTGTGTGTGTGTGTGTGTGTGTGTGTGTGTGTTGAGGGGCTTACTTTTTCGAGCCGCTTTCGAAATTTAAATTAATCGTTGCCACGCCCGAGCCGTGTTTATTCTTGGCGAGAGCCTTGTACTCGCCCTGATCAGTGGAGACGACATTGCTTATCTCTAAACGGGCCATATGATATAGTTTCTGATCCAGTGTGAGGGACATTTGATACCGTTTGCCCTCACTCAAAACAGTCTCGCCATGTGACCTTTTTTTATTGGTGGAGTTATTTCGAGAAGTAATATTTAGGCGATTAATCGATATGTATCGGTGGTTATATTAGAGGCTTATTGCTTGGATTTCGTACCATGTAACCGTCGGAGTGGGATCTCCAACGCATCTACATTCAAATGTTACATTTCCGCCATCCTCACTCTGCCGTATGACGGGTCGTTCCGTAAACGTTGGCTTTATTCCATCAGTGCTCTCCGGTACGGGAGCCTCGTCGCCTATGAATTTTAACAACCAATTATCCAAAGTGATATACGAGAGTGCTTATATACATATCGTAGATCGATATTAATACAAATTAAAATATTATACACGAAATATGGGTTATCGATATATCAATATATCGATTTGTTGCCCTTTTGACAATTATCAGGTCAGATTATAAATGAATTTAATTAACAATTACACAAAATATATACAAATATATCTATTGCACATATCTTTGTGTGGTATTTATATACCAATATATCAATTAGTTGCCTTTTTGACAATTATTAATTAGTTTAACTGACACATACTACAATTCAAATACATCAAGTATACATCGAGTAATCGTGCATTATTCATATTTTATATATTCCAATAAAAAATTATTCAAATATTAATAAATATTTTGATTTTCTTACAGTTTCCAATTTAATTCTTATTTCTTACAAAACATTCCTATTTTCGCCTATCGATTAATTTGTATATGCATATATAAATATATATATACATATATAAATATATATATACATATATAAATATATGTATAAATATATATCTATATGGGTGTGCGTGTGTGTATGTATTTATGCATTTATGCTTGTTAAACGATCAAAATGTATGTGTTTACTTTCCGTTAGTTGTAGCCTTTCATATAAGTAATGATTTTTAACACAATAACATTTAAATCCAAGTTGAGTGGAGAGAGAAGAAGAAGAAGCTTTATTCATGATGCGTAAAAAATAAGCAATTAATTAAATTTATTATCAATTAATAGCATTGCAGGAAATCAAACCGAGCAAAATTTCCTTCCCGCTTTGATTTCCTGCCTGAGAACAGTGCTGTAAAGTGTGAGCACTTCCTAAATATCTTATTTTAAATTGGACTTAAAAATATTATATATAATATATATATAGTAGGACTTACTGTCAAAGTTCAGGCTGATCGTTGCATTACTTTCGCCCAGTTCGTTTTTTGCATTCACTTTGTATTTGCCAGCATCCTCAACTGTGACATTTAGTATTTCCAGTGTTGCAAAATACGAGTGGACATCCTTATCAATTGTCAGCTGCAAAAATAAAGTGAAATTTCAAATTAAATTTAAATTACAAATTAATAATAAATAATTCAATCACAATTTAAAATGTAAAATTTAAAAAAACGCATATAAATTTAACTGTTAAAGTTAAATTTAAACTAGAATATAAATATATAATAGATTATTATTATTACTTTAACTCTTTTCAATATTTTTTTCGTTTAAATTTAGTTACTCATTTATACTTGTATTCTAATTTATTATTATTTTATTATACAATAGTTTTATTCCATGTTTTTCTTTACATTTGACTTATTCTTTTTCTTTCAAATGTTTTTTGAACAATTTAATTGAAAAATAAATAGCAAAAGTAGTATTTAAATTATATTAAATATATATATATATATATATATATATATATATATATATATATATATATATATATGGGGTATATGTCGCACCTTATGTCTGGGTGATTCCTGAACGGGCGTGCCATTGTGGAACCATGTAATATTAGGTACGGGATCTGCATTAACCCTGCACTCAAAAAGAAGCCGTTTTCCATCTTCCTCTTGTCGAATGGCAGGTTTTTTCGCGAATGTCGGCGCGAAACCGTCGATTTGTCTGCAATAATTCAATAGGCATTATTATATATATCATAACCATATATATATCGATAACTCTAGTTGTAATTTATTGATTGATTTAGTACAAAAAAGGGATCTTTTAAGCATACAAAATTTGTTATACAAACATATTTAATATTATCAGTAGTAATAATTACTACTACTACTATTAATTAATAATATTTAATATTATTAGTAGTAGTACCCTTTAATTAGTCAAGTTTACAAACATTAAGTATGGGGGGGAGGCTCGAGGAATTTCGCTCGACTCACCTTGAGTCTTCAAATAGTGAAAGCTTGCCCACTTGTTAGAAAAAAGAAGCATTTTAATTATAAAACTGGGATGCGCAATTCAAGCACTAAATATTTAATAAAATTATAATAATAGTAATTGCGCTAATAGTAATAATAATAGTTGCTTATGGCTATGCTGCTCTCATAGTGACGCCATTTGTTAAAGTAAGCGTGTGCAAAACAGATTCTCAATTCATGTATCTTACTTTTCTTTGGGTTCATCAGCAGCTGAGCGCATAAATATATAAAAGAAAATATATATATTGAATATATAAATTGTAAATTTGACTTGAGTTTATTTAAATAAAAAAATTGTAAATTTAAAAGATAACCAAATATAATTGATCAAATTAAATATTAAATATAGTATAAATCTAAATTGAAAATTAAAAAAAATTATAAATTTTGAAGATGTAAAATAAAATACAAAATATATTGTATATCAGTTGAGTATACTTAAATATATATAACATAAATATAATAAATTATAAATTATAAATAAAAATAAATAACAAAATATAAATAAATAAAACAAAATCTTATATATGATCTCAGAAGAGTTAAATTAAGGACATCAATTGAAAATTTAAGAAATAATAAAATATATTGTAAACTTAAAAAAAAATATTTATATATATTAAGATGTTAAATAAAATACTAAATATGTTATACGAGTATATCCGTTAAATATTCTTATATATATAAATCATATATATAATAGATAATAGAAATTATAAATAAAAAAATTATAGAATATAAATAAATAACATATATAAATTATAAATATAAAAAATAATATACATATATATATTATATATATAATGTACATAATATACATATACTATATATATATATATATATATATATATATCAGATAAATACTTATATATTATGTATACTTACGTGTGAAATTTAAATTAATCGATGCGGAAACTTCGCCCGATTTGTTCTTAGCCTTGACTTTGTAGAGGCCAGCATCGGTTTCGAGTACATCGTCGAGCTCTAATACTACGGTAAACTTATTGTCACCGATCGGTTGGATTTTAAATTTGGTACGGGCATCCTCTGTTAGTTTGTTATCGCTGCGATACCATTCGATATCCGGTTTGGGCGACGAAAGCAGCTGGCACTCAAATATCAATCGATTGCCATCGTCCTCCTGATGCAATTGTGGCTTCTTCACAAAGCTGGGAGCGAAATCTTCAGCCACCCCCATGCTGAGGGATCTCGTTGTCTGCTTTCGTTTTCAACGGCTCAGGCTCTTAAGCTCTAACGCACAAAAAAATAGTAATAACAGAAATCGGAAATGGAAATGGAATATTTTTAATATATCTCCCTTAACTATAGATTTAGTTATGATAGTAAATTACATCAATGTATAATTATTATTCAGATATCCGCTTAATATTTTCAAAATCCAGTTTAATTCCTAAATTCTGATTAAATTTATCTAATATTCCAGTGTTTTTTTAAGAACATTATTTTCTAAATTCATATTCAATATTTTTGGACCATAGCTTGGTTCTTTCTTATGCGACCTTGATGAAATTTGTGCCATTGATTAAAAATAAGTCAAGGTAAAATATATATTAATTAGAAACAACTGTCTTTAAAATTGCAACCAAAAGCACACATAAAAGAAGGATAACAGAGACAATAGCAGAAAACTGTAAGCTCTGCAATGCTCTATTAAGGTTTACAGCCGAAGCAATTGCAGAACAATTGCCGCTATGGGCAGCTGTTATACTTCTCATATTGATTGCTTCCGCCTGTTAAATACCCTGTTAATAAACCTTTTTCAATGGATTCAACCAATAAAAATCTGCTGCATTAACAGCATTTAATTTTGAATGCTCGCATTATATTATATACATAACATACACTTGTATGCTAATAGTTCAATGTGTGTAATGTGTAAGCTCTGCAATGCTCTATTAAGGTTTACAGCCGAAGCAATTGCAGAACAATTGCCGCTATGGGCAGCTGTTATACTTCTCATATTGATTGCTTCCGCCTGTTAAATACCCTGTTAATAAACCTTTTTCAATGGATTCAACCAATAAAAATCTGCTGCATTAACAGCATTTAATTTTGAATGCTCGCATTATATTATATACATAACATACACTTGTATGCTAATAGTTCAAATAGAATATGCAGCTGCTGGTAGCTGGCTACAGCCTAGATAATATATTTATATATATATATATATATATATATATACATATACATACATATAAATACATACATTGCGCACGACTCATCGATATTTTGGAAGATGGAAATTTGATCGCATTGCTCTCTGTTTCCTCCGCTCTAATTTTTTTAATGGAACAAAAAAAAACACAAAAAAAGCAACAAAAATTCCCCAACCGAAAACGAAAATTTTAAATATGTAGCTCTCGTCTATTTTTAGTTTTTCGTAGTCACGGTTTTTTTTCTTATATATATACATATATATATATATCAAAGAAAAAAAGATATGCATGCGAGGTATGTATCTATGTATATATATAGATATATATATATATATTTATGTATGTATTTATGTATGTGTGTATGTATAGTTTTTGTTTGTTTGACACTTAACTTGGATATGTATGTAATCACATCATTAATGTACATATATATACACATATATATATATTTATATACATCCATACTTCTATATACATCTGTACATCTGGCATATGTTACTCATAGGAAATATATTATTGCAGAGCACTCTCAATTCTAATGTGGAATTCATCTTTATATATATATATTATATACATATATATATATATATATATGTGTGTGTGTGGAGAAGTGTAAGAAATATCCGGGCAGATACACATATTCATTTTTAGTTTCCACATTGGCAAGAAATGGTATATTAATAATCAATACTTCTCGATTTTCGTTGATCATTTTTTCATGGTCAGACATTTTTAGTTATGTATATGTAAGTTTATATAAATATATATATATATATATATATATATATATATATATTAATGTGTATGTGTATTGAGTTTTTGTCATCACTATATTAATTGAAATGAGACATTTCTATTTTTATGCCCGACAACCGTTACACAATTCCACGAATAGACGCAGCTGCATACATACACATACACACACTCACACACACACACACACACACACACACATATATATATATATATATGTATATGTCTGTATATATAGGCGTTTATATTTAGACATACATTCGGTATGTAAATATGTATTTATTTATAGATTTGTATTGGATTTTTTGATTTTTTTGATTTTTGGTTGTTAAATTGCATATTTCACATTTTTGTAAGAATTTGATGTAGTATTTTTTTTTATAATTAATTGATTAATTATCGTTTCAATTTTATTCATTTTTAATATGTATGTATATTTTTAATTATTTTTAATTATAAACAATATTGACATGCTCACTTCAAGTGCACTTTCACTTTACATAAACACGGATTTTATATATATATATGTGTATATATATCTATAGATATATATATCTATAATATATAATATAGTTGGTACGTACAACTAGACTACAGATCACACACTGACTGCAAAGCACACAGCAAGAAATGTTCCTTCTGTGGAAACGAAGTGAACTCCACGGGTGTTAATCTATTACTGTTTCTATTTCAAAACTGATCTCGTTCAGTTTGAATATAAGCATACAACATCGGACATCGGGGCGATCCGACAATCGGACAATCAGACAATTGGGACATGCATCGGGCATTAGCATTTTTGCCGCTTTCGTCACTTCTCTCTCTCTCTATCGATTCTCTTTTAAATTCTCTCTCTCTCTCTCTCTCTCTCTCTCTCTCTCTCGATTTGATTTGTGGAATTTATTGTGCACGGTTCTTAAAAGAAAAAAAATAGAAAAATAAACAAAGGTATTGAAAACTAAAGGTATTGATAATTAAAGCGCACAACAAACTCAAGTAAACAAATGTAAACGGAATGTTTGCAAACTATTTGAAATTCATTTGTGCATGCTATTATTATTATTATAATTTTTTTTTTATTGATCTTTTAAATCTATTTATTTAATTTATTTATAATTTATATAATTTGGCTTATTTTTCCCTTTAAAATTTTATTAGTATTTGTATTGGGGAAGTTGCACCGCGACCTGTTGGATCTATTGTGCTCCTTCTGAGCCCCCTTCTATAGCTCTTCCATCAGTCCCAGATCCCGTGCGAATGCTAGGATCGTTGTTAGGTTGAGGTCTTCTATCAGCCGTCTCGTTACCCATCGCAGGGCAGGTTTAGCTTTGAACGAGCCTCCTGGACTATCTTAGATGTTATTTTAGTTATTGAATTTAATGCTGCTTAACTATCGGATAGGATGGATATATCTGTATTCCGATAGTTCCGTTTTAGGTTGAAGTCCGCACATCTTCCTGTCGCACATACCTCAGCTTGAAATATGCTGGTGAGCGTTCCCAGGGATTCATGGTAGAATACCCGAGGACCCACCACTCCAAGGCCGGTACCCTGATTGGTGAGTGATCCGTCGGTGTACCACTTTATGGTGTGCGGTTTCATAGGATGGACCTCTTCCAGAGTTGCCCAATCCTTTTTACTGCTCATATGAACAGTGAAATTACGCTCGAAGATATATTCGGCTTTCATTTCGTCCCTGGGTTACAATAGAAGGGGCAGTTAATTTGAGAGGAGCTGGACATCTTTATTGCTTAGGATGTAATTGCCCCCAACTCCTTCAGCTGACATCCTTAAGAGCGTCGCTTTCTGCTTGAACCTTATGGTATGGTGGAGTGGTGTGAGCTCCATTAAGGCTTCAAAGGCCATTGTTGGGCAGGTGCGCATTGCACCTGTCATACAAACACAGGCGATTCTTTGCAACTTTTGCAGTTGCTTCTTTACGGTGATCAACCGCGCCCTGTCACCCCATGCTATCACCCCATAGGTTAGCATGGGTCTTACTACCATTAGGTACAGCCATCTTACGATCGTTGGTGATCTACCCCATGATTTGCCGGCTATGCTGCGGCATATGTAAACATGCGACATGTGATAGACATTTGTCTAAAATTATAGACTATTTTTGTCTAAAAATTATAGACTATTTTTGGTTTATTTTAGATTAGGGCGCGTGTAAACAAAGCAGCAGAAATAAATAAAATAATTTAAAACAATTGGAAATTAGGAACAAAAAAATAATTAAAAATAATAACATTTAATATATAATAATATAATAGTAATATTAAATTATTTATTGTAATTACTAATTGTGCTTAACTACAAAGAATTACATATTTTCTAGAATGAAACCAGAAAATTTTACGTTTTTTAGATATTTGCTAAATTTACAAAAAGAAATTAATAATTAATTGAATAATTACAATGAATGTCTTTCAATTAAATATACGAAACGAAATTAATAAATAATTTAAAATTATAATGAATAATAAATTAAATATACGAAACGAAATTAATAATAGTGTTTAAATGTTTGTCAGAATAAAAATAATTAGAAAATAACAAACCCAATTTAAGAATTGCAAAATGGTTTTGACTGATTGATCATATAAAACACTATTGTAATATCTAGTAAATATATCTACATATATAGATACATGCATAGAAAAATACATAAATAAAACAATGTATGTGTATGCTTGGTTGTTATAAATATGAAAGTGTTTTCTCGAACACAAAAGCCGTTTATTTATAGTTCTTATTCATTATTTACGACATTTTTGCACGAAAATGTTCTATTAATAACCAACAACTTGTATGTATGTATATGTATACATATATAATATACCTATTATATACATATGTAGAGCATAATAACGTGACTAATGACTGGCAATCATCACAAACAGGGCTAACAAGTAGTTGCCAATTCTTTTTCTCTTTTAGCAGAAATGGCAAAATGAACTCAGATCCTTCCCTGATAAATAAATAATGTTGAGTAGGTTTAAATTCAAATAAATAAAACAAAATTGAATATATAAATATATTCATTATAATTTTATAATAATTAAAATTTAATACATTTTAATAGACCCCAATTTATAAAGCCTCTTTGACTTTCTTTCCATGTTATTTGGATCACTCATTTTTTATTTAATGTTATTTTATTTGTAGGTTTTCATTTCATTTTAATATCACATTTGAATTGATTTATTTTATAGTTAAATTTATATCATATACTTACCAAATATACTTTTTTTCTAGTTTTTGTAAATGTTTTACTATTTTCTGAAGAAATACATTTCTAAACAAAAATATTTTCTTCAATGCAGAAAAAACTGAAATGAAATCTGCACTTATTTATAACTTTTCAAGTGTATGGGGTGTGAGGTACTCAAAAACACACACACACAGGGGTAATAAAGGCAAGTATGCAGCTCATATTTATGCGAGTGATTTAACCAACAGAGTGACCCTCTGCCCCCTCTCTCTCTTCTCGCCTGGCAACCAACCACTTTGCAATATTTTTAATAAGCGAATTGGGATTCGGCGAGAGTTAAGGATTATTATACAATAGTCCTTGAGCACAATTGTGTGCAACTTCATTAAAATGTTTGCCTAACTTAACTTTATCAAGGACCCTTCTGTCGCTGTGAGTAAATTGAATTTTTGAGCAATAATTGAAAGCTTATAATCCTGCTTGATTTTCCTTGGCTGTTGTCTGAAATTAGATTCTATAAATATTTGTTTGACTGCTGGGCAATTTTGAATAAATGACAGATGGCTTTTGGAAATTTAGCTGTAGAAACTTAACAATCTTTAATAAAATAAAAAAAATTTATCTAAATAAATAAAATAAATTTTTATAATAATAGCCTTTATAATACTTTCCGGTTTCTGAGAGCATTGCATTGACTAATATTTTTAAAGCTAATTATTAAACAAAAATTCAGATCCCTCTGTCAAACAAACTTTTTATTATTTTTTTTTTAAATCATATTATTTAACATAACTCTGCAAATTAAATACGTTTTTAATTTTCAAATAATTAAAAGCCTCTGTAAATAATATTTCTTTTTTTCTGAAAATTATATTACTGAAAATAATTTACAACCGTGTATAAATAAAAATCATTATTTTTTTGTACAAATTATATTTTCTAACATAATTTAATAGGGTCTGTTAATTAAATACGTTAGTCTTTCTTTTTTGTCATATAATTTAGTACCCTCTACAAATGAAATGAATTTATTTATTTTTTGCTGCTAATTATATTACTTAAAATAATTTAAAATCCTCTTTAAATTAAATTAATTTTTTGTTGTCAAAATTATAGTATTTAAAATAATTTAAAACCCTCTTTAAATCAACTTCAATTTTTTTTGTGAAAATTTGATTATTTAACATAATTTAAAACCCTCCTTAAATCATATTCATTCTTTTTTTGTGAAAAGTATTTAGAATAATTTAAAACCCTCTTTAAATCAAATGCGTTTGTTTTTTTTTTTTGTGAAAATTATATCATTTAATTTAATTGAATACCCTCTGTAAATAAAATTCATTTGTTGTTTTTTTTTTTGTGAAAATTATATTATTTAATCACACCAATTACAGTTGTTATGATTGGCGGAATCCTTGGGCGGAAATATACAATGTGCATTTAACTACAACTTCTCCATGTGCCTAGATCTCTTTTTTCTCTCTGATTTTTCTTAAGTTTTCAATTGTTTTTTAAGAGATATGTAAATTCGATTTTTTTTTTATTTCTCTTTAATCCTAAAAACGACGATATGAAAAATGGAACCAATTGAGTCCGATTTACACCCAGGGCGAGTAGAAGCAGGAGGCGAAAAACTGTTGTTTGCCGGTGCCGTGTGTCGCATTGGCGCCACTGCCAGATGGCGCCACACTGCTGGCCGCCGCTGCTGCAGCATAATTGTAGCTCATGTGGGCATAGGATGGCATTGCTGTGCTGGCAATCGATTCGCTGCCAAAGCCCATTTGTTGATGATGATGGCTGGGACTGCAGCTGGACTGTCGTGGCAGCTCCATTGTGTTGCTGCTGCTGCTGCTGCTGTTGTGCTGGTGGCATGAGGTAGCATTCGCTGCTGCTGCTGCTGGTGGCGGTGGCAAGCCATAGGCAGACAATACCTCATAGCCACTTGTGGCACTATTATTGTTACTGTTGTTATTGCTGTTGCTGTTGCCACTTGTTGCCACATTGCCGGCTGTTGCCAGGCTGGGACTGCTGCTGCTCGCCCCACTCTCGGCGGCCACACTGGCTACGCCCACCAGCTGATGGGGCGCTATGATGGGTGGTGGTCGTAACGGTGGCATGTGGCACGAGTACATTGTGGGCGGACTGAGATCGCGCTGCTGCTGCGCTGCAATTGGCGAGCCACCAATGGTGGCATGACTGATGCTGGGCATCTTTCAGACTGATCTGCTTGAAAATACCAATCAATCAAATAAGCAATATGTATAATACATATATATTTAGTATTAATATATAATACTTATTAATAAAAACAATTATATTATAAAGTTAATTAAAGTCAAATAAAAAAATATAATTTAATATTTAAATTTTAATTCAAAACGAATATCAATCACTAAGAATTTTTTTTTATTTAATGTCGACTGTACCAAATAAATTAAATTAAATTAAATATGACATTTAATATTTAATATTTAAATTCAAAACGAAGACCAATCAATCAGTCAATCAATCAATTTTGTATTTTATTTAATTATTTAATGCAGACAGTTGCAAATAAATTCAATTAAATAAAATAAGAAATTTAATATTAAATATTTACATTGAAATTCAAGCAAATATAAATCAGTCAGTCAATCAATCAATCAAACTCACCTGTAACCCTCTCCAATCGAGATGGTATTGTGATGCATATTTGAATACATGGCGCTGAAGCCACTGTTGAAGTTGAGCCGCGGCGAAATCGATGGCACCAGCGTATGATGTCCCATGTGATGATGATGCTGATGCTGCGGATGTTGCGGATGTTGCGAATGCTGTGGAGGTACCTGATGTGGATGCGGAAGCCGCTGCTGCTGCTGCTGCTGATGCTGCTGAAGGTGATGCTCCGCACTTATGACTATACCCGGCGAGCACGCGTTGCCCACCTCATCAGTCAATCGGGAGGCGCCAATGGATCGTATCTGTGCCTCGCCAGCTTCGCTTGATCCACTTCCCGGCCCGATGGGATTGGGCGAAGCCAATCCATTCAGACCACCTATATGGAACATATATTAAGTCAATATAATAATAACAAAAAAATAGCCCTGAGTTTTAAAAATACAAATTTCAATTTAATTTTCCTTTCTTCATTTTAAATCGTTTTTTTTTTAAATAAGAGTTTTTGGCTGACACTTTTTAGATATTCAATATTTCGACGATTTTAAGAAATTTGTTTTCCTATATTTAAAAATTATTTCTTTTTAAGGGATTTATATCTTAATAATAGAGAAAATCTCTAAACAAATAGAAATAGTCTGTTTTTTATTTTAAGAAATATTTTATACATTTAAAAATTGTTTTGAAAGACAAGCAAAACTTGCCAGCTTTCTTAGAGATTTATTTCTTACTATTAGAAAAATTTCTAAGCAAATAAAAAAATGTCTTTCTTCTTTTAAGAAATATTTTTCTATATTTAGAGATTATTTATAAAACAGAAAAAACTTTCTAGTTCTTTTTTAGGGATTTAATAGTAGATTCAATAATAGAAAATGTTTCTAAAAAATATAGAACAAACGACTTTCTTATTTTAAGAAATAGTTTTCTATATTTAGAAATGATTTAGAAAGACAAGCAAAACTTTCTGGTTTTCAGGGCGATCTTCTTTATTTTTTAATGCGATCTTAATTTTTTAAGGCTATTTTTTCTTTGAGTTTACTTACTGCCACTTGAGCCAGCTAGGAGCGTGGAGCAGCCCCCGCCCAGACTATTGGGACTCTCCGTCATCGAGGTGGTAGCCGAGGTGGAGGAGGAGGTGCCATTTGTGCCCGTGGAGTTAGGGGTTCGCCGCTGATTGCGTAACTTCTCCTCACGTCGCCATTTGGCACGTCGATTGGAAAACCAGACTTGTATCCTCGCCTCCGGCAATCCTATTTTCCCAGCTAATCTTTCGCGTGCAAACACATCCGGATAATGGGTTCGCTCAAACTCTGTAAAGAGATTACAGATTAGATATAATAGACCATACATGTAGTAAGGATTATACTAACCACCTAACTTGTTAGATATTTATTTAAAAAAAACATTAAAAAATTTAATTGTCGCTTAACCAATTATTAAATATATAGAGCATATAGTAATATTCTTCTTATTTTAATAATTTAATTAATATTATTAATTTAATTTTATTAATTTACTAAATTTAAAATAGAGTCAGTCAATTTAAAAAAAAAAAAAAAAAACTGAATTTAAATAAGCAAAAAATAACAAAAAAAAAATATATATACTTTAAACATTTTATAATTATAATATATATATATACATTTATATTAAAATGCAGAATATAGTAGATCTTTAAGAAATAAAAAAATAAGTTAAAGAAATTGAAAATATGTAAATAAATGAAAGCATAATATAGAAATAAATATATATATTATAATTATAAAATATTTAAAGAGGAGAAATATAGTAATAGAGCAACGTAAGAAATTACCATAAATTATATTATTAGATAAGTTATTGTTATGTTGCTTAACTAATTATAAGATATATATTACTATTTTAGAATTCTCTCTTCGGTTGAAGTAATCAAAATATTCATTTGATTTATTTATTTAGCTACCTTTTTCTAGACTGTCAATCTGTTCATTTGTGAATGATGTTCTATTCCTTTGCAGTTTTCGCTTCAGTATTAATCGGGCCTGATCGTCTTCGCTGGTGCCAATATTGGAGGCGCCTCCATTCGAGTTATCTCCCTCGCCAGAACCCGTTTCGTCTGATTGATGACCATCCAGCTCTATAAATATAAATTAAATGCGATTGGGTTACTATATAAATTAAATTAATACAATTAATATGTATTTAGTAAATTTTTTGATAGATCATTATTAATTTTATTATAAGAAATTTACTGCATTTTTTTTAAATATTTATTTTGCTTTGAGCGCATTATAAATATTAAATATTACTCCATCATTTTTTAATATTTATATTATAATTAAATGAATTAATGAAAACGAAACCTGTTTCGTAACTGAAACTAGTTACTTATTTATAGTAAACACAGAAAAATACCCAACAAAAAATTAATTAGATTTAAATCTTACTTGTTATATTTGCAATTTATATTTAACTATTAAATTGTCGTCAGTCAACACAAAAAACGCCTCAAATAATTAAATTAATTGAATTTAAATCTTAAAATGTTTCTTATATTTTTAATTTAAATTTGAATAATACATTTTAATCTTTAAATCTAAGTCTTCATTAAATAAATAAATAAAATTTAATATTTAATATATTAACAACATTATCTTTATCATTAAACTGCATTTTTTTTACTTTTATTTATTATTTATAAGTTTTATTTATATTAATTTATATTATTTTATTTGAGACTGCTACAAGTGTCTGTCTTTAATCCAATTTTACACATAATAATTTTAAATTAAAACTAGAAGTCGAGCACTCTCGACTGCCACTCCTGCTGATGCGTCGTAATCGCCAGGAAATCAGATCAGATCAAGCAGCCGTCCAATATTAAACCACATCAGGCTGCCCACATCAAAGGCACCGCAATTCGCAACATTTTGGATCTCAGCTTGTCACTATTCTATGTGTGTTTGTGTGTGTATGTAACTGGCAGTGAATGTTAGTGAATGTGACAGAGCAAATAGATGCTGATAGCTGTGAGACATGCCGCAGGTCCGGACTCGGGTCCAGTTCGAAGCACACGTCACTTGCCTAGCTGACTGCAATGTGCTGACAGCCAACTGCCAACTCCGAACAACAACAAAAACAGCCTCACTCATAAGCAAAGCCAAAATGGAGGTGGGGCGAAATAACATACACACCATGAATCCAGCCCTGTTTAGCGCTCGTTTCGTGTTGAGTAGAGCAGCTCAAAAGTGTGTGGGGGAGTGGGAGATGGAGATGGTGAGAGAGTGTGGAAAGTTGTGCAGAGTGACACTTTGACACACACACATACAAGTAGACAAACGCACACACACACACACACTGTTAAATACATTAGAGAGACAAAAACGAAGATAAGGCGAACGAAAATTTGTTGTAGCATGAGGTTTACCAGATAGGATATTCTATAAATATGTATTTTTGGCTATATATTTATGCACCCCATCATCAGCAACAAGCACCCCACTCTAACCACAGCTAACACCCTTCCCCTTGGTTTTGGCGTTTAATGAAGTGTCATCGCCTGTAAAATGAGTCTGCAAATCGCATTAAAAGCAACTACTCGGTTAAGGGTAAGCTTGTCAACTACGACAAGCAGAAACCCCCTATCCTCCTTCACGGCTAGCATTGCCCTCTACCATTACCGTTAGCGTTACCGTTACCTTTTCCGTTGCCCCAGGCCTGGGATTATACGGGGCTACAGTTACATTTACTACTGCTGCTGATGGTGCTGCTGATGCTGCTGCTTCTCCTTCTTCTTCTGCTTCTTCTTTTTCTGCTGTTGTTGCTGCTGTTGTTGCTGCTTCTTGCTCTTCACACGCACTGATTTTGTTTGTTTCAAAACTTTGCCTAAACTAATTAGATCTGTGTGTTCTCTCTCGCTCGCTTGCTCTTTCGCTCTCTATCTGACTCCTGCTCTCTTAACTATTTGGTTAACCAAATTAGATCTGTGCTGTTGATTTTTGCCTAGCTCTGCTTTACTTACACTCTCCCTCTCTCGCTAGCTCTTTATATCTCTGTTGACCTCTAACATTTAACAGTTTCTCTGATTGTTTTTTTTTACTGGTCTAATCGAATCCTTAAATATTACACAATTTATTTATTTTTACTTATAATTTTCAATTTAAATTCTTGATTTCTTAAAACGTATTTTAAAAATTGTGTTCTGTTTTCAAATTTTTAATTTATTTATTAAATATCTACTAAAAACCGTACACAATTTTTAATAAATAAATATTTGATATTAAATTTCTAGTTGCATATTAAATGTTATCAAATTCAAATTGAATACTTAAATTTAAATTTAAATTAAGAAACAAAGAAAATAAAGCACAAATAAATATGGGAGAATATTTATGGCAAATATTTATGGAACTTTTTGCATTTAAATACCCCCAGAAATCATATAAATATTTCTTATTTTTAAATTTATAAATATAATTTTTAATTTTATTTTAAATTTAGCTTAATTACATTTTTTACGCTATGTATTTTTTGTGTCGACTGACTTTAGTTGACATTAAATAAATAAATAAAGATTGTGTAAGCCCAGAAAAAAATCTAATCAATTCAAAGACGTTTAAGTTAGTAAATATGACAGTTTATTTTATTAAATACTTAGAGTAAGCTTTGTCGGCAAATTTTTGTGAATAATTAAAGTAAGCTTAGGTTTATGTCTATGCGTAGATGTGCATTATCTGCATATAATTATATTTTTGTGTGGCACAAAAAGTAGTCAGACTCTACGTCATGAATCAATTGTGTCCACAATACGCACGATTGACTCAAAGTAACGGGCTCTATATATATTTACATACTGTACTCACTGTACTCGGATATAGATTGCCAACTTTCTCAGCATTTGATTTAACTCGACAATTGTCGATGATGGCAAACTTGCCGTGCGTGCGTAAATATTTTGGGCACGTGACCAGGACTCGCAGGATTCCTTGATTATCCTTCCCTGCTCATGCATTTCTATCTGTATCTGTTTCTGTTTCTGTTGTCTCTGTTTTACTCACCCTCCGTGCTAAGCAAAAAAAATTTCTGCTAAATCGTGATATATATATAAAGATATACCCTTGAAATGTATACGCTTTTAAGGCAAATAAATAAATTTAGATACGGTATTTAATATTTATGCTTATTAAATTAAAAAAAATATTCAATTAAATGTTTTAAAATAGCTGTAAATAGTAATTTTTAAATATTCATATTAAATAATACAAATAAAAATATAGAAATTAAATATAAATTAAATTTTACTTTTTTAAATAAACTTTAGATTGAAATTAAAAACTGTAACAATGAATTTTAATTTTGATTTACAAAGGCTTAATATCAAATATACTTTTAATTGAATTAATTTATTTATATTTGTATATTTAACATTTAGGCTTTTTAAATTAGAATTGAAAAATATAAAAAGGTATTGATTAAGCTTTTAAGCTATTAAACTAAACTAAACTATTATAATTAAATTATTCAGCAGCTTAAATAATTAGGCTATACAAAAACAAATATATTAATATATTTGTTATTTTCTTTTTCATTATTCAGCAAATTGACTTTCTTTTTTTTTTAAGTTGTTCAATTTCTAATTGGGTTTCATTGCTAAAATGTGTACTAAATTGAATTGCGTACTACATCAAAAAGTACCATTTGTATATCATGTTTTTATTTGATATTTATTATTAAATTTGAAATATTAAATATTATATTATTCGAGTTTGAGCAGTAGAAACTTAATAGAGCACTTTTTGTTACGAGTAGAGATCTCTAATAGCAGAAGAGTGTTCTTATCTTTCAAAATAAACATATTAGGGCCTTCTCAACTTGTAGTGCAGATCTCTAATAAAAGTAGAACGCACTCTAATAGCAAAAGAGCACTCTCGACTTACCAGTAGTATAGATTTCTAATAGTTGTGAAGCACTCTTGTAGAATGCTCTAAAGTACTTTAAAAATAGTGGTGCCCTCTCGACTGGTAGTACAGATCTCTTTCTCTCTTTCTTTTAGATAAGCACTCTTTGCTTTAAGTATTATTTTAATTGCTAATCGTTTCAAGACTTACCCTTCTTGAGCATCACATCGTCTGGGGCAATGGTACAGTTGCCCAGATTCACGCTCGGTCCACCGATATTGATGAGATCCGTGGGCGGCGTCAACGGATGAGCTGGTGCGGGAGCTAAAGCAGCGCCAGGATTGCCATACCCACCAGCAACAGATAAAACACCAGGCGAGGCTGAGATGTCGTTGCTGCTTCCATTTAAAGGTGCTGCATACCAAGAACCCGTCGAATAATGACGAGGTGGCCAACATTGTTGCTGCTGCTGCTGCTGCTGTTGTTGTTGTTGTTGTTGTTGTTGTTGCTGCTGCTGCTGGTGATGGCAATGGGAGGCGTGGAGGGGATGTGGACTAAAGTGACTGCTCGTCATCGTTTGCGGGGCAGTTGCCACATCCAGTGCGGCAACGTGTTGCGTGTTCAGCAGACGCAACTTTTCATAGATCGACTCCTGTTCGCTGCCCTCGCCAGAGTTGCTCGCTCCTCCGCTTTCCGAGGAGTTCAGCGGCGTTGCCGTCTGTATTAGTTCATTGCCAGCGTTGCCAAGCCCCGTTCCGTTGCTGCTTCCAATATTATTCCCATTAGCAGTACCGGTGACGGTACCGGCTGCCGTACCGCTCCCAGTCGCCTTTGAATTTGCGCCGGGATTCGAGTTGGAACTACTCGCAGAGCCGACGCTGCTCTGCTGCTCCTTCTGGGCGGCCAAATTGCGCAACACCCGATTTATTGACGATACCTTTAAGATACCAGATAATCACAGAATTATATTTAATACCACATAGATACTGGCAAATAATTATAAAAATTGTTAGAAAATCATTTACATAAAATGCGAAGAATAAATAAAAAATAAATATAAACAAGACTGCTGTAGTTGAGTGAGCTCGACTACGATATACCCTGAACCCAGTTGTTAAATATATTCTAATTTATTGGAAAATTTCCATTTATATTTTTTGCACAAGCAAGTGCGCACTGCCGAGAAACAGGTGAATATTCGTACATACGTACACGCAATCGTAACATGGTACGGGGCTCTGCAGAATACACACAAAAACATATTGACGCTCGCGTCGGTTATCATGCCATATCTTCTACACAATCGGATAAGAAACACCCAAGTTATAGTCGAAAATATATTCTCATATTGATCTCATTTCTGTATGCATAAATATGCGAGTGTGAGAAAGAGATGGCATGATAATGTGTATTCTGCAGAGCCCCGTTACAATTGCGTCTACGTATGGATCTGCACGTGTTTGAAACCAGCCCTTTAAGATCAGTTCGAGCTTGTGCATAATTAGTATTTTAATTTATTTTGAGCTATATGCAAAATAAATAAATTAAATAAACGCGAAATTTAACTAAAGATTGTATTAAGATTAGAGCTATGCCCGCTGATCAATGCAGAGTATTTATTGGTTGAGCACTGGCACAGTCTAACTTTTTTGTTTTCATTTTTTTTTTTTGTGTTCTTTTTTTCCATTATTATTTTAAGGCAGTGCCTGCGCATGACAGCGCTTTTGAAATGAATTCAAAAGGCAAAAGCAAAGCCAAAGCCAAAAGCAAAAGCAAACGAACCAAAAGAAATAAGGCAAAGGGAAAAAGGAAAGAAAGAAATAAAGAACAAGCGGGCAGGCAGGCAGGCATTTAAATGAGCGAGTGAGAACAACAGGGAAATGTGCAGTTGAGTGGAAAAATTAGGCAGAAATGTCCTTTCAAGGGAATCAACAACACAAAAAATAAAAATGCAAAAAAAAAAAACTTATTTTTAAAAACAAAATGAGCGCCATCCCCGAAAGCGCTACACAAATTCATATGCACATACATAAGCGTATACATTTATATATACATATATACACATATTCATATATGTATATATTTTTATTATTATTAATTTTTTCGCCATCTGTTTTAGCACTTTTCTCTTAAGCATTCCAAAAGCATTTTTCAATTTTTTAAACAATATATTACAAATTTAATTAAATTAAATAGTAGGTTTAATTATGAATTGAATATTTCTGCACATATAGAAGCTATGAATACTAAAGATAGGTAAACATTGATCGATGGCATAGCTATATAATTATTAACAAGCCAAAGAATTGAACTCTTTAATCTTATTCAAAATGTGCCGGTAAAAATAATATATAATAAATAAAATGATGTATCCTTTCATATAAGATTATAAGATTGATTATTCAAATGGATTTAGTAGGTAATTAATATATATTAACTGACAGATTAAGCAAATATAAATCTATATAATAAATAAATTGGCATTGGCAAACTATAAAAAAGACGAAAGCAATCAATACATAATATTTAATTAAATTCAAGTGAGCCCATTTGGGACTAGTAGATTAAGCAAATGTATAAAATATATTAAAATAAAGAAAGTATAAAAAATAAAGTAGTATCCGAACTTTGTTCAAGTTAATAATTAATTCAATTCCAGGCAGAGTAGTTGAGCTAGTAGAACAAGCAAATATAAAACAAAATACTAAATAAATAGGCATAGACAAACTTAACACACGTAAGAGTGCTGTCGCCGAGTGAGCTCGACTACGATATACCCTGAACCCAAACATATTGACGCTCGCGTCGATTATCATGCCATCTCTTTCTCACAAATGCGCTCGCATATTTATGCATACAGAAAATGCTTGCGGCTGCTGATAGAAATGAGATCAATATGATAATATATTATCTATATAACTACAACTTGGGTGTTTCTTAGCCGATCTTGATGAAATTTGGATAGTTGATCAGTAGTATGCATATGCATACATATTATGTATTAATTAGAAGATTCTGCATTTAAAATATTAGCATTTATTGCTATCGCAAATTTAAATGTATCGATATACCAGAAACGGAGGCGATTATCGATAAAATAAAGCAAACTTGATCTGCGTCTGGTATACGAGAACCTATATTCCAAATTTAAAGTCTCTAGCTCTTATGGTCTCTGCGATCTGCGTTTTCATACAGATGAACGGACGGACGGACATGACTATATCGGTTCGGCTGTTATCCTGATCAAGAATATATATACTTTATGGGATCGGAGATGCTTCTTTCTGCCTGTTACATACATTTGCACAAAACCATTATACCATTTTTACCCATTTTTAATGCGTTCAGGGTATAAAAAGTAGATAAACAGTTTAGAAAAATTATTAAATTAATACTTGCATATGAACTTGATATTAAAAATAAGCTCTTAAACTCAAACTTAACTATATATTTATTTGATTTTTAGTTATTTATTTATTTAGTTTAGTTGCTGAGCATACTTTAATTATTCTTTTTTGTTGAATAGGAAGCTAAACCATAACTGGCAAACAGAGCAACGCTTTTATCCCTCACTGATTTTGTTGCCACCCCATCGACCTCCCCTCCCCTTCGCTCTCCTTTTCCACTCCTGGACGTCGTCGATGTCCAATCGGTCGTTGCTATTTCTGCTTATGTTTCCTCGGCATGAAAGAAAAAAAAAAATTTGTGATATCCCCTCGCGCGTGAATTTCAACGCTTAACGCTTTGTGGTGAGCAGCAGCAGGAGCAGGGGTCCTGTATTTATTTAATATACGCACATTTTCCTACACATTTTTGCAGCAGTGATTTCCCTTTTTGTCGTTTAATGTGCATAAAAGATTTTCCCTTCCATTTGAATGAGCACATTTTCCACACAACTGTCAATGAGGAAAATGAGGAAAACTGAGCACAACTTAACGCCGTTGTCACAATTCATTTTCCTGCTTCTCTTTTCTTTTTTTTTTGCATACTTAATAAACGATAAAAAAAAAATGCTAATGCTAACTAGAAGAACGAAAAAATGGCGTCAAGAATACAAGAATAAAAAATACACAAAAGAAATTCAATAGCGCACAAAATGCCATATAATAATGTGATGCTTCAATTATTGAAAAGCGACTCGAAATCCTGGCATACATTTCGCCCACATCTATCTCTCTCCCCTCTCTGTCTCTCATTTTCTTCTCTCGTTCTCTAACCGCAAAGATAAAAGTGGCAAAATAATAGCCAGAGGCACTCTTTAAGAATAATCTTTAGTTTATATTTATGTTTAGATTTTTCATAAATAAAATAGATCAAACTTATCACAAAAATCTTCAAAATTATTTTTTATTAACAAAATCTTTAACATTTTTTTTTACATTATTATGCCAGCTACTTATATATAGTTATTAAAAATCAAACTTATCCCAAAGGAACTTTAAAATCCTGTTTTATTATTATGTCAGCTATTTATGCAATGTAATGTTTTATTTTATTTATTTATTTTTAAAATACAATTAAATATTTATGCTTTTACATTTAAATAAAATCTATAACATTTTGGGAATTATTTATTAATTGCAAAATACAAAAATACTTTATAACTTTTATTTAAATTATTGAAAATTAATAAAATGCTTTTTCAAATTTTCAAATTGGAAGCGAATTGAAGTATAAATAATAATCTAAATGATATTCTGTTTTCTACATTAATTCAACTCAAAACATTTACAAAGACAACAAATTGGAAGCTAATTAAATAATTCACTGATTTTCTACTCTACTGAAAATATAAAATGAATAATAGGTATACCCTATATACAAATATATTTAGAAAAGATTTTATAGTTTCCACACATAAAACAAATTGGAAATTATTGAAAATATAGAATAAATAATATATATATATATAATAAAATAATATTAAATAAATAATTGCAGTAAACATATACAATATACCCTCTATATAATATTATGTTTTCTGCACATATATTTAGAATAGTTTTTATAGTTTCTACTCACACTCGGTATGTTGTCATTTGTGCACACATTTTCCTGCAACAATCTATCCCGGATCTCCCAGGCGAAGATGCTGGGACATTCCCGTTTATATTGCGAGATTTTACTGACGACTTCAGCTGTCGCCACTCGAGGCTTCGATCCTCCAATCGCACGAGGTCGAATGCTGCCCGTTTCGTAATATCTAAAAAAAAAAGCGAAATTTAAGGAATTACTGTACTCAATTTTTGAACAGCACATTAAATTGAAATAAAGTTGAAAGGCGTAAGGATCGTGTGAAATATATTATAATTATTATTAATGGTGTGGTGGTGGAGGGTGTGTGTGTGTGTGTGTGTGTGGGGGGGGGGTGAATTACACCTGTTTGCTTCAATTCAATTCAATAACTGGCAAATGGCAAATGGCCCATGGTTATAACTTTTTTAAATCGTCTAAGATTATAACCACCCAAGAGACATCTGGCTTGTCGGAGTCCTACTACCTCTGAACAGCTCTGTTGCCGCCTCTGTCTCTCCTCGCTTCTAAGCTCCAGTCGTATAGTGTGTCTCCCTATACCACATTACGGTGCTGGTCCTATTGAGGGCCTTTCTTCTTGATTATAAGCCGCCACGTTTCCCGCTATGTCCCTGTGGCCCGGGACCCATCGTAGGGTAAGCCTGTAGTAGGTCCTCTAGTAGGTCTAGCTTTGAACGAGCCTTCCATTTTATCTTAGTCCCCATTATCGCGTTTAATGCTGCTTGACTATCGGATAGGATGGATACATCCGTTTTAGGTTGAAGTCCGCACATCTTCCTATCGGAATATGCTGGTGTGCGTTCCTAGGGATTCATGGTAAGATACCCGAGGGCCTACGTCTCCAAGACCTGTGCCATGATTGGTGAGTGATCTATCGGTGTACCATTTTATGGTGTGCGGTTTCAGAGGGTGGACTTTATCCAGAGTTGTCCATTCCCTTTTACTACTTATACGAACTGTGAAATTTCGCTCGAATCTGTATTCAGCTACCATTTCGTCCCTAGGTTGCATTAGCAGGGGCAGTTCATTTGAAAGGAGTTGGGCATCTTTATGGCTTAGGATATGGTTGCCCCCAAATCCTTCTACCGACATCCTTAAAAGCGTGGATTTCTGCTTAAGTCTTATGGTATGGTGGAGTGGTGTGAGCTCCATTAAGGCTTCAAGGGCCATTGTTGGGCAGGTGCGCAGTGCTCCTGTCATACATACGCAGGCCATTCTTTGCAACTTTTGTAGTTGTTTCTTCATGGTGATTAGCCGCGCCCTGGCACCCCATGCTATCACCCCATAGGTTAGCATGGGTCTTACTACCATTAGGCATAGCCATCTTAAAATCTTTAATTATGTACCCTATGATTTACCGGCTATGCTACGACATGTAGAAAGCGCCATGGAGCACTTTAATATCGTATTTGGCACATGGATGCCAAAGTTAAGTCTGCTGTCAAATGTGACTCCCAGGTATATATAGAAAATTGAAATAATGAAATGGAATAAAAATAATATTTAATTGGCTATTATTCATAAATTAAAACGCAGATTAAATATAATAAATAAAATGGGTATTTAATAAATTCAAATTGAGATTGTAAATTAAAAAGTTAATTAATTGAAGAAAATAAAATTCAAGATAAATTTAAATTGCGATTATAATTTGAGAAGGAATTTGAAATAAAAATTATTAGTCATTAATAATAAATTAAAATTAAGTTAAAATATTTATAAATTAAATAAACAGAAGGAATTAAATATAAATTTTAAGCGAGATGATTGCCTTAATAAAATTAGGTTATATATTGAATATGTTATATTGAAAATTATTAAAATGAGGCAGCATATTTAAATGCTTTCCACTCATTTAATGGTATATAAATAAAATGCTAAGTTAAAATTAAATTTCCAAAAATTAACTAGCAGCCAAATACAATTAGTAATAAAGTTTTTGTTTTCAATTAATTAATTATTCTGGCACAATTAAATATGAATTACCAAAATTGTATATTAAATATCAAAGCAATCCTTTACGTCTTCTTGAATTTATTTTATGTTTTATCTTTAGCTTTTCACATTCATTATTCTCAACTAAATTGCATATTAAATATTTAATGTTAATATTATATGCTTGATATTTTTATATTATACATTTATTATACTCAAAGCATGCGTTTTGTAAATCACAAATTAAAATTACAATTTCCAGGCCAAAAATAATAAATAATAAATTGTATTTTAATATTATATTATTGATTTACATTTATATTATATTATTAATTATCAATTATTTTCAAAGTTTAAACAAAATTACAATTAATTTTCAAGAATTGATTGCCATAAAAACTGTTGATCTGCTGTTTTCGTTAATACCATAATGAAATATAATAAATAAGTTTGATTTACTCACCTGCCTAAAATTTTGCTAACACATCCATTGGAAACTTGAAGAATCCGTGAAATATCACAGGGTCGAGCGCCGGAATGAGCCAGCTCCACAATTTTCTGGCGTGTTGAGTCCGGCAACGGTCTGCCCCCAACGAAAACACCTCCCAATTGGTTTACCCCACTGTGACCTGCAATGGGATCAGTTTAATTAATTTTATATATAATTATTTATTTTTCTTGGTATTTAAAAATTTTTTTATTTGTAGCAAAAGTAAAAAATGTGTTTTAGCAAAGTTTATTTAGACTGTTGCAAAGAATATTTATTTATTTATTTATTTATTAGAAAACCAGGTCAGAAAATAGCACTTTTAAAGACCAAATAAAACTCTTAACTAAAATGTGATTTTAACTAGAAATAGTGTAGTCAAAATGCTGCATATAAAGTAATACAAAAAAAACAACCAATTGTTTTAATTAATTATTTATTCTGCCAATTTCTTAATTTGTTATATGTTTATTTTTTGCATTTAAATACACCCAGAAATCGGACAAATAATTCTTAATTTTTAATTTATTGCTTTTGTATTTCTTGAGTCGACTGACGTTGACGTTCACTAAATAAATAAATTTATCATTAATTTAGAGCTCTAGTTTTAGAATTATATTGAATTTCCCAAAATTATATATTAATTTACAAAATTGTATATTAAATATCAATTAAGTCCTTTGCGTCTTCTTTAATTTATTTTATTTTTTATCTTTAGTTTTTCAAATTCATTATCCTCGACTAAATATTTGAACTCCTTTATTAAATATATTTCTATATACTTTTTTATTTTATTTTCTTTTTTAAAGCTTTTCAAATTCATTTTTGTTAGCGTTTCATTCTGCTCTTCTTGCTGGTACAAACTTAGGCAGAAAAAACTGAAATAATTACAAATAGCAACAGCAATAGCAATAAATGCTATATAGAAATCTAATTATGTGCTTAGCAATTGCAATAGCAAAAGCAATATCTGCTTAGTACTTGCTGCTAAAGCGTAGCAAATTGAATTATTACACATCAATTGAAATCAATTTTGGATTTGCCAATTTGCTGCGTTTCAAATGATGCATAAAATGTATTTTGGCACGCTCTAAAAACGGCAAGATTAATACGTATCTAAATATATATCTCTACTCAACTTTTACAAACGAGGCATTTCAAGAACTCTCAACAACAAAAAGCAATTCAAATCAAATGGTCAAGGGCTCTATGACAAAAACGAGATGAAAAAACTTTGTCTTCTCGTCTAGTGGAGCATGGATTTCAGACAAATTTCCTAGTATTGATTGTGAGAAAATCCCAACAAAAAAATACAGAAAAAATCCAGAAATCTGCGTATTTAATTTAATTCCAACTGATAGCCAGCGAAGCGGCAAACTCAACTGCCACTTTACCTTACCTTTCTTTAACCCATTACCTCAATATCTCAATGCCTCAATGCCTCAAGACGAGGGTCGAGGCTAATCCCAATAACAAGAAAAGAAACTGACCCAAACTGAACTCAACTCAACTCAGAGCTGAGCAGTCGAGCATAATGAAGTGACATTCAATTGGAATAGATAACACTGATAAATATCTAAATATGTAACCCTTATCTGCATCTCTCAGCTCTGTATCTCTTATCTATAAACTCTCATTACAATAAAAAGAAAGCCGCTTTTATTCTTCAGACTGTGTGTCGTTATTTTCATCTCACTTGCTTTTATTTGTGATTAATTACTTTTTAGAAATTAACTGTGATTATTGTTATTTGATGTCATCTGGATTTCTTATTTACTTGCATTTAAATTTAAATCATATTTATAATTTAAGCTAACTAATCTGGAAATTTGAGCCCTTAATTATTAATATTAATTTAATTAACTGTATCAAATTTATTTATTTATTTAAATTAAATGCATGTCTAATTTAACAGATCTTCTAATCGTTCATATTAAAGGTCTATATTTTGTTAAAATTAATAAGGAATTAGAAGCAAATCAAAAAGAAAAGAAATAAACTAAATTTTAATTCAAATTATAAGTAAAAGTAAAGTTTTTAGAAAAGTAATATATATAAATTAAAAAATATATATAATATGGAATAAATTGAAAATGAAATAATCAGAAGAATTAAAGATAATATTTAAATGGGTGTTATTCATAAATTAAAATGCAGAGTAAATTCAAATTAAGATAATAATTGAACAGAAACATAATTGAAGGAATTAAATTGAAGATAAATTTAAATTGCTATTATATTTTGAGAAGGAATTTAAAATAAAATTAATAGGTGTTATTAATAAATTAAAATTGAGTTTATATATTTATAAATTAAATAAAACAGAAGCAATTAAATATAACAGTTAAACGGGGTGATTATCTAAATTAAATTGAAATCGAATTCAATATCAAATATATAAATGGGTTATTTAAAAAAAAGGAATTAAAAATAATATTGAAAAGAGGGTAATTAACTAATTAAATTGAGATTATATATTTAATTGGAAAATAATTGAAGTAATTAAAGATAGTATTTAAAAGGGGTAATTAATAACTTAAAATTGAGATTACATATTGAAAAATTAAAGTATCGAAGGAATTAAATTTAAAATGGGTAAATCAAAAATTCAATTTGAGGAGGAATTAAAGATTATATTTTAAATACGGTAATTAACTAATTAAATTGAGACTCTATATTTATTTAAATGTAAAATAATTGAAGGAATTAAAAATAATATTTCAAATGGTAATTAATTACTTATAATAATCAGAAAGATTAAAAATGGAGATTAAAAATGGAGATTAAAATTATGCATGGCATTAATTTTGTATGCCTAACTATATATATATATATATGAATTATGCGATGAATTACCAAAAGTAACAAGCCAGATAAAGGCCAGAAAAAAACATCTTGCCAAATGGGATTAACAATGTAATTACAACACAAATCAGTTGGCAAACAATTGTGCTTTGGGTCCAGAGGGTCCTGGACAAGGATCAGAATAGCAAACTGGAATGCTTTGCGTAAAGAGAGCATGAGGAGGGCAGTAAACTACCGCTAAATAGGCTCTATTGTGTGTGCTAAAGAGAGCCAGAAATAGTTAACGAAAGAGAGAGGCGGTAGGTAGGGGCAGCAGTACGGTTACTGCCCAGGACACTACAGGATACTAGAGAGAAAGAAAGGCAGAGAGAAAGAAAGAGAGAGAGGGAGAGAACGAGAATAACAAAATTCTGGCTGCTTTTGTTTGTTTTCATTCGACTTTCGGCTTTCAACAGTCGTTAATTGTTTTCATTTGTAACGACATGACACGAAACGCTCCTCTGTCCGTCTGTCTGTCTTCTGTCCGTCTCCTCAAGATCATTATTATAGGTGGAAAATGATTGTATTGATCCGCACACATACACAAAGCAAAACAATGACAGGAACATGACTGAGAGTACTTAACAGCACAGCGGGCACCGAGAAGTGGAAGTGGAGGGTACCCCAAGTACCCTACTACCTTGCCGTGTAGCGCATACACTCAGCGAAAAAAATATTTAGAATATTGCCCTGACAACTACCAAGCAACTAAAAAATATAATTTCTAATATTGTGTTTGTTATTTTAATTTTTTTTAAATAATTTCCATTATTAAGTGACCAATTTTTAGTATGCTATTTTTCCCATTTATTCGAAATATTTTTCATTATTAACAGGTACATTTTTAAATGTAGAAAAATAAGCATCTTTCAATTATTCGAAATATTTTGTATCCTCAAGAAGCTCATTTCTAATATGGTAATTTTGTTTAAAAGCGATATTTTCTGTTATTAAGAAAAGTATTTTTAAATGAAAAAAAACGGATTTAACTATTTATTAGAAATATTTTCTATTATTTGTATTATGTAATATGGTCTTTTTAATTTAAACAAATACGTTTTTTTCTATTATTAGAAATATTTCATATTATTAAAAAAATAAAAACTAAAATTAAAAAATAAAATTTCTATTTTTTAGGTGAAATTTGAAATTAAACACAAATTAGAAATAATAATAATAACAAAACGAGAATAATAAACAGAAATTATAAATGTGTTTTCTAAATAATAAAATGAAGAACCCTTCGGCGACTTGCTGAAAATGCAATATTTATTTATTATTATTTATATATATTATTTATTTGTATATACCGAAATTCAGTGATGTTTTTTTTTTTGCAAGTGTAGGACGCATGTCAAACCGGGAACAGTCAGTAGCAGTGAGCTGTGTGTTGTAATGTGTATGTGTTCTTTGCCGCTACCCTCGACCCACTACGCACTACCCGTTACCCTCAACATCTTTACTTGGACTTGGCATTGTTGGCAGTGATCAGCTTGGATATGGTTTTTGTTTAAATTGGGAATCGTGCTCTGGTCTTTGGTTGGGTTCATTGTGGTGCCTATAATTGGCAACATCTGGCATCTGGCGAGACACACAAACTAAACAATGCCGTCACACAATTAGTGTACACATCAATGGGGACTAACTTTTTGCAATTTTCACACCAAAATATCCCAAATAAAAAAAACAACTCAATTCATTTAGCGCAAATCGATGCGGTACGGCAAAAGGTACCTGAATGAAGTATTCTGAAGTGTCGTACGCAAATTATCAAAGTTCTCTTTCTCTATTTTGACACATAATTTGTTTAAATTGTGACCTTTTCGATTAAGCAGCAAATAATTCCAGTTTCAGGGAATACCCAAATATTTAAATTTAAAATAAGCAAATGCTAGAACCAAAAAATAATATTTAGCCTGCTTGAAAAAATAATTAAATGCAAAGTATTTTAAGTTTAAATAATAGCTTATTTAACAAGCAACAAATAAAATGTATTCAGTTTTCAAAAATACTTTCAATTGTATTATTCGTAATTGAAGTATTTAAATAATATGAATATTGATGTGATATTGCTCTGCTATTGCTCTGTTATTTGCTACAGCTGCCGACTTGAACAGCGCAGAGCGCAAGAGCTTTTTCAGCTATTGGCGCTCGTTAAGCTATTGCTATCAGAGATGCTCAATATTTTTATTCACTTCTTATATAATTGCATGTATTTTAAAATAATAATAATAATTGCTAAGCGGCTTTTATATATACTTTAATTGTATTTTAAAGCGTGTCAGCAACTGGTAGTTTTTTGTTTTGAATTTTTAGCTGATTACTTTTAGCCAAAAGTGAACTAGTCAAGAATATGTAATAAGAGAAAGAAGAATAGATAGACAGATGGACATACATTCATCATCGGTGAGGTGGTAGTAGGTTGTGGTAAAGTACGATGATGTAGAGTGTGGTGGCTGTGGCGCTGTTGTAACATCCGCGGCGGCATCCATTGCAGCTGTTGTTGCGGCTGCTGCTGCCGCCGCCGCTGCCGCCGCTTTGCCGCCCATGCTGCCCATGCAAGGCAAATTTCTCATAGCAAGCACATTGTCTATAAGAAAAGAACAAAGTAAACGGGAAAATGAACAACATGGAAAACACTCAAACGTAGAGACACGTGCACATATATTTAGATAAATACTCTATAATGTATGTATACATGTATGTGTGTGTGTTTGTGTGTGTGTGTGAGTAACCGTTTTTGAAAATTTGCATAGATCTATAATTGAGCTTTGCTCAGTGGCCGTTTAGTGCATAAGGCCAGCATCGTGGTGTGTACACTTAATCTACATAGCGCATATCAGCGTTTGATGCTCTCGCTCTCTCGTTACGATCTCTTTCGTTGCACTCTCTCCAATTTCCCTCTCTCTTGATTTCTCATTCTCTGATGCGCTCTTTGCTTTTGTCTACGCAGCAACAAACTAGTAGATTATCCCATCGTTATCGAAAGTATTCTATTTGCATACAATATAATAAATTACTTTGTAATTTGTGTAGTGAAAATTAACTTATATATTTATATGTTTATGTTTAAAATTGTTGTAACTTTTAGTATCATTCATCAAATTTGATATATATAATGAGCTTTTTAGATTTTGAATAATGTATATGTGACTACATATATATAAAATACATACACTACACATTTTTCCATACCTTCTTATTTCCAATAGTCTACCTTTAAAATAGAGTCGTATAATATTTACGATCCCTCACACAAGCAAAGTAAAATGCGGAAATCGCCTACAAAGTATAGATTACAAATCGAGTTCGTAATGAGTTTCTTTTCGCAGCTGGGTTATCAATTAATAAACGACAAGCAGGAATGCCTTATGCTTCTTTTTGCTAAAGCTTCCCAAGATCGATGTTTAAGGGAATGCAATGTGCTTTGCTCAGTTGTCGCCTAACGACAGTTGCCGACGAATTCTATTCTAGTTGGGCTTGGTCTTTAGCACTCACCCACTCTCTCACGTTTCGCTCTCTGCTTTTGCTGCTCATTCTTCAGCCGACGCTGGGCTTAATGCGCAAATAATGCGAAATTAAATTCAACTTACGCGCAGCTTAGCCATTAAGCACATAAAAGCTTGACAAGTTTTTAATTTTTATGCTTCCCTTGCAGGCTATGCAATTGAGCGCTTAAACGTTGGCCCTTTATAGACTTCGAAACTTACTTTAAAAACTGTGACTCACTTTAAATATTTCGATTTTCATTGCGTTTGTCTACAGCACAGTGCCGAGTTCATATAGAAATATCCGTCGGTCTGTTCGTTTCTTTCTAATGGCTTAAATTTGGTAAACTTTATGAATAACGGACTACTAAATATTATAAACCTTTATTTGAGTCTGTTCTTTAAATTTAAATAATTTAGGTGATGGCATTTTGAGTTCCTGTCCAAAAGTGCATAAGTTTTTAAAAGAACAAAAAAGGCTGCAAAATGTTTGGAAAAATGTAATACTTAAGAAAATAGGGATATTTTGAATTTATTTCAATATTTTTTAACCAGCTAAAAAGCATGAATTATTTCTTTTGTATTTTTATATGATTTATATTTTGCTATGTGCACAGCTATCAAAAGCTCAGACTAAATTTAATTGAATTAACTGAAAAATACATGCTAAATTTAAATGAACGAATTATACAATTTTAATTAATTTATATAAATTACTAAACAACGGCGATATTTATTTATAATATTAGTAAACATTTATGTAAAATAAGAACTTGGCTTGTTTTTAGCAGAATCAATGGCATTGCCAAATAGTGCAATTTTGTTAAAGATCTATATTAATTATGATATTGGTAAAACCAAAAAAGTATTTATGACCACTTCCAAGAAATGTTTTAATTGCTTAATTCGTTAGTTATTTTTTTAGAGAGTTGTTGAAGGTATTTTTTTTAATATTTAGTAGTAGCATTATTTAATACAGGTTTTGTGGTTGGACTTGGACGGATTCAAAAGCAAACATGTATTTATTTATTAGTAAAAATATATTTAGTAAAGTCATCAGCTCTATTTTTACTATGCTATATATTTACTACAATATAATATCTCCTAGTTTTTCAAGGTATTCTTCTGCTATGTACCTTACCCTTATGGTTCATATCCTCCAAGGTGGGCAGCCGTTCGATGAGGGCTCCGGTGGACCAAGGAACGCTGCCAATTGTGGCCGGAGTCGGTTGAAGTGTAAACATAATGTCCGCGATATGTACTCAAATTATCCGATATCGATCACCGACAAACTATATATAGACTTTCGATTTCACTTGAGTCACTGTGTATTTTTTTTTTTATATTTTGTTGAAATTTGTATGCACTTTTTGCGAAATTTTTTCAAGAACAAAAGCAAAGGCCATTTATAAATTTGAGACAATTGAAAAGAACAAGAGAGAGAGAAAGAACTGCGAGTTCTCGCTGCAGGCGGCGTTGGCTACACGCAGCGTTAACGCCACAGGAGCGCAAGGATCTCAAAAACCCAGCCTCAAAGGAATTCATGCAGATGCCACCGATTTATATATATATATATTTATATATATATATAGATATATATTTTGCTTTGTTTTTTTTTTTTTGGCTTTTGTTTCAAGTTCACTTGTTCATTTTTCACTCTTTTTTTGTTTGATTTTTAATTAAAGGGGGCAACCCATTCCAAGACACTTATCACATTTTCACATTTGCCATTTTTTGCCTTGCACTAATTATTTTTTGGTAAATATTTTAATTTTATTTACTATTTGAACCGTCGGCAATAATTTACACACAGTTATACAGTTACACTTACAGTTTACAGTGCGCGTTGCCACAGTGTGCGAATGCAAATGCCGCATTTTGAACGTGGCTCACAAACGAGCCAATATTTGTAACGCGTTTGCTCGCAGCCACGCTGCTATTGGCCGTCACTGGCCAACCACTTGACAAGCACCACGACTGCAGTGGTTGTTGTCTACGCTCATTGGGTCTTTGCTTGTTTGAGTAGTTGTCTCGCTCACGCTGCTTAGGCTGCTGCTGTGGGACAGTGCAGTGCAGCGAGATATAAGCTGGGCAAATTTGAGCTAAGCGCATGCTATAAATGCTTGTGTGTGTGTTTCTTGCATTGAGTGTGCCTTGCCTTGGGCTCTGCGTATGTATGTGTGTGTAAGCTTAGTACCTCTCGCTGCAACGTATTGGTGTGTAAGCCCGGGCCACATAAGCTAAGCTCGCTCTCTCGCTGCCTGCATATGTATGCGTATGTGAGCCTGGGCCATACAAGCTAAGCTCACAAATACGCTGCGTGCTCTCTCTCGCTGTGCGTACGTATGTGCGTCTCAGCTTAGGTAAAGCGCGCTCGTACAATTTATGCTCTCTCTCTCTCTCTCGCTGTCTGCGTATGTGTGCCTAAGCATAAGGCTTCTTAGTTCTCCCCCTCTCTTTTTTCGTTAAATTGATTTGTAGATGACAACAACAAAAAGAATTTTGTGCATATATTTGAGCTGGCAGTGCTGGTTAGCATAGCATAAACACGCATATACACATATATGCACATATGAAACGCTGTATATATGTGTGTGTATGTGTGCTTTTTCTAGTTAGCTCATTCGATTTAAATTTTGCCGAATGAGCGAACCGTAGTCCCCGACTATGTTAAATTCTATTCGCCCAATTGAATTGTGCTTCATGGCGATACACACAAAAAGAAAAAGTCGCTAGACGATTCCGTTAACTACCCACACAACTTCCGTTACGACAAACACACACTCCCACACAAATACAATTACGTTTATGCTTGTGGGCGTTGTTCCTGTTCCCGTTTCTCTGTAACACTGTAACCGGTTAACGGGTAGCGGGTAACGCGTAACGAGTAACTGTTGAATGGGCGTTTGCGCTTGTTTTCAAAATGACGAAGCAAGACACACCCACAACTATAAGCGAAGCGCGTCGTTTATCGTTTGTCTCGCTCTTGTGCACTCTGTCACTCATTGTGTGCGAAAGAGATAGCTTTATATAGCGAACGCACTTATTCAAATTTCTGCTACTGCTTCCTCTTCGTTGTGTTTTTCTTTGTTTTTTATTTTTTGCACACACAAAATGTTTACAAAATGCTTGTGGAAATTGTTGCAAGCGTTGACGATGAGGGGCGGCATGTGGCATGCTGCATGCGTTGACACTGTGCCGCAGGTGAAGCCGCCCCAAAAAATTGTTGTTTTTTTATTTGGGCAAATTTAATATGCCAATAATAAGACAAAAAAAAATATACAAATATAAAATTATGTATTTAATTATATTTTAACTGTGAACTACCAAAATCTCGGTAAAAGTATTTTATATATAGTAGTTTTATGTATATATATATATATATATATATATATATATGTGGGTTAGAAACAATAAGAGTGAATTTCAGTTTACTTTTCATGCGCTTAAATTTAATGCCTTAGAAATCAGGAAATAATAGAAAATTCTGTTAAAAAATAGTTAGAGCTGATTTTTCTTCTCATTTTGACAAAGGAATATTTAGAAGTCAATTAAAGAGTATTTCCATTCTCCTTTTGGCAACAGAATATTAAGAACAAAATTAAATATATTTAAAAATTAATGAACAATACAAAAAACATTTTAAAAATCATTAGAGAAGAATTTCCACATATTTTTCTTGTTCACTATGGCAACAGAATATTTCTAATTGTAACATAAATATTTAAATTTATTGATTTATATATTTATTTAGTTATAGAAAAATGCAAAAAGTAAGCTATAAATTCAATTAAATTACAAATAAAATGTAGTATTTAAATGAATTTTATTAATAATTATTAGAGGTGTAAATTAGATTAAATTAAAAATGAAATGGTAATATATAATAAAATGTAGTAGTAAATGTAAATTAAAGTAATTAAATGAATCTTTCAATTAAATTAAAAATAAAATGTATTTAATATGTTTAATTATTATTAATAATTACTAGGGTGTATAAATTAATAAATAAATTGTAGTAATAAATGTATAATAACGAAATTGTATAATATAATAATATGATTATTATTAGTTTTAAATTAATTTGTATTTTATTATTCTTATTTATTTTATTTATTTTTTGTTGACTATTTTCTAAGGCTTTTTTAGATTACGCACTGTTTTCAGCTAATGGTAACGGTGAACGGTTTATATTATTTTAAAAGAGTCCAAACTTAAAAGTATTGTTAATTAAATATTATATTAACATTAATTAAAGCTGGCCCTTATGTTGTGTGCAGGAATACAAAGAAGTGTGGGGTCTGCAATAGAGGAAATATAGTAGGTATATATTCCTGGTGGGGCACCCCTTTTATTTATTGGTTTTTTCTTTGTTTTGTTCTGGAATTTTAATTTGTCGAGATTATATCAAATATAAGCGAGTGCTCTTCTTCCTATCACATGCCATATATAACGGTCCCCCATTCGAATATTAAAAGAGCGATGAAATAAATATAACAATATGAGTATTCTTGTATTTTTGTATTATGGAGAGACAGATGAAAGTAATTCTCTCTCAGCAGGAAACGGCGAACAGGCGGCACACAACCAGCACCCAACACTTGGTACTGCTGCCCCCTGCTACCCTCTTCCCCTGTACATCCCCTGCTACCCTCTCTTCCGCCACGTGTCGCGTTGAGCGGCGTTACTGCAAAAGTTTTCCGCTTCTACTCAGCGCTAAGCACAAAGCAGCAAAGTCTAAGGACTAAGAACGATGAATTAAGGGGTGGATGAGTTGAGTCCAAGGCCGGATCCGCCGCATGGTGTGTGTTGGGTGTGTGTTTCGCACCAATAAGTAGCAATAAGCGAAAAATCCAAATCTACTTTTCAGATCTGCATAGATAAATATATATATATATATACGTGTACTATATACTCTAAGAAGAGAGAACATATATAAAAAACAGAATTATGTCTAACATAAGATAAAAAAAAATAAATGGAAGTGAATTTATTATTATTATTATTACATTATTATTATTATTATTATGGGAATGCTTCGATAAAAAAAAAAATTTTATTATAAGCACAAGCGAAAAGAAACTTCTTATTTATAAAAAAAAAATATAATCTCTTAAAAGAAATAATAATATATAAATAACATTTCAATTAATTCACTAATAATTAATAATTAACTAATTAATTAATGAAGATATTTCATAAATATAAATATAGAAAATCAGACCATTTAGCTTTCATTTTAGGCCAATTTGAATTATATTTTATTTTTCTAAGTGTATGTACTTTCAACTGAAATTTAGAAAGCTGCTACTGCAGCTGCAAGATGTGGCAAGAACAAGGAACCGTTTTTTCTGAGGCAGTATTTTGAGTTTTTGAGTGCAGATGTTTTTTTGCAGATTAAAAAAAGTGTAAGAAGCGTAATAAATAGCAGTGATAATTGGACACGCTTTAAATCAATCAAAGCATTTCTGAAGTGAATTGTTCTGAGTGGGCGTGGCGATAAGCGATTACGAATACAATTCGATTATCGTAAATTTGCTGAAATTTTCATTTAACTGCTGTTGTTGCTCTGTGTGGTGCATGTGTGTGTGTATGTGTGTGTGTGTTGTGTGAGTCGCTACTGCTGCTGCCGTTTTGATATGGATGTGTTGCGTCCTGTGTGAAGTCTTGCGCGTAAGCGATAAGAAACAACGACACAAGACGCTTTTACACACAACAGCAAAGCACACACACACAGAGCAATTACAAACATAGCGTAACGGATAAACAGACAAGTTAAAGCATTACCGGTAGCATTTAAAGCTTTACTGCTAAGCCTACGAAAAACAACAACGCTTCGGATACGATCCCAAAAGACGAGAGTGAGAGGAATGAATGTGTGGTCTGCAGCAGTCAGCAGATCAGCGAGCGAGCTTGCACGGAAACAGAGCAACGAGAGCGCTATTAATACTTGCAGTTAAGGCGCACTTAACATAGTACGCAAATACAATTTATATTTGTTTTCATAAGGCAATGCAAATTCAAATATGTAAACAAAGTAAACAAATTAATGAATAATCAGACAAAGTTAAATACAAATGAAATTCTAAATGGAATAGAAAGACTACAATAAATATGAGTTTATACAAATGTGAAAATGCAAGGATTCGGAAATGACAAGAAAAAAAACGCTAAGAATGAAGAGAGAAAGCTAAAGAAAGTAAGAGAGAGGACGATAAAAAGAGTGTGGCAAATTTGGTTTAAGAATTAACTCGCGCTTTGTGTATGAAAAATTTTTATTTTAAGAACAAATAAAAAAATCTCACAATCGTTTCTTATTTGTAAAATGAAAATAAATTATTATTTTTAAATTAAATCTGTTTTAAATAAATATA